ATGTTCTAAGAATAGGTTGGGGAAAATACCTCCAAGGCGTTATATTACGCCCTACACGTAGTAAGTGGCAGTTGTCTAGGATGTTATATAACAACCTACGCACTTAACGGGTTAAATATTAAAATTATTGTAGCCCTACATTAAATATTAAAATTACTGCAGCGCTATATTAAACATTAAAATTATTGTTAATATTACAATCATAAGAAAAAGTTTTGATTGTAAAAATATATGAGAAAATATTTAAGTAACACCGGTTTAACGGTCATACACTCATTTATGTTATTTTATTTATAGCTGAATTTCAAATTACAGCATACGGCATAACAATTTCAAATTACAGCAAATTACAGCATACTGCATAACAATTTCAAATTACAGCATACTGCATAACAATTTCAAATTACAGCATACTGCATAACAATTTCAAATTACAGCATACTGCATAACAATTGCAAATTACAGCATACTGCATAACAAATTCAAATTACAGCGTACTGCATAACAATTTCAATTTACAGCATACTGCATAACAATTGCAAATTACAGCATAACAATTGCAAATTACAGCATAACAATTGCAAATTACAGCATACAGCATAACAATTGCAAATTACAGCATACTGCATAACAAATTCAAATTACAGCGTACTGCATAACAATTTCAATTTACAGCATACTACATAACAATTGCAAATTACAGCATTCTTTATAACAATTTCAAATTGTACATGTATAACAATTGCAAATTACTGCATACTGCATAACAATTGCAAATTACAGCATACTGCATAACAATTGCAAATTACAGCGTTCTTTATAACAATAAATTTAAAGGAGCTAAATTGCTAACATTTGGGACCTAGAAATTCACAAAAGTGGGTAGCAACGCATATAATACTGTAATATGAATGTATATAAACTGATTTACATTTAATGGTTTCCGTTTTTACTCCAATTTCAAATCAGTTATGTTCGGCGAAATAAGTCAGCAATCTCAATCGAGTGCAAATTTCTAGCGTCTAGTTATTCTAGTCTACATAACCCCATTTGATTTGGTGCAATGTGTCTAGCCTCGTCCCTCGAGTCTCTCAATACAACTGGGGCTGAAGCGCATTATGGTACACGATTCGTCTACCAATGTTAAAAAAATTATTTTATCTTAAATATCGGATATCAGAAGCTCATCTTTTCCCGGTAAGTTTACATCATCAATGTTGATTTAAATTGACCAATAATTCGTGTTTTCGATGTCGAAGATTTTGGAGGATTTTGAGTTACGGACTTAGGTCCTTTAAATCAACTTTTTTCAACACAATAATCTAGTCTTCACTGAAAACTCAAGCAATGTGGAAAATTTTATTTTGATTTGGAATTTATCATCATTAAACAGTACTAAATCTTTAAACGACATCCAGTGAAAAGGTTCTTAAAGTGTGAGTCCATTTGAATTCATCACTATATAGATTCCATATTTTCAGCCCAGATATTTAGTATGTTAGGTATTAAAATGGAATTTTGATATATTGTAATATACCACAGTAGGTATTCAAATAGAAGCGTGATATATTGTAATGATTTAATGTGTTTATGTTTATATGTAAAGTGAACCGCAGAAATAGTAACATATGTTACCAAACATCAATTTTACTTCATATTTCTCGACCCTTCTTAAGAAAATTGATTTATACAGAGGTAAAAAATCTATAATTCATAATACACTTGCTACTAAATTTATATAAGTAACTTCTGACCAATAACATACTGTTTTATGATAAAAGAAATCTCTGTCAAATAACACACTGTTTTATGATAAAAGAAATCTCTGTCAAATAACACACAATTTCATGATAGAAATAACCTGTCAAAAAGCACACCATTTCATAATAAAAATAACATCTGACCAAAAACACGGTTTCATAACATAAATAACCTCTGACCAATAACACACTGTTTCATTATAAAAATATCCTCTGTCCAAAAAAACACAGTGTTTCAGGATATAAATAATTTCTGTCCAGTAACACATTGTTTCATAATAAAAATAACCTCTGTCCAATAACACACAGTTTCATCATAAAAAAATAACCTTTTTTTTAACAACAAATTTTGTTTGATCACAAATGGTTTTAAAGATATCTTGCCAAATGATTGACAGAAGTGCTTAAATTTCTCAAATGATAATAGTGCAATTACAGTGTAGATTATCAAAGGAATATACTTTGAATTATAGCCTTTTAACATTTGCTGAATTATATTAATTTGAATTTTTTTTTAATTTAACAAAAGAACTTGGATTAGTTCTAGACTCGAGTAAAATCATTGAAGTTCAATATTTTCTGTCTACACAGCAATATTTAACATTGTAACTGGTCTGGCTGGATGAATCAATAGTTCCATACAAACTTGGTAAATTAGATTTTAATTTTCTAGCCTCTCATTTATATTTAGTACACTAAAGTCAAAATTAAAATATCTTGCTACAAAAATTCCGTGTCACAGATTAATCAATAAATGGATATAGGGTTAAAAATTTAACAATTTTAAAACTTTGAATTCAATTGTACTTCTCTACACCGTTAAACCATTGATCGTCACAAGAAAACAACAGATTATATATTTCTACAAAAAAATCATACTGATTTTAAGAGTTCATTAAAATGTGTGTGTTTTTTTGTTTTTATATAAAAACTTACATTAATATCAATAATGATCTTGAGGTATAGTAATTTACGCTTGCACCATATCTAAAATATTAAATAACAATCATTAATTATTAATGTACTTTTTAAGTTTTATGAATAATTATAGATGTTATTTTATTATATCAATAATCAATATTGGGGTTTTGTCAAAGAAGAAATATAAAACGTTCACTCACCTGAAGTCCCAATGCAAATTCACCATCCATAATAATTTTCACATCAAAAAATAAGTCATAAAACGAATGTAAATTTTTATTGACCAAGAATGCTGTGGAGATTTGTGTATAAATATTACGGTTTAATAAAATATGTAAATAATGTAAAGGTAGGATAATTTACAAGTTGATATCAAACACCTGCAAGGTACACAGGTGTGTAAAACATCAAAGAAGGATGAAAAATGATTTTTCATCAATATTCAAATTAATATACCACATAAAATACTTGCTTCAAACAAAATCTGAAATATAAGTGTTTTTGTTTTGTTTTTTTAAGTGCTAGTGAATTGGATGGAGAGCAGTTTAGCTATAAATATTCTATGCATAAGGGTTTTATCTTTGTTAGGAATTCAGAAGATATTTGAATGGATATATTTTAACTCCCTGTTATGTTGGACAATAAAGTTTTAAAGAATTGTCTCCCTCTAGCTAATGAAATCTTGTTCATGCTCCTCTTCAGTAATAAGCACATGGTTTAATTAAATTTGTGTGGAATGGATGTTTATGAAATTATGTAAATACGTATATGAATAATAATTTGTGTGGATGTAGATGAAATTATGTAAATATTTATGTGAAAATGTACAGTTGTATGGTATGATCTGAAGAGTTATCTCCCTTTTTGGAAAATTACAAAAAATGGCAACAGTATAATAACTGTATTTAATTTTTATGTAACTTGTAAGTATTTGAATTTTCAAAAGTAAAAAATTGTTTTTGATTTGGATCATGTAAAAGGTGTCAGATAGTTATCTGTATTTCAGGTACCAGTACAAAATCTGACTTATTAAATTCTATTCATTTTATCACAAAAATATGACATTGTATAGTATGGACTTTGGTGAATTTCTACCAATTTTATGATATAATATGCAAATGTAATGTTTGTAATTTTGAAGAAAGGGGCCCACAATCCATAAGTAGTCTATTTGGATATGACTACAGAAAGTGGATTGATATCGACATTCTGTCTCCCTGTTTCAGTACGGAATCGTTATTTGTTATTTATGAAGTTGGGTAATTGTGTGTTTTGCGAAAACTAAATCATTTCACTTACCTTCACGTTCCTTCAATAAACCTTCCAAATGTTTAAAACCAAATTCAAATATATCTTTTGGTTGTGATCTTAGCACTTCTCTGGCAAGTCCTTCCAAAATATTCTGGAATCCTTTTGGTACTCGAACTTTGGTGTTAGAAAATGGAACAGCCATGACGATGATTCTTGAAATTAATTAAATATATTGAACAATAAAACCACACTGAGATGATCACTTGACAAACAGATGAGATTCAGTCCTATGTTGACAGATAACGTCTTGGTATATGACTGGTATTATACCTTTCAATAATGTGTAGTCGGAAAGCACCTGTAAAGTTTACACGTTACTTAGCAACCGAAAGGTGAAGGTCGAATTCTAAACGCAGATTTCTCATGTCTAAACACTGTTAGAATGAGGATTATGTGATACTCTCAGGCCTAAGTAACTAACACGTCACAGAAATATATAGATTTTCACAATACCTAGCAATAGTCGCATACATTTACCTTCTGAAAATGACTCTAGAAAGAAAATGTACCACAAAATCTAGACAAAATTTAAGTTGACCCACATTTCCGCGGGAAGAAAAACATGCGAATAAATCCCATTTTTACAGCCACATTTTTAATAATGTATACTGGCTGACGGACTAAATGTGGCGTTTGAAATATGATCAACTTCGTCTTAGTTTTTTGTGACTGAATTAAATATCATAAAAGAATATTTACCTATTCAAAACAGCCGAATTAAGCAGACGATCTGAGAGTGCGACAAAAATTTTGTTATAGAATTTAGTTTCCGGTTAATAGTTACAAAATACAAATCCAATTTAATACGAAACGAAATAGTAATGTTTCACTGGGTCTTTAACGTACTTTTCCAGCTTTGATTAAGCACACCGTATTCTGTGTGAAAATAAAGGTGCATTTTAAGGTAAGATATACATCCGGGGTAAATCTAAATTTTATTTCAAGAAATTGTTTATTCGTTTACTTTTAATCTTACAACATCAATTTTTTTGTTGTTTTAACGTTTCATCTTGGTTTATCAGGTCTTGCGTGGCTTTTACTTTTTGCCAACACCGAAACAAACACGTGAAGAAAGAAGAGATGAATGAACAAAAGAATGAATTACAACTTGAACCCGTTTTGGAAACGGGGTCATCTGTATGTTCGATGTAAGAAATAGCCATGATACGTTGCCTAGTTCTAGACACAACTTCAGTACTTTCGGTGAATTTTAAAAACCAGATATAAATTCTACTTCTTTCGATTTCTCTAAGCTGTTGTGGTCACTATCTTGGTCCCACAGTACAGTGTCATTGGCCATCCAATTTCGGTCTGTATTTGTTGTTAGTTGCTGTCCATTTATTTACATATATGGAAACATAATTCTTGGATTATCCTATGTCAATGTCAACTCAGGGTTTGGATGGCCGAATGGTTTAAATGGTTTAACGGGTGCGCGTTGTATCATATTCATAAGCCTTATAAGGTCTGTCATTGAGTCAGCTGCCATAGTTTCCATTCCCCAGTTGTAGGTGACAAGTAGTTGGGTTGCCTGTCCAACCTTGTGGGTTTTCTCCGTGTCCTACAGTTTCCTCCCACTGCTAAAGACCCCTACGCGCAAGCGAATTATTGAAATAAAATTGAACCATGTGTTAGTCCCAAAATGACATAGTTTGTGTCGAGTGGATGTTAAACTCTCTCTTTCTCTCTCATCTTTTAATCTCACAGTCTGCACTGCAGGACATTAAGTCTCGCAAACCATGTTTTCACATTCGTCATTAAAACGGACAATAAGCTGACAGGTTGTCCGTGATACCTTACATTTTTGTCCTGTGGGCGGCGGAAGCCCAGGGTTGTTTTTTCAATGAATCCAGTATTTTTCTGGTAAGACTGAGTGTCTCTACTTTCCATAATGATATATTCCAAATATGCCATAATAATTTTATTGGAAATAACTACTTTATAAATACTTTCGTGGAATGCATCTTTATGTAATTGGTGATAATTAAATTTATTAACATTAGTTAAGAGTTTTATAAAGTTGGCCATTCTTGCTATAATAATTCAAAAATTGATGATAAAAAAAGAAAATGTTGAAAATTTCAGTCAAATTACTTTGTTCTGAACGGAATTGTCAGTGTTAGACGTTTGGACTAGAAATAGGCATCAATTGTGTCTTCATGGTCTATGAGAATTGTCGATCGTTTGATTGACAAGCGATAACTTCACCCATATATTCTTGATTATCAAGTAACATGCTCAGTGGCTATGGTAGCCTCGCTTGACAGGTCTTTCATCACCAGTTTCTGATAGTGACATCAGTGATTAACAGTACATGTTAGCTTGGTCGGTCATTTCTTGATTTAATTTTAAATGGACGACTGTTTAATCCAAACTGTATCCAAGCCATCCATGGGGCTACAGAGTTGATTTTGAGCATGTCGTGTAAATAAAGGTCTAATTAATTTCTATAACATCTGAAGCCTAAATAAAGACCTGCAATAGGCAGATTTATCTCTTGCATAATGCATGTTTAATTAATCTCTATCTTTATTTGTAGATGTTTGAAGGAGAAGTCCCGATATACGTGTCCACGGTGTAATATTCGTTATTGTAGTTTACCCTGTTATAAAGATGAAAAACATATCACTTGTTCAGAATTATTCTATAAAGATTGGGTGATGGAAGAATTGAAAGAGACAAAGGGCGGGTACGTGAATATAGATGAATTTTTAAAAAGATATTTTGAAGGGTAAAAGTAATGTAAATCTCCACCAACTGGGCTAATGAATATCTGCATAATTTTATAACACTATTATTTTTATTTACAATTTGTTTTGAAAACATTCAAAATTTGTATAAGTGTAGTAGGGGGTCAAAATACAGATAAAGTAACCACACAAGGGTTCAGGTTTACAAAAGTTTTAAATTATATGTGAGTTTATGCTGTAATATCATTATGTATACATGTAGAATTTATTTCATTGATTTGACAATATTTTTGTCGCTTATGACCCGAACAATAATAATGAGAAAAATGTAGTTATTTCCCCTTGAAACTGATTCCGTATTCAGTTCACATTGATATTTTATTTCTTGTAGTTATTCAATCCGTTTCACATGGCGTTAATCATTGACTGGATGGGGCTTACATTGTTTAAATAAGACAGGAGTGGGGGGTGGATGGTTAGCGTGTGTGCGTTGTATGATACGGTTGGTCATTGAGAGTTGGCTTGTATTGGTAATTAATAGTCTAAAGTAGCTGGTTGTGTTGAAAGGATGGTAAAGTGACAATCAACTTTCATTGAAGAGAATTTGAAGTGTTGGTATAATTTGATGTGTTTTTGTTGGTATAATTTGAAGTGTTGGTATAATTTGATGTGTTTTTGTTGGTATATTTTGAAGTGTTGGTATAATTTGATGTGTTTTTGTTGGTGTATTTTGAAGTGTTGGTATAATTTGATGTGTTTTTGTTGGTGTATTTTGAAGTGTTGGTATAATTTGATGTGTTTTTGTTGGTATATTTTGAAGTGTTGGTATAATTTGATGTGTTTTTGTTGGTATATTTTGAAGTGTTGGTATAATTTGATGTGTTTTTGTTGGTATATTTTGAAGTGTTGGTATAATTTGATGTGTTTTTGTTGGTATAATTTGAAGTGTTGGTATATTTTGAAGTGTTGGTATAATTTGAAGTGTTGGTATAATTTGAAGTGTTGGTATAATTTGAAGTGTTGGTATATTTTTAGACGAGAAGACAAAGAGAAGATATTAGAGATGTTATCACGAGTTGAATCAGATGATACTCTCGAACCATCACACCTGGATTCAGATGATGATGATGATGATGAAGAGACTGATTTAGAAACAAGGCTACATGGATTAGATTTAGGTAATATATCATTGTATTAGCTGGTAGACAAATAACATCTTGTATATAAAACATCTTAATATGACTAGAGAATTCCATATTTCGAAAATAATATAGAGCTGGCCACTGACTATAGAATGAGTATCATAGGTTCAGATAGTCTCACCGTGGAACGATAATTTAATGGTTTCCAAGACAAGAGCCTGTCACACAGAAATAACCAGTTTTATAAATATATTCATGGACCGTATATTAAGACAGACAGGCAAAGCCATCGTTGTAGTTGTCAAGCTTAACGTCTGGTTCCAACTGGGATGATATTGCAAACAATGCTCTCATGGTCTTTAGACAGGTTCCTTTTAGTCGTGATTGTCAGGACTTGTTTTGTTGTAGTTTTTAGGCAGTTTTATTTTAGTCGTGATTGTCAGGACTTGTTTTGTCATGATTTTTAGGCATCTTCTTTTTAGTCGTGATTATCAGGACTTGTTTTGTCATGGTCTTTAGGCATGTTCCTTTTAGTCGTGATTATCAGGACTTGTTTTGTCACAACACAGATTTTGATAAATATTTTACATTAGTAGGCGAAATTTTAATATTTGTGTTTTTAGATGACAGTGAAGCCATATTAAAAAGATTAACCAACAAAGAACGACAAGAATTTGAGAAATTATTGCATAATGGTTGCCTAGGTAACCTGGTTGAAATATGGACACCATGGTGGACAGAGTCAAAGGTTTGTGTTATCTACAGTTATTATTATGACTTTCCAAGGAATTTTTCATAAAATTTCCCTCCTAAATGGTCTAATACAGTGGTTCTCAACCCTTTTTTGCCAACGGTACACCTTGAAACACAAGAAAACATAGCGGTACATCTGGCTAAATACATATGAAAAATATCTGAATTTCGCAAAATAAAAACATGGCAAGTCAGACGGCATACAACCGGGAGACAGAGACTAGTCATAGACACATAGAATGACTCGAACTAAACAAAGAAAAACACAGCTATGAACTTATCAGTAGACACCAGCGAATACTCAATTTTCTTGGTGTGCCGTTCAAAATTCCGCGGCACACTTAGGAATATCTCGCAACACAGGTTGAGAACCACTGGTCTAATAAAAAGAAGTTTTAGACAATGTTGCTTGTTAAGATTTGAAGTGGGTTGGGTGACCGAATGGTTTCACTCGTGCATGTTAGATCATAAGTTTTGTCATTGAGTCAACTGGTGTGGTTTCGATTCCCGACGTGTACCTGGCAAGGAGTAGGGTCGTCGTTCATTCTCGTTGTTTTCCTCCCACTACTGAAGACACCTACGCACAAGTGAATTATTGAAATAAAATTGAACCATATGTTAGTCCGGAAATGACCTAGTTTGTGTTAAGTGGACGTCAAAGCCTATTTCTCTCTGTGTGTTAAGATTTGTTCAAATGAGTTGATTTGGACTAATTAACGGTAGGGGAGAATGCAGGGATGCGGACAGAATTTTTATGTGCTGAACAAGACAATTTTTTGTGGGCATCCTCCCACACCTGTGTAAGGACTATGCAAAAATATGGTTTCTAAAAGTATGGTTTCTAAAAGTATGGTTTCTAAAAGTATGGTTTCTAACTTTACCCCTGCAAAGCCACATGTGGGGCTCTGCGACACGAATATCGGCCATCGAAAAGTATACAAAATAAAACATATTTCTGGGGCTTCATGGGCCTCGATGCGATGTATTAGCTGCACATCCATTACCTTGGGCTTGGGAGGATGTTAATCCCTACAAACGAATGAAAGGACAACTTAAATTACAAATTTTTTGTCTAAAATTCATGTTACAAATTTCAATAGAATTGCATATAACAATTGCTGTCAACCATTATTCATTATATGGTTGCTCATGGTTACCATTGGGACAAAATTATTCTTAAAAAAACAAAACCGACCGCCTCCTTTCGAGAAAATCTGGTATTTTTTATTTATATTTTGTGTTTGAGACATTTGACAGGTAAAGTGAATATATTTGACTATTTTATTTATAATTGACCATGTTATTAATTGTCAGGATTTGATTGAGGAAGTCGAGCAGACAGATTGCGATAAGAAGAAAGATAAGAAGAAATCGTGTAAACCAGTTTTATTATCCAATATACCTGATATATCAACATTAATTAAGGTAACTACAGGTTTTATATCCAATATACCTGATATATCAACGTTAATTAAGGTAACTACAGGTTTTATATCCAATGTACCTGATGTATCAACATTAATTAAGGTAACTACAGTTTAATATCAAATCTACCTGATGTATTGACATTAATAAGGTGACTACAGATTTCTTACTTCAAAATGGCATGACAACTATCCCTATATATAATTACCTAGTAGAATGCTGGATGAAGTAAAATGGGGTTTAACATCCTAGTTATTTGCACCAGCTGATTTACGCCATGCAGTGCAGTAGAGGGAAATTTTATCTCGACAGCAGCTCTACAACCTACTCTTATTTTGAAATCGAAATGTCATGGGTTCTTTTATGTGCATTCCAATGCGTACACGGGACCTTGATTTATTTGTACCCTCTGAATGACGTGATGCTGTTCCTTGCAGAAAGCTGGATATCTTGAATTGTTCTGTCTTAAAAATCAATAAATATCTCCCTAAGCCTCTTCTGCTGATCAGATGATATTTTTGACACATGGGCTCCCAATTCCTAAGACTTGAAACATGTGTTGGGAGATCCCCGCTTTCCCACAGCAAAATCAAAACGACCTACTAATTAAAGATACATTATGGGAGATTCAATAACGAGTTGGCAGTTCTCACTATAATAGTTAAAAACCAGATAACGTAAAGGCAATTTGCTGAAAATTTCATTCAAATTGATCCACTATGAACCGAGAACTAAGCGAATGACATTTCTGCCTAACCCCGGTCATCATTACTAAAGTCAGTACGATAAACAGCATAGTCTCGATTATCCATTTAATCGTTTAATCGAGAAGGAAAGTTATGCAGTAAATCGGCTCACAATCCACTTAAGATCGCAGGCTAGCGATGCCATCTAGAGTTGATTATGGTCTGGATAAGTTAATTAATGTCTAATTAATAATTAAGATAATATTTCAGGCCTAAAGAAAGACCTGCAATGAACAGATTTAGCTCTTGCATAATGTGTGTTTAATATAATTAATAATTTCGTAAACATATGATATATTTTTATATTTGCCGTTCGTCCATGTTTTAGGTTAAACCTTCGTCTGATATCCGTAACAATATGATAAACATCCTGTATTCATACGCCTTCATTTGTCGTCTGCATAATGGGGGACATTTTGACAATCCTGTTGAAAGTGCTGAGGTAAGGCTTTTTAAAATACATTTTTTATTATAAAATATGTAAACTGGTTATAATTTGATCTGTGATGCAGGTGTGACAGGTTTCAACTCAATCAGGGGGGGTGAATGGCCGAATGGTTAGCACGCGCGCGCTGTATCATACGGTCTGTCATTGAGTCAACTGGAGTGGTTTCGATTCCCCAGTTGTCTGTGACAAGGAGTAGGGTCGCCTGGGTTTTCTTCGGGTCCTCCGGTTTCCTCCCACTGCTAAAGACCCCTATTAAACCATATGTTAGTCCCGAAATGACCTAGTTTGTGTCGAGTGGACGTTAAACCCCATTTCCCTCCCTCTCAACTCAATCATTTTGCTTGAGTAACTAAAAGATGTAGGACATGGTCACCTGGAACGAAATGTGGGTTTAACGTCCTACTGTTCTGCTCCGAACTGGGCTAATGAAAACAGGCATACGCCATACAGTGTGCTATGAAGGAAATTTTGCCTGGACAGGGGCACTACGGCCTACTCTTATATTGAATTCCAACTGTCAAAGGATCTTTTACATGCACGCCAATGTGTACACAGGTCTTCGGTTTTTTGTCCCATCTGAAGACTAGACAGCTGTCCTCAGGCCTTCCGTCCTGCATCACTAACAAGGCGGGAAAACCATGCCGGAAAATCTGGATGAACTTTCCCGACCAAAGCAAGCCACCGTGACCCCCCCCCCCCCCCCTCACCTGGAACAATTTGTACTTAATATTTATGGTGTGGTGATCTAACACGCAGGTGCTTTAGATCATAAGGTCTGTTATTGAGTCAAATGGTGTGGGTTTGATTTCAATCTGGTATATGACAAGGAGTGAGGTCACCCACCTGACCTCGTGGGTTTTCCAGAGAGAGAGACAAATAGGGTTTAACGTCCACTCGACACAAACTAGGTAATTTCGGGACTAACATGGTTCAATGTTATTTCAATAATTCACTTGCACGTAGGGGTCTTTAGCAGTGGGAGGAAACCGGAGGACCTGGTGAAAACCCACGAGGTTGTTACGTACAACCGGGGAATCGAAACCATGCCAGTTGACTAAATGACAGACATTATGATACAAAGCGATTGCACTAACCATGTTGTGAAATGAAGATGTTTTCTTAATTTTTTGCAGGATTTGTTGACTATATGCAGTGTTTTAAGAGATGGAAAGAATTTTATTGAATTAGATGAAGTTATTGATATGACACTACAACAAGTTGAAAAGGTCAGTAGTGCGTTCAATCATGTAAATAAATGAAACCGGAAGCGTTGTCACCATCATTACAAGGTCAGATTAGGATTACTAGGGTTGATCATAAGGTTTGTCATTGGATTCACCAGGTTGTACGTGACAAGGAGTAGGGTTGCCTGTCCAACCTCGTGGGTTTTCACCACAACAAGAAATTTGAGTCTATTTGTTTGGCTCGAATCAAACACAGAAGTCCTATGTATACATCATTGATGGAACTCTATATTTAATCTTTATTCCAGTATGTTGGTTTTTTTTAGGTAACCAAACAATTTTCTATAATTCAACCATAATATACCGGTATTTGTTTACAGGAGAGTAAGAGATGGGAGATAACTGTTGAGTTTAAAGTCAGTGTATTAGAAGATGTGGAGAGGATTGTTCACGGACCAGATAAACGTCCATCTTTAGATTTCATGTTATTAGCTCTTTCAGATTTAACTCGACTTCTACAGACAGCAAATAAAATTATCAAACAAGGCAAGTCAAAATCTCTAATAAAAACAAAACGGGTTAGGTTTTTGGTAAATGAAATGAGGTTTAACATCCTACTATTCTGCTCTGACTGGGCTAATGAAGACGGGCATAACCCATACAGTGTGCTATGAGAGAAACTTTGCCCTGGAAGCAGCTCTATGGCCTACTCTTATATCGAATTCCAACTGCCAAGGGATCTTTTATGTGCACGCCAGTGTGTAAACAGGACCTCAGTTTTTCATTCCATCCATACAACTATATGTTGTCCCTTGCCAGGCCCTCTGTCCTGCACTAGGTTATTTGTACGCTTGTTACCTGAGTTTATTTCCCCCCTACCCGAATAAAACACAACACATCAACCATACTTGTTAGACAAGATGTGAAAATGACATATTGAGAAAAAGTAAAAAAAATGTGCCCAGTTAATAAAAACTCCCTGATCAGTTCCAGCGTTAGTCTTCTTTTCTGGGGGGGATCACGTGGCTAAGTGGGTAAGGCGCTAGCTCACTAGCCTGGAGGTCGGGTGTTCGATCCCTGCATTGGCCGAGAAAGTTCATCCAGATTTTCCAGGGTGGTTCTCCCTTGTCAGTGATGCAGGACGGAGGGGCTGACAAGGAAAGCTGTCTAGTCGTTCGGATGGGACGAAAAACCGAGGTCCCGTGTACACATTGGCGTGCACGTAAAAGATCCCTTGGCAGTTGGAATTCGATATAAGAGTAGGCCGTAGTGCCGCTGTCCGGGCAAAATTTCCCTCATAGCACACTGTATGGCGTATGCCCGTCTTCATTAGCCCAGGTTAGGAGCAGAACAGTAGGACGTTAAACTCCATTTCATTTCATTTCATTTCTTTTCTGGGGGCCACGGTGGCTAAGTGGGTAAGACACTGTTTCGCTAGCCTGGAGGTCCCATGTTCGCTCACTGCATTAGCCGAGAAAGTTCATTGGGATTTTCCGACGTGGTGTCCCCTTGTCAGTGGTGCAGGAATGCGGGGCTGACAAGGACAGTTGTCTAGTCGTTTGGATTTCGATATAAGAGTAGGCCATATGCCGCGGCCCGCACTCATAGCACACTGTATGGCGTATGCCCATCTTCATTAGCCCAGTCGGAGCAGGACAGTAGGACGTTAAACCCTATTTCAATTCGTTTCTTCTTTTCTGTTTCTTGGTAATCCATAAACTTTATGTATTGTAGAGAGGAAAAAAAAGAAAGACGAGGCAGAGAATGAAGTGAAGAAAGTTTTCTATCAAGCCAGTAAAAAATGTCAGTTTTTATTAAGTTGGTGCCAGAGATATGGAATGGCTGTTATAAGTTTATTACCAGAATTACAACTAGGAATTGGTAAGTGTTTATACAGTCTGTTGATCTGCATCTGACCTAAATCCATAGGGCTGACCGTGACCTAAATCCGTAAATCCATACAGCTGACCGTGACAGGAAACCTCGATGGCTTCGGTATTCATCTGATCAAAAGACATCCTTTTTCCTAAAGTTATTTATAGCTCAAAATGTTGTTTTACCTGTCTTTGGGATGTTGTTAAATAATTGACGTTCCGGGTGGTGTTAGGGATTAGCCAATCAAGTGGTCTGTTGGGTTGAGTTCTTATCTTGTGGTGCTCGGAACTGCAGCAGACATTTGTAGCAATAGAAAACAAAAGTTGTATTTCCATATAGCCACTTGGAACACGGATGCTGATTGGTTAAATGGTTGACTAACTATTCATAGGTTCAAAAGTCACTCGTATGACCCCTGACATGACCTACAACTATCAAAAGGTCTATTATTGTATTATTGAGTCAACTGGCATGGTTTCAATTCCCTGGTTGTACGTGACAAGGAGTAGGGTCGCCTGTTCAACCTCGTGAGTTTCCTCTGAGTCCTCTAGTTTACTCCTACAGATAAAGATCCCTGAGTGCAAGCAAATTATTGAAATGAAATTGAGCCATATGTTAGTCCCAAAATGATCTACATTGTAGTTTGTGTCGAGTGGACGTTAAACCTCTTTTACATGTGTTTCTCTGATTAGCTCTTTCATTGTCAATTCCAGAGAGTAAGAATTGGGGTTTAATGTCCACTCGACACAAACTAGGGCATTTCGTGACTAACATATGGTTCAATTTTATATTTCAATAACTGGCTTACGCATAGGGGTCTTAAGCAGTGGGTGAAACTGGAGGACCCTGAGAAAACCCTTGAGGTTAGACAAGTGACCCTACTCCTTGTCTTGTACAAGCAGTTAATCAAAACCACGCCAGTTGACTCAATGACGGACTTTGTGATCTATCATGCACGAGTGAAACCATTCGGCCACCTAACCCCCCTGTCAGTTCTAGTGACATAACAAATGTTGTTTTTAAATGCAGGTCGGAGATGGAGTGAGGTGAAACAAGTTGAAGAAACAAAAAATTTATTGGAAAAGAATTGGGGAGGAAAAATTCCACCACCAAAGAAACAACTTATTTCAGAATTGACATGAATGTTATTGTACATGTATGATTGTAAAATTTGTAATAAATATGAATAATTGTTATTCTGGAAAGAGATTTTAAATATGTCTTGTTGGACGATCTGTCCTTCCATTAACAATTTGTCAACACTGTAAGGGCAAAACTCATCATAGAGTCATTTAGAAATCTTAATAGATTGTTAAGCTGTTTGAAAGGATTCCTACAATTATTCATGTGGATTTATAAAGTCAACTTGTGTTAGCACTCCAGAGGCTAGAATTATCATTTAATCTTTTTGATATTTTTATGGTTTCTTCAGCTTATTGAACAGAAGACTCGTCTTGAATCAAAACAACTTCTATCGATTACTCCCCTTTATTTACAACACCTTGTTGACACTTATGGGGTCAAAACTATCATAGGGTCATTGTATCTGCTGATGGGTCAGGTAGGTGTATGTTACATTGATGTATCATTGCCTGATAACCCATGTTTAATAAGTCTTGTGTCAGCATCTCAAAAAAAACCTAATTCCCAGAACAATTCCGTGTTAGGATCTGGAGTGAAATGAGGTTTGTCTGATTGTCTCTTTAAGGCAATGGTTCTCAACCTTTTTTTTGGCAACAGCACACCTTTGGACACATGAAAAAATAGTGGCACACCTGGCTAAATATATACAAAAAATATTTGAATTTTGCAAAATAAAAACATATGTTAATTCAGACGGCATACAACCATAGGCAGAGACAAGTCATAGATGACACAAACCAAATAAAGAGAAACACAGCTATGAACTTATCAGTTGACAACAGTGAATACTCAATTGGGATCACATGGTTTTTTACATTTTCTTAGTGTGCCGTTTAAACTTTCGTGGCACACTAGTTGAGAATCACTGCTTTAAGGATTTGACCTGGTTTGTGGCATTTAACATTCAAATTAAACGGTTTGGGTTTTTTGCAAATTTAAGAAACCAGAAAATAATGACATTAAAAATATGCATATACATATATGATTTACAGTCAGCATTGGTATCAGCTAGCCTACACAATGAATGCATTGTCCACATCTAATGTTAAAGACTCAAACGAATCGACTGATCTTATATAGACACACCACTTGTCAATAACATAATTATTTTAAAGTTTGACTTTATTTAGGAGTTGACGGATATCGTCCACATCTAATGTCAAAGACTCACAGGAATCGTGTGATTTTATATCAGATACAACACTCATTATAACACTGTTTAATTTAATCGATTCAACTGATTCCAGAAAACTTGTCATTTTTTGCTCATCACACAACTTTAAATACAAAATACATTTCCGTGCCTCACAAATCAACACAGCTTTAACTTTATCCGGGGTTGTACTTTTATCACAACTTATGTCGTACATAAATTTTAATAAAATCTTTGCCAAGTAAAGACTGTAAAGAGGAATTCTTGGCCAGGCAACGAGAATAAATTGCTGCATTGTTTTCAAGATATTTAACCGTGCAGTTTCCGCGGGACCATCGTAAATTTCTAGATAAGTTTCGAAAATCTGTAACAATTTTTTCATGTGATTCACGATTGATATGCCAAGAATATCAATAAATTGTGGAAGGTTTTGAGTCAGTGCCCTTCTGTTTATTATGTTGTTTTCGAATTCCACATCGCGTAAAATGATGTTGAAAACTTTATGGTGGTTGTCGATAGGGTCTGGTAATTTGCCGAACACAGGTAACAGATTCAGAAGAACTGGGTGTAGAATCTGGATAAGCTTAGCGTCGTGATTGAATAATTGATGTTGTAAAACATCATAGACAACGTCGCTTCTTCCATACCATCGTAACTCCTCCCTTGTAGTGTTACTGATCACATGACCTAAACATCGCACACCACAACACTTGTTTTCAACATTGAAATCATCTACGAAATTTAACGAAGGTGGTAGAACATGATCAATGAAATCACTTAAATGTGGAAACGTGATCTGTTTCAGCATCCATTCAAATGATTTTTGAATGTTTGGATTTTTCATCCAGTTGCTTTTGTTCAGCCTGGTTTTGATCTTCATTAAATATTGTCTGTAAACTGACGACAAAGCTGTTGTGTAATCCTCAGGGAAAAACAATTTATTTAAACTATCGTCTTCACACTCAAAAATATTTTTTAATTTCTCTAAAGTTAATTCTGTGATTTTGACAACTTTAGCGGGACTCCAAAAACTGATCTCTAAGTTTGATGACAGTAGTATCATCAAGTCTGGAAGAATTAATTGTACAAGTTTCTTTCTGTTTTTGTTATGGCCATTATTCAATTTATCGAAAACAATTTGTAATAATGTTAATGATAGTTCTGTTCGATCACTGCAGCCTTTAAAATCTGATGCCTCAAATATAAAATGCTCCCTTGAAGTGAATTCTGGGATAATGGCAAGGCTAATCAATTTGATTAATTCGTCTGCTAACAATTTGTAACCTTCGCCTTCATTTTCATGCAGAAAATCGTCCAAATCATTCGGACGAAGTGATGAAAGTTCGTTTAATTTAGCAAGGTATGGATCCCTGTTTTTAGCAGCCAGATGGTTCACGCATGTTTGGAGATTTGTTAACAATAATTTGCTGTTGGATTCCATTTGTCACTCTGAAATTAATTTGCTCCAAAACATTTTTCACTACCGGGGGATGACATATTGGAAATTGCATTATGGTCCGCAGCTTGTGGTCTAAGGGAAATAACTCCTTCATCCAGTTATCTCCCTTTTCTACATTATTTTTATAATAAAAATTCTGTTTGATCCTTGTGGACCTTTCTCATGCGACAAAAAGAATAAATTAGTGTCAACAAAAAATATCAATTCTATCAATTTTATTATCGTCGATTAAATATAACATTATTATAAAATAAAACGACAAAACAGCTGTGGTGCAAAAATGTAGCCTAGAAGCCTAAAATAGATAGTTGATAGTACATAATCATATTCTTATTTATAAAAGCATGGAGTTGAAAATTATTTGAGTTTAGTCTCTCTTCTATTAGAGAATTTAATTATTTTTAGCCTCAGTGTACGTCTGGTTTATTGCATTCACATTTATCTTATATTAGGCCTACCGTTATTTAGATGGTAGCCTACACTTATTTTCTCATAGCACTGCAATAACTATCACTTAACAAATTATGCTACTTATTGCAAAATGCATGGAAATAATTAAAATTGCTTTATATAGGTGCCTGCTGCCATAAAAGTTAAAGCGGAAATTGCAAATTTTCTAAGAAAGTCAAAACATAATTATTTCTATGTCTTTTGCTCAATAGGTTGTCAACTCACAATTATACGATCATAGGTGTCATTCTCACACTTAAAACTCATTTACACAGGAAATAACACAATTACCTCCTTTGTTTTCCTATTCCACACCATGGAGTAGCTTTTTTCAAACGTTTGAAAATGAAGAGGAAAATGATATTTTTGCCAATTTCTCAGCTGGCAATAGTGAATTATAGGATTAATAGGATTATTCTTTAACAAGGTAGGACTGTTTATGGATACCATCTATTTTCAGGCTTTATTTTAATAAATTTTAAAAATATAACTTAAAAATTTGCAATTTCCGCTTTAAGATTCATTATTACGTGTAGCCTAGGTGTATTACTTTCAAGAACAAATGAATTTTCGGCACTAAACAGGTTAATAAAGTCGCTCGACCCTCTCTAGTCCCGAAACACAGACATTTATTTCAACATTCTAATAGCAAGAATTTGTTTACTCTGAAAAGACGGTTAGCCCTAATTTAACTTCGCATTTTCATTGAACAAATTGGACCTCGATTTATTTTTGTATTTTAAGTTGACCAAAATGTTTGCAGACTGAACATTACAAGATACATATATAGGCCTAATGCATGGGTTCTATGTGGGTTGTATATGCCGGTCCTGACCGAGGAATATATTATAGATTGGTCTATAAGCATGCTGACAGCAACTTGACTGATATTAAACACAGTACAGGTATTAGGCCCCCCCCAAAAAAAAGCAATTACGTTTACTTTTACCTGACCGACTTTCTTTTTTTTTTTTTTAGCCCGACCCTAAACTTTTCCTCATTTCCCAGGTGAATAAATTGTTTCTTTGCAAATGCTTTAATTTCGGCATTATAACAATCCAAATCAGCATTAGTTTATAGAACCTTAATCAATAATTAAGCTAGAAATATCAGGTATTTATAATGACATCACTGAGGCAACACACTGCAAGTATTGATATAGTTTATTAATTGTTCACCTATCGAATCTTAACTCACAAAACCCACGAAGAAAAAAAAGGGAAAATGATTTCCTGGGTGACTGACCCTATTTTTTGTGTCCAAGTAAACAGAAACTCAAGTATATTTTTTCAATGTGGCCTTAGAAAATGACAAACTGTGCAAATAAATTATATTTTAGTGCAAGCAGCTAAATGTACACTCACTCAATAGGTTTTAAAATCAAAAACAAGGTTCAGAGAAATATATATATATATACATGTATATATATACAAAACAATAGACTATCACCATATATGTAACTTATACATATTCATAAGTATTATTTCATCATAATAATATAATATTTGTACATACATATATAATATTTGTAATATTTTTAATATTAACAATAACAAAAAAACATTTTATTTATTTTGCAACAATGGCTGGGGTGCATAGATTTTATTGGATGTAAAATACTAGAAGCATAAATATACACATTTAACAACGTGTTATAATATATGTACGATAAAATGACTACTTTAGCTAACAATGTGAAGGTCTTATACATCAGATATCATGACTAAATCATTTCAAGATCTTATTATCTACGTCAGATACCACGACTACATTAGCTTACAATGTCACGATCTTATCTATGTCAGATACCATGACTACATTAGCTAACAATGTGAATGTCTAGTGATATACGTCTGATACCATGACTACATTAGCTAATAATGTCAAAGTATTATGATATATGTCCGTTACTACACCAAAATTAGCTTACAGTGTCAAGGTCTTATAATATATGTCCAATACTATGACTACATTAGCTAACATTAGCTAAGAATGTCACTTAATTGAGGAGACTCTTTGACCACAATGTATAAAACTATGGAATACAATTACGGTTTATTACTGAGAAATGCTTCGAACTAACCATTCCTAGTCTATATTATTGCCTTATCATACAAGTTGAAATACCACTGTAATAACTTATCGTGATAATAATTGTACATAAAGCTTAATTTGACACCAGGTAATACTCTACACTCCACTTCTATAACAAAGTGAACACAGCCAATGGTTACCTTCAAGAATTAAAAATAGACCAAAATAATAACACCACTTATTTGTTCATCGTGTCATTTTCTCTTATAATGTTTTATGTGGGGGGTTCCCATTAGCAGGGGCAATTTTTTAAAAATAAATTTGAGTTTACACCGACCGAAGGGAACATTTTTAAATTACTGTTTTCAACATTATTTTAGGTTCAAATAATAATAAAAGCAGAAAACAAAAATATGTCACTTATTTACGTAAAAAGTTATCACCGGCCATACCATAAAATAAGTTCAAATCCAGAATCAGTAAATTTTCCCACGGGAGAGGTGAAATTTACTCCAAGGTGCGACACTGACATTAGGTAGGAAACCCTTGTTGAGTTTTATCTCCAAAAGGTAAAATAACATTTAGGTCAATGGCCCTGGCTACCCAGATCGCTTTTCAACAACTGCTTCGCATGTCATAGATGAAACAATACAAGAGAGTTGGCAATGTAGTCAGGGTATCTGATATTGATGGTTGTACCTTGTTATTGTGAAGATGAAGGTTCATATAAATATTGATAATACAATCACTAAAAGTTTGTAGGGTTCAAACTAATTACGGCACAACAATTAATAAAAGGACTTTCACTTAAAATATACTAATGTCCAAAAGAAAGTAAACACTGAGCATTTCGTCCTGCTTCAAACAAAGTCGTTTTTCCATTGTATGCGGTATTTGGGTACAATGTCCATTTGTTTTGCCTTTTATTTGCTTAGAAATATTGAGTTTGGACACACGAGACATGTTCAGTGTAGTTTTATCACATTTTGTTGATTTAAACAAAACTTGGTCATATTTTTAGTGTGTATACTTTCTTTTGGACATTAGTATAGTTTGAAGGGACGACACTTTCCTTTAGCATGGTCAGTTAATGAAGATAAATCTTTGATACATTTGGACCGTCTGCCTTATAAATCAGATAAAAACGTAATTATATTACTGACAAGAATGGTAAATATTTGCCCTAGATGTCTTTATCGGTCCAGTCACAAATTATCTCTACTTCAACTAAGTGTACAACAAAATATTGGTCTTGACAAATAAGCGTGATTCTACGTCTATATCCTCAATGACGTTCCGTCTGCCATGAAAAATAGGTAGATGCAATAAACTTTTGCAGAAATTAATAGATACAGACAGTATTGAGAATTGACGCTAATTTTGTGCAGAAGAATATTTGTTGTATTTGAAGCTGACGATCTGGTAGGAAGACTAGACTATCCAGTTTCTAGAATTGTTAATAATAATGTTGCATATTCAGTACTCTTGTTTTAACAGCGTACCATCAGGATTTATCAAATATAACCTATAAACTAAACAATATATATTTTATACAATTATTTTGTTCTTACAGACAGCAATATAGATAAAATTGTGTTACCAAGCAACCTATGTAAACAGAGTTGCTTGGTAACAGTTGTGCAATTATTAGTCAAGTCCTAGTAACTGGACAACATCTCTAGATCCTGCATAGTTACTACCAGTGTAGCCTTTATTACCAGGTAGCACACAGTTACCATGCCGTTACCAAGCAATGTATATAGTTTTACCAGGAAACCAACATATACATGTACCAACATAGTTACACATAGTAACCACACTGTTGCCAGGCAACATATGTTTGCTACTAGGCAAATTGAATGTATTGCTGTTGCCAGGCAACCAATAAGTGACAAAGGAGAGGTAGACAAGCAATCTATGATTAGTCGCTTGACTAGATAAAATATAAAATTCATTTTAAAAATATCATTAAGTGAATGGGTAATTTATAATGATGTCTCTGGTTGATATAATGAAAATATGATTACATTATAATAACAACAATTTGTGAAATGGTAAAGGAAATAAAAATAATGATTTAATGTGGTCTTAATTCATTTGCCACAATAACAAAACAGCTTCAAGAAAAATAATAATTGTCAAATATTTCTTGTATCTCCCTTTTTAGTCTGTGTGCTTTCAAAATAAGCCTGCACAGTACATCAAGTCCAGCCAATCAGCATCAAAATCTGTCAAAATTAGTCCGCGCAGAACATAATAAATGCCACCGGTTTAGACAGTTTTAATGTGTCTAAGCTGTTGTTACGTTGAATATGGTAATTATAAAATTTATCAGGTGTAAGTTGTAGCCTGGATCAATTTTTCACTCTCAAAATAAAACAGTTTGGAATAATTTTTCAATTATTAGAAACGGTTCTTTGGCTACTGCCTGTTTCTATAAATAAACCAACACAAGCCTTGATGGAGTCTGAGAAGTTTATCGGGAAAGGTAGTAATTTGAGCAGCCATGTTTAAAGGTAATCTCAGATCGCCAGAAACATGGTAATCCTCTAAAGGGTAATAACCTTACATTTTCATTATCTTTGAACAAAAATTGAAAACGCCTTTAGTAATAATTTAATATTTGCGTCACCAGATACGTTTTCATAAAGATTAGCCTATCAGTTACCATACATACTGTTGGAGACAGATTCCACGATTGAAATAATTTATAATATACACATCTTCACAATGTCATAATATTACAACATACAAAGTCAGCTAATGTCGTCTAGGTATAATCAGTCAGCTAATGTAGTCAGGGGCAGATTAGGGAGGAGGTAAGGATAATGGCAGTAGTGACAAGCCTTTAAATACAACACTTGTCACTGACAATACCAGGCCCTATTTACTTGTTTTTATCGATATCAATCGTATATGTCCGTTACGTCATGTACTACGTGAGCTATGTAGTTATTCCCCCTTTCACAGTTTTCTCGTATATCGAGTGTTAGAATGAAGTAAAACCCTGAAATTTTAAAAACAATTGGTACTTTGTAAAATGTTGAGTGGAAACAACTTTCTAACCACTGCCCTAAATCCTATTGCGGGCAAACAGGTTGGGTAGAAACAGGTAGCTAACCACGCCCCTAAATCATGTTGAAAAGATAAAGGTTGGGAACCACTGCCCTAAAACATGTTGAAAAGAAACGGGTTGGGAACCAGTGCCCTAAATCATGTTGAGTAGAAACAGGTAGCTGACCACTGCCCTAAATCCTGTTGAGAAGAAACAGGTTGGGAACCACTACCCTAAATCCAGTCAGCTGATAAAATGCATGTTATACTAATTTGAAATTGTGAAGATGTAACTTGCGCGACGAAGCTGTCCACATAAATCAAACAATGATTAAAAATACAACAACATAAAGTCATTTAGCATGGCTACCAATCAGACTCACAAAAATGTCCGATTTAAAAACATGTATTATGAATGAACAACTGCTACAGATGGTGAACCTTGACATTGCATGTTGGGATTGCTTTCTTCAGATTTGACTTCTGCAGCCAAAATGTCCATACGCACGGCAGAAGCACTCACATTTATCTGATCAACAGAAGGATTTGAAAAGGGAAGTAACTCTGATGACTTTTGAATATCACAACCTTGACTGTGGCATTCTGGTATATCAAGATTTGAGTCTGTTTTTTCTCCTTTATTTTTATCGTCCAGTCGTTTTTCACTGGGGTCTTTAGTTGTCTGAGTAGACGGAAGACCGGAGTGAATTTTACGCAACAATGAATCCTTATACAACGACGGGTTGGCCGGAACTTCAACTTGTTGAATTGCTCGATCACTTTCACTGTCTATTGAGTCACATGATCTAACAGTATGACAAGGTGCACTTAAACTCCGCGATATCTTTTGTCCAGGAGAATTGTCCCGTTTAGAAACAGTTCTGGACATCGGTTTATCATCAACTGACTTAATTTCGCCACTTTTCAAAATGGATTCGGACGAAACGCCATCTTTCTTCATAGAAGTAGTGACAACATCGCAATCAGAAAAAACATTTTCACCCTCAATATCAGAATGTCCGCTCACTAGATTTGTTTCATCGTCAATATTTTTATTAGATTCCGTTTCAACCTCATCCGTCTCCATTCCACACTCTTGACTATTCTCATTCAAATTTGGTTTTGATTGGTTTAGGGCATTGTCTGTGCCCGGGTCATGATTTATGACATCTGAACTTTCAACTTTGATATTTTCTTCCGATTGGTTAGTTGTGATGTCAGGAATACTTTTAACTACAAAAGAAAAGAAACAACTTTAATTTTAATATAATCCGGCATTTTTTGTTTTGTTGCTAAGGCAAAGAATATTCCATTCTTTATTTATATCACAAAATAGGGGTAATATTCCCCAAGCAATGAAATGAAGTGAAATGGGTTTTAACGTCCTACTGTTCTGCTCCTATACTGGGCTAATGAAGACGGGCATACGCCATACAGTGTGCTATGAGGGAAATTTTGCCTGGGCAGCGGCGCTACGGCCTACTCTTATATCGAATTCCAACTGCCAAGGGATCTTTTACGTGCATTCCAATGTATACACGGGACCTCGGTTTTTTCGTCTCATCCGAAGGACTAGACAGCTGTCCTTGTCATGCCCTCTGTTCTGCACCAGTGACAAGGGGAAACCACGTCGGAAAATCCAGATGAACTTTCTCGGCCAATGCAGGGATTGAACACCAGACCTGCAGGCTAGCGAGCCAGCGTCTTAACCACCTAGCCACCGTGATCCCCCCAAGCAACGAACTTGACAAGACTGTAGAGTAGAAGAAGAGGAAAATCCAGATGAACTTTCTCGGCCAATGCAAGGATCGAACACCCGACCTCCAGGCTAGCGAGCCAGCGTCTTAACCACCTAGCATATGCCTGTCTTCATTAGCCCAGTCCGAGCAGAACAGTAGGACGTTAAACCCCCTTTCATTTCATTTCATATACGTTAAGAGATTACTCTTTGAAACGTCGCCTAAATAAATCAGTAACTGTATGTGTTAATAGTTTTTCAGGCAGGTTTTTAAAAAGAGAACTTTTTTACGCAATGGAATAATTATTTGTGAAATGGATCTTATTTTAAAGCTAAGACCATTCGACCAACCAACCAAACCCCCGCCACCCTTTAAAAACATAAATGAAATGAAATAACTTCACAGGTAAACTTAGAGCATTTGTAAATTGTTGTATTCCCCCTATAAATATAACTCAATGAATATATTACCTGATTTAGCTGGTATAAGATGTGTTATCGAGTGTTTCCGAACTTTGCGGCGTCTGCTGCCGACAACCATTTCATTAACTTGATCGGTTTTAAGTCGAACGTGAGGTGGTAGACAACAAGTTCCCTCTTCCTTCACAGCTGGAAAAACAAGACAACACAGACTATATTTATGTAAAAAAAAAAAGACAAAAAAGGAGGGGGTGGTCGCTTGTCAGTCTGTAACTGTTTAAATCAAACAGAATTTCAATCAAGGCTAGCGGAATTGATTCTTGTCACAATTCTGCTAGTCCTGTAAATGGATGTTATGTAAGAATAGCGTGCAGTTTCAGCTACATGTATGTTGAATCTCAGATAGGTCGTAATTGTGTTGTATTCAGTAGGTACATGCCTTGTCACCTAAAACTCACTTGTTTACTCAATGACACGTTTTGCAGGATTAATAGACGTTATGTAAGAATAGCGTGACGTTTCAGCTATGGTGAATCTCAAATTAGTTGTGATTGTGTCGTTACAACATGACACATTTTACAGGATAAATAGATGTGTCTAAGTAGTGCATTATTCTTATTACACTGATTTTTATACAAGTTCTAGTGATGTTATTACAATGGATCAGTTACCAGGGGAAGGATCAGGAATGGTTTAATTGATCGAATTCCAATCGGCCCTGACAACCAACGTGGTCCGAGTGGTTTGGAAAAAGTGCATTATAATAGTAAGTGCAGGCGGACCGCAATACACACAAACAAAACACGTAAACAAAACATGGAAACAAAACAAGTAAACTTTACACGCAAACGAAACACACAAACAATACACACAAACAATACACAAAAACAAGGATTTTTCTGTATGGTTCTACCATGCTGATCTGTGCTTTAATCGAAAGAATTGTAATTGGTCCTGAATTGATCTTTTAAACATGGTGAATCCTAGCGTGTTATAGAGAGTTTGTACATGCTCTGTTGACCAATATTCTCCCCACTATTCATCGGATTACGGAAATCATACATACCTGTTATGGTTGTGGTGGATTTTTTAATGCTACTTTCACTCAGATGTCGAGTACGATTTAGATTCTTTTTCCCGCCCTTCGACAGCTGATCTAACGAACATGCTGGAAGGTCAGCTATATGAGCCTCAAGATCAAAATCTCTGAAAACAAAAATAAAACGAAATGAAATGAAATTTGGTTTAACATCCTACTGTTTTGAACCAACTGGGCCTGTGAAGAGGGGCGTACATCATGCTTTCTGTCAAGAGACAAATACTTTGATTTAATCAAATATGGAGGACCGAGACATAGCTTCGATCAACCAGTACGGTGGTTGAAATTATTGCACACGTCTGTCAAACCTTCAAAGGCTAATATCTTCGCTTGCAATAGAGTAATTTGAATAAAATTTTCAAATTATTCATTTTACATCATCTACTTTCGAACTATTATAGCAAGAAAGGCTAGTTCTTTATCTAAATCTTACATAATGTATCTTTAACATTTTTATACACATTTTTGTCAGTGTTGAATGAAATGAAATGGGGTTTAACAGCCTACTTTTGTCAGTGTTATTGTGACGCTCAGGTTACTAAGAAACTTATATTACCCAGTCTTATATTTCTTGAGATCTTCGCCTTCTTCACTTTCTGATATGACACGTTTACGATTTGGTTTTCTTTCAACCAAATCTTCTACTGTCATAATATCTTCATAGCCATCACTAGAATACATAAATAAAATAAACATCGTTAATACATCACCTGGTTAAACCTTGCATTAGGTAGTCAACGCATCGTTATTACATCACATGGTTCAGATAGTCAACACATCGTTATTACATCACATGGTTCAGATAGTCAACGCATCGTTATTACATCACATGGTTCAGATAGTCAACGCATCATTATTACATCACATGGTTCAGATAGTCAACACATCGTTATTACATCACATGGTTCAGATAGTCAACGCATTGTTAATACATCACATGGTTCAGATAGTCAACGCATCGTTAATACATCACATGGTCAAATCCTTGTATTAGGTAGTCAACCCATTGTTATTACATCACAAGGTTAAAGCAGAAATTGTAAATTTTCTAAGAAAGTCAAAACGTAATTATTTCTATGTCTTTTGCTCAATTGGTTGTCAACTCACAATTATACGATCATAGGCGTCATTCTCACACTTAAAACTCATTTACACAGGAAATAATAACACAATTACCTCCCTTGTTTTCTATTCTCCACCATGGAGTAGCTTTTTTCAAACGTTTGAAAATGAAGAGGAAAATGATATTTTTGCCAATTTCTCAGCTGGCAATAGTGAATTATAGGATTAATAGGATTATTCTTTAACAAGGTAGGACTGTTTATAGATACCATCTATTTTAAGGCTTTATTTTAATAAATTTTAAAATTTAAAAATTTGCAATTTCCGCTTTAAACCTTGCATTAGGTAATCAAGACATCATACATCACATACCAGCTTAACCTTACTTCATTAGTAGCCCGTCATATGAATGAATGAATGAATGAATGAATGAGAGAGAGAGAGAGAGAGAGAGAGAGAGAGAGTTTAACATCCACTTGACACAAAGTTGGTCATTTCGGTACCAACACATGGTTCAATTTTATTTCAATGCTTTGCTTGTGTGTAGGTGTCTTTAGCAGTCGGGGGAAACCGGAGGACCCAGAGAAAACCCATGAGGTTGGACAGGCGACCCTACTCGTCACGTACAACCAGGGAATCGAAACCACCCCAGTTGACTCAATGACAGACCTTATGATACAACATGCTCGCGCTAACCATTCGGCCATTCACACACACACACACAAACCCTCTCCCCCATGTCATTTGAACAAACAGAAGAAGCCCAGACACAAGTCCAGAGAGTGGAGGGGGTTAGTCCTCCCCTCCGGGTGGTGGGGGGCTGGTTCTATCCTGCTTTTTTCTCCTACATTCAGCAAAATAACGTCAAACAAACCAAATGTGCAAATTATTGCCGCCTTTTTGGGGTATTGTTTTTGTGTTCTGCCCATAATATTCCTAAAATGATATGAAATAATAATTTGTGTCTTAAATGACAAGGGGATTCTTGTGTTCTGCCAATAATATTCCTAAAATGAAATGAAATAAGGGGATTCTTGGGTGTGACCTAGTTAATAAATCTAACCAACTCACCTGTCATCATCAGGTGTAGTTTTAGCTGCACGTCTTGCCGCTAATCTCTCTTTAGATGGCTGAATAATCCCCTCATTAATCAGTTCTTGATAGCGTTGCCCTCGGTTACGACGACGAGATTTCCGCACTGGTACCATGTCATCATTTTCGGGAGATTCGTAATCTTGTATCGAGCGTTTAGTCCCTACCCCTTCTGAACTGTCTCTGTCAGCATGTTCAGTATGGTCGTCATGGTGATGATCTGTCACCTTATTATCATCAGAGTCTTTCTGATCTACGCTTTGTTTTTCTGACGATTCTCGTTCCAGCTTTTCTGTCATTGCCTGATCCTCTTCCAGTCTTTTTAAGATGGATGTTTTCATTGGTTCAGTTTCCGTCTGATTGTATATCTCTGTGACAACTCGTTCAATATTTGATTCCACTCGGTCTTCACTTCGCATGGTTGCTATTTGCGCTTTCTTTTTCACTTCAGGACTCTTTGCTGTCTTTTGTTGACATTGGATCTGGGCGGACACCAAACGGTCAAAAATATGGTCGACAACTAATTTACCACAGTGAACGATATTATTATCGTTTTGATCGGATGTATTTGGAGCGTTATGTTCTTGCTTGACCTCCTCTGTTGTCCCGGGAGACGTTTGATGCAAAACGTCACTCTTCCGCTCTATTTTAACATCTTTAGTTTTTGCTGTTTCTGTCAAATTGACGCTGGTAGGAATGACCTCCTTTCTATGAAAACCCTGATCTTCTTGTTTCCTGTTCTTAGGTTCGGGGATATTTAGTATTGTCTCCCTTGTCGGTTTTGTTGACAGGTCCATCGGTTCGGATTCTAATTTCAAACTTGTAGCAGTCGACACAGCATCTTCTTTACAAACGCTTTTAGTTGACTTTGGTTTTAATTCACAGTTCTGAACTACTTTCTTTGGTGTCTTCTTTTTAATGTCAGTTGGTTCGGGGTCAAAGGTTAATTCATTGGTGCACATCTGCAACAGAAAAGAACATTTGCATAAAATACTTCAAGTTGACTCAATGACAGACCGTATGATACAGCGCGCACATGCTAATCATTCGGACATTAGTACGTTGGTATGATAATAAACAAAGTCTTGATTATCCATTTTTACGTTAAATTATCCATCACAAAATGTATTCAAATCCACTAAATATCGCAGGCTAACGATGGCATCTTAATTAATGTCTATTTAATAAAGAAAGACCTGCCATAGGTCGATATACCTATGAGTTAAAAAGAGGCATATCACAAGATTTTACCTAAAAGTTGTGCTAACTGGCTCATCAGAGGATGCCGAATGCTGTGAAATTTTCAATTTATATCCTGGTAAAAATCAAACGGACTTGAAGCCTTTTGGTCTCATATTTCTTTTAGAGAATCAATTTTCACAATATTGGAAATTTCCGGAATTTAAACTCCATGGAGTTATGGTAGAACAGCAATTCTAAAATTTGGTTTGTCTTCTGCTATGGTGATATCGCAGACAAGTTGTCTTATTTCATTATGCATAGTGTACACGCAGGGGTCCTTAAGACCACGGGGTTGAAAAGGTGCCCCTATCTCCAGGCCACGTTCGCTCACACCACGACCACAAGCCAGAGGTGACCGGACAGCTAGAGCTCAAAGCGCGACACTCTAGACCACTAGGTCTAGGTCATCCCAAACTGTAACGATTTTATTCTTACCTCAGCTAACTCTACGAGAGCTGATTTACTATTGGATGGATTTTGTTCTTACCTCAGCTAACTCCAAGAGAGCTGATTTACTATTGGATGGATTTTATTCTTACCTCAGCTAACTCCAAGAGAGCTGATTTACTATTGGATGGATTTTATTCTTACCTCAGCTAACTCCAAGAGAGCTGATTTACTATTGGATGGATTTTATTCTTACCTCAGCTAACTCTACGAGAGCTGATTTACTATTGGATGGATTTTATTCTTACCTCAGCTAACTCTAAGAGAGCTGATTTACTATTGGATGGATTTTGTTCTTACCTCAGCTAACTCTACGAGAGCTGATTTACTATTGGATGGAATTTATTCTTACCTCAGCTAACTCTAAGAGAGCTGATTTTCTATTGGATGGATTTTATTCTTACCTCAGCTAACTCTAAGTGAGCTGATTTACTATTGGATGGATTTTATTCTTACCTCAGCTAACTCTAAGAGAGCTGATTTACTATTGGATGGATTTTATTCTTACCTCAGCTAACTCTAAGAGAGCTGATTTACTATTGGATGGATTTTATTCTTACCTCAGCTAACTCTAAGTGAGCTGATTTACTATTGGATGGATTTTATTCTTACCTCAGCTAACTCTAAGAGAGCTGATTTACTATTGGATGGATTTTATTCTTACCTCAGCTAACTCCAAGAGAGCTGATTTACTATTGGATGGATTTTATTCTTACCTCAGCTAACTCCAAGAGAGCTGACTTACTATTGGATGGATTTTATTCTTACCTCAGCTAACTCCAAGAGAGCTGATTTACTATTGGATGGATTTTATTCTTACCTCAGCTAACTCCAAGAGAGCTGATTTACTATTGGATGGATTTTATTCTTACCTCAGCTAACTCCAAGAGAGCTGATTTACTATTGGATGGATTTTATTCTTACCTCAGCTAACTCTAAGAGAGCTGATTTACTAGTGGATGGATTTTCATCGGTAGGTGTTGTTTCTGTTTCCGATTCTCGTCTGTCTCTAGGAGTATCAGATTTCACGGGTAACGACTGCTGCCCTGCCATCAATAATAAACTCAACCCTCCCATTTTAGATGGATCTAAAAATCATACAAATACAAAAATTAACTCGAATTTTTTTTTTTTTTTGGTACAAATGGCTAAAACTTTCAAAAATAAAGCCTGATTATTTAGACAGTTGGGGAGGGAAGACAACTCCTTGTTACATATAAACCTGTGATTGGTTGAAAATATTTCGCAAATTTCAAAACAAAAATTCTCAAATATCATGGTTTTGGACTTCAAAACCTGCCCTTCACGTTTATGAAATCGTGCAAGATCCATAAAAAGTTCCTGCCAATTTCAAAAATGAGAAAAAAGCTCCTGTAACAACTTTTCTTAATCATAGTGCAAGAGTAATTCTATATTTTCATGAATTAAGCAGAGCCAAATTGTATTATACTTTAGTCTTGTTTAATATTCTCTTTACAAACGTATATGTTCTTATGGAAGATACTGCCTTACATTAGCATTCTAACCCACGCCACCTGATTCAATGCCAGACCTTATGATCTAAGTTGCATGTGTTAAACCATTTGACTACCCAACCCCCTCAGTTTGCAACGGATGACGCATCAAGTCTTTTAAGGTAATATGGGGCTAATATGGGGATCACAGTGGCTAAGTGGGTAAGATGTTGACTCACTAGCCTGGAGGTCGGGTGTTCGATCCCTGCATTGACCGAGAAAGTTCATCACGATTTTCGGGCGTGGTTCCCCCTTGTCAGTGATGAAGGACAAAGGGTCTGACAAGGACAGCTGTCTAGTCGTTCGGATGGCACGAAAAAACGAGGTCCCGTGTACACATTGGCATGCACGTAAAAGACCCCTTGATAGTTGGAATTCGATATAAGAGTATGCCGTAGAGCCACTGTCCGGGCAAAATTTCCCTCATAGCACACTGTATGGCGTATGCCCGTCTTCATTAGCCCTGTTCGGAGCAGAAAAGTAGGACGTTAAACCCCATTTCATTTCATTTTATTTCCTTAATCCTTCTCTGAGAATAAAATATTGTTTTAAAGGGACAATAACACTCTTGCTGCCTTGACAGCTCCAAAAAAATAAATAATAGCCTTATTCTAAGTACTAGATGTGTTAGTGTCCTACCTGTTGTGTAAATTATCCATTAAATCTTATTTTACTTGTCCAGAGGGTTCAAAAATATTTTTAAATCCAAGTCACATTTGAAAAGCTTTACTTCCGGCTTTTCAAATCATTTAGTTGAATTTTTCCAAATTTTTAAATTAGGTGTGTTAAGATGAAATTTGTATCATCAATTAATTGGAATATTGTCAAATAGTGCAATTTTTTGACCAGAATAAAAATTGGGACATATTATTCAGTTACAACAAGAGTGGTATTGAGCCTTTAAAGGTAAATAGAGATACGTCTAACTAACCTGCTAGTTTTCCCGGTACAATACTCCCATCCATGTTTACATCAACTTCATTCTTTATCACACGAGCATTGGTTGGTCTCGTCGCCATCTTTACAGGGGGTTGGTGGATTTTATCAGGGTTGTGCCATTTGTAATCAGGGTTCGCTTTCATAAACGCATCTTTATACTGTTAAAATATTAAATTATCATTTGAATACTGTTAATACATTCTTCATATAGTTATACTGTTATAAATTGTTCTCTTAAACATTTGTACTGTTAAAATATTAAATTATCACACGGTTAAAATATTAAAACATATATTTATACTGTTATAAAATTATAAATTGTTCTCTTAAACATTCGTACTGTTAGAGTAGCTAAGTCTCTAACACAATATCATCCAAAGTCTTCGATACTGAAAACACGAATTATTTGTGAATTTAAATCAACATTGATGCTGTGATATTACCAGGAAAAGACGGGCTTCTGATATTCAATATTTAAGACAAAATAAACATTTTACCATTGTTACACGAACCGTGCGTGTACCATAATGTGATTCGGCGCAATTTGTAACAAAAAACTCGAATGACGAGGCTAGACACATTCCACAAGTCATGTCAAACAGTAATTCATATCCTATCTGAAGAGCATGTGCAATAAATACTATCTGTGTAGACTGGAATAACCAGATGCCAGAGATTGCTATTCTCTTGAGACTTCTGGCATATTTTGCCGAACATAGGCCTAACTGATTTGAAATCAGAGTAAAAACAGAAACGATTGAATGTAAATCAGTTTATAAACATTCATATTACATTATTATATGCGTTACGACCCTTTTGTGTCAATTTCATGGGTCCCAAATATAAGCGATATAGCTCCTTTAAATATAATATCATCATATTACTACTGTTATAAACTATCATATATTTATACTTTTATAATATTAAGTTATTGTATATTTCCCAGGTGATCCTTGTCAATCACAAACTTGGGATCAAAACTACGTCACTTGACTATATGACAGACCCTATGATCTAAAGTAAACATGATAGACCACTTGACCCCCCCCCCCCTCAATCACCAGTCTAAGCTACAGTCAACACTATTCATTTGATCTTTAATATATAAATTCATGTATTTCCCAGGTGATCCTACTCTTTGTCAAACACAAGCTTGCGATCAAAACAACGTCACTTGACTACTATATGGCAGACCCTAGGATCTAAAGTACACCTGTTAGACCACTTGGCCACCCCTCCCTCACTCACCAGTTTAAGCTACAGTCAACACTATTCATCAGATCTAAAAGTAAATTAATTTACCTGTTTGGCTAAAGTTGTATACACAGATTTCTTCTCATTACCAAGGTTAGCCCACAAATCTCCAAGAATTCTTGTTACGCTACGATTATCCAGATCAGGGTTCTTCTCTCGGACCATACTTCGGTGTCTCTTGCAGAATATAAGGAAGGCGTTCATTGGTCGACGCACATCCTTCTTGTCAGTCTCATGGACCTCCATGACTCAAGTGACGTCACTCCTGAAAGTATCAAAAATAAATATTGTTAATTATCCGTATTTTAAATCAGCGTTTCAATCGACATAATGACCTCGTTGGAAATAGACCTGGTTTTCATGGGTTTTCATGGGTTTTCCTTAAGAACCAGACCAGTCATGTTATTTCTTTTCTTTTTATTGTCATGAGTGTTTCCGTTTCTATAAATAAATAAATAAATCATGCGCCTACCATTGTGTCAATATGACTGTAGAGCTCTTAGAAATAACTATTGTTATAATGTAGCGCTTTAAAAATGAAATTATAATAATAATAATAATATTATAATAAATAAATAAAAATGTGGAACCTGTTCCCGAGCTCTTCATGATTTCACTATTTTTACATATATATACATTGCATGTTGTAACATTTGAATGAGAAAATCTACCAATGGGCCTAAACTGAATACAGATATGAGAAAGAGCTTAAAACATGCCATTATAGAGATAACATCTAGAGTTAATTATAATACCATGAATTATTATAACATGGAATTATAGAGATAACATCTAGAGTTAATTATAATACCATGAATTATTATAACATGGAATTATAGAGATAACATCTAGAGTTAATTATAATTCTATGAATTATTATAACATGGAATTATAGATATAACATCTAGAGTTAATTATAATACCATGAATTATTATAACATGGAATTATAGATATAACATCTAGAGTTAATTATAATACCATGAATTATTATAACATGGAATTATAGATATAACATCTAGAGTTAATTATAATACTATGAATTATTATAACATGGAATTATATAATTAATCATAACACTTTAAATAATAATATCAGATTTTTTAGACCAGAAGATAATATTTATAGTAAGTTAAGTTTACGTAGAACAGTAACAGAATAGTGTGGAATTGGATTCATATTGGTATTTTTTGTGAAATGAAAATGAAATGAAATGGGGTTTAACGTCCTACTGTTTTGCTCCGAACTGGGCTAATGAAGACGGGCATACGCCATACAGTGTGCTATGAGGGAAATTTTGCCCGGACAGCGGCACTGCGGCCTACTCTTATATCGAATTCCAACTGCCAGGGGCTCTTTTACGTGCATGCCAATGTGTACACGGGACCTTGGTTTTTCATCCCATCCGAATGACTAGACAGCTTTCCTTGTCAGCCCCTCTGTCCTGCATCATTGACAAGGTAGAACCACGCCGAAAAATCTGGATGAACTTTCTCGGCCAATGCAGGGATCAAACATCCGACCTCCAGGCTAGCGAGACAGTGTCTTACCCACTTAGCCACGTATTTTTTGTTTCAGTACTCACATGAGGAATGAAAGGTATTTTGCCTGGAGAGCAATGTTTCTGTCTGCTCTCGGCCAATTCCAACTGTGAAGTGTGTGTTTGGACCTCGGTTATTCCACAAACCTGACAACAGTTTCCTTGTCAGCCCCACAGACAGGTGAGAACTGGCTTGAAAAACCTATGGTTCATCTAGACCGTTCTTGCTTTTTGAAAGGGGTTTAATGGCATATCAACAATGTACTTGATTTTTTTTTCTATGTTATGTGTGAAGTGATAATTTTGAATAGACAACACCTCTTTCAATATATTCATCTTTCATTATCTATTTTGAAACTATTATATTGTGGATGGCGTACATAATAGTGTCTTTAAAGGAGCTAAGTCGCTAATATTTGGGACCTAGAAATTGACACAAATGGGTCGCAATGCGTACAATAATGTAATATGAATGTATATAAATTGATTTACATTCAATCGTTTCTGTTTTTACTGTAATTTCTAATCAGTTAGGTTCGGCGAAAATACGCCAGTATTCTCAATCGAATTTCAATCTCTAGCGTCTGGTTATTCCAGTCTACGCCGATAGTATTTATTGGGCATGCTCTCCAGATAAGAATATAGCGTCACGATTCGTGTACCAATTGTAAAATGTTTATTTTGTCTTGAATTATTGGATATCAGAAGCCCATCTTTTCCCGTTAGGATCACAACATCAATGTTGATTTAAACGGACAAATAAATCATGTTTTCAATGTTGAAGATTTTGGATGATATTGAGTTAGAGACTTAGCTACTTTAATGCCATGTAATAAAAACAAACGTCCCAGTGAAACAGGACAACTTAGATTAATTCGAAAATTGTAAAATGTGTCGACAAAGAACTAACGAATGAAATGAAATGGAGTTCTATATTTTCTCAACATGAATACTGATATCATTTTCAAAGTAACATATGGTAAATATTATTGCTAGTACAACATGACAGAGAACAACATTTCCTACAACCTGGGTTCCTAACCTCTTGGTCTCAACTTTTCATGGGGTCATGGTGGACGGCTCCGAAACTTTTAAAAAATGCTATGTTTTTATGAAAAGCTCTGATATATCTATACACTTCTGGCAACATTGCCAATCGTTTTTCCACATTTTATCTTTATAAAGATGTAAGAATGTAAACAATAAGTTGTCAAATAGTAAACAATATTAAATATAAATAATGATGATGTTTCATAGTAAAACGTGACTTTGCTCTTCGACAGGGTCGTGATCAAATGCTGGTTTACAGAATCGGGTCGTAACCAACAAAAGATTTGGAACCTCTGTCCTACAACATGCCTATTCGTCTGTCAGCAGCAGCAGAAAGATGGCAAGCTTAAAGGTCAGATCTCTGTCACATTATATTTCTTAATCTTTTAAAATCTGTAATGGATATGTATTGATTTTGATTATGGCTGATTGGTTACGGCCTATCAAAAAGGTTTATTCTATATCCCCCAGTTTTCCTAAAAAAAATAATTTCAAAAATCCATTATATTGGTCTTAACGTCCTACTTTCTGTATATGCCATACAGTGTGGTATGAGGGAAATTTTGCCAGGACAGCACGCTACGGCCTATTCTTTATTTCAAATTCCATTGGCAATATGTACACGGAATCTGTTTGTTTGTTTTTTATCCCTAGGCGTCTTAAACTCTTTGGGGATTGGATGGCCGAATGGTTAGCATGTGTGCGTTGTATCATAAGGTCTGTCATTGAGTCAAGTGGTGTGGTTTTGATTCTCCAGTTGTACATGACAAGGAGTAGGGTCGCTTGTTCAACCTCATGGATTTTCTCCGGGTCCTCTGGTTTCCTTGCACTGCTACTCACAAGCGAATTGTTGACATAAAATTGAACCATATGTTAGTCCCGAAATGACTAGTTTGTGTCGAGCGGATGTTAAACCCCCCTCTCTCTGTCTGTCTGCCTCTCTCTCTCTCTAAAATCTTATTTGAAGTCACTGATCACAACTGTGCTTTTTGAAAGTATTCAGAAATTTATACTTATCAAGTTATCAAACAAAACCTGTGTGAATAATGAAAGGATAATCAACTGATGATGACATTACTGTCAGGCTAATAATAAAGTGTTGAAATGAGTTGATCTGCGTTATTTTAATCCAGGAAGGGATCAAATTAAAATATTACACGAATGTCATCTTAGGTTAAAATTGTCAACAGTCGAACAAACAAGACAAGCGTACGATGGAATACAAAATGAGCATGACATCATCTCCGACATCTTGAATTTATCACGACGCGTAATATCAAAAACCGAAGTCCATCAATCAATGCAGAATTGTCCCAGAAACAATCATGCCAAGTTTCAAGTCAAAGGTAATTCAATTGGTGGAATCTTAAATTATTCAAAGAGCGCCTCCACCCCCACAAAACAACAAGATGTGTAGCGGTTGGGGACCAATTCTGGGGCCAAAATTTACAACTTTATCTCTCAACATAGGTTACATATATATCAGTTGATATGAAGTTTTAAATATAGACCGATACCCACTTCATAAAACATATCATTCTTTATTAAATCAACATTTTTATTTCTTGATCTAATATAATAGGACATGTCATTTTAAGCTTGATTTGATTTATTGCTCATCATTGCTTTATATGTTATGTCATTAATCTGGTCAAATGAAAACGGAAGAAATGTACGATTTCTATTCTTAGATGCCATCCATTATAATAGTCTGATGTAATAACACTGTATTTAATTTACTGCTATTCATTTTATTAAATACCAAATCACTGACATTGTCGTTTTTATTGATATTATTATTTAACAAAGGCAAGCGTGTAATAAACAGAACGTATTTACTGTATTCCATATAAGTACTGAATGTGTAATATACTACATAACGGACCACTACGTACTTCGCTTCATCATGACGTAGGCAGTCCGTTGATATTTACTATTTTTCTTCCCGATTATGATTCAATCCGAAGATAAACGAGAATATAATGACATCTCATTTCATTATTCATCAAAATCTTACAACTTCACATCAAATTTCGCCATATTACAACATATGTCCATTGAATAAACGCTTATTTTTGACGTGAAATCGTTTGACCCCAAAACAACTCAAGTTGTGTTACGCTGACGGGGCCAGCCGACAAGAGAGGTGCGATGCTTCGATAACAAACACACAATTGACAAATTGACAAGATCAAAAACTCGCCATTTTCACACAATACCCCACCAGTAATCAGAGAAATAAGATGTTATTTATCAAAATACACAACCTTACGAAACAACTAACGGTCGACAATTAACCGTTATTCGTGAAATTGTCAAAACATAACGGCTCATTATCTATGCAAAGTTGGCTAAATTTCATGGCTACCGAAGCCGTTCAACTCGACAGCTTGGCTGAGAACATGTGGAATGTAATTCTTCAATGAAAAGCCGAGTGATTGTCTGTAATCTTTACGGCTATCTTATTTAATTGACGCAAACTTACCTTTTAACAGGAGGATTACGGTTAATCAAATCTGTAACTGTGAAATCAGGCAAAGCGATTTAGATCGGGCGAATGGGCCATACACGATTTGGGCCTGGAAGAAATGAACTTGACAATATGTAGGTCAAGGTAAACTGAACTGCAAGCGGGGGACTGGAGTTCTTCATTACGCGACAGTTGTACGTGATATGATCTCGATTCACAACAGTAACACTTTCATTTGATCAATATATAATGATTTCATATATGTAATTGGCGAATTCTTCAAAATATAAGGGATCAACCGATCGCTAGTACTGTCAATGTTTTGTCTCTGTTAGTAAACAAGGTTAATGGCGGGAAAGGGCACGTGCTAGTGTTTGACGTCTGATCGGTCCACCTGTCCATATTGTAACTGTAATATGAATGAAAACTCGTAACATTTGTCACCGTTGAATGAAGGCGTCTGCCTTTAAAGGCGGTAGCAAATACTACGATTACTGTAAATTCGGATTTGTAAATTGTAGATAATAAACACTTAAAACAGTGCCACTCGGGAGTAAAAATTAAATATTTTATTCTAGCTCCCTGAAGTTTAAACTATCACCGTAAAAGAATGACCCAGGGCAAGCTCTAATCTGGTTCAAATTGTTTGTTTTTCTAAGACCATTTCATTTACATTTTCTAAAATGACAAATGCATTTTGTTGGGGTTTTTTTGTGTGTATCTTTGCAAAACAAGGCGTTTTAATTTATAATCGCCCAATGAACAATAAGTGTTGGCGGGTGCATTGCCTGTCGTGCATGAGGCAGAATATGGTTCATGGCTAATTTTTCTATGACACGTAATAGATCTGTCTATCCCAATATTTTTATTTATGCATCCTTTTTATTTATATTCACAAAGTAATGAGTATTAATTTACAATCGCTCCAATTAACAATATTTGACGATGGATCCAACCGTAGGACCGTAACTAGCTCAGGACCGTAAGTGTTCTCAGGGGTGCTGTAAAATTGACGGACAATGTATATCTATTTTTTTTTTATGGTCGAAAATTTTTTCACAGGGGGGGGGGGGGGGAGTGTAATCGTATACATATATAATCATTCCTAATAATTATCATGTTATACTATTCATTTCAATTTGTTCATTAAATCGGTGGTAAGCCCTCGGGAACGCTATACAACAGCGAGCAGTTCAATAATGTCCCTTATTCAAAGACATATTTCGCTTTTATGTTCTGGAAACAAAAATTAACATGATATTTTTTCTGTATTTGGAAAGGGAATTAATGTTAATTGCGGGAATTTCTGTAAATAACACGAAAAACAAATACGGTTGAAATTTTTCTAGTAATTTTTTTCTCAGGGATTTTTTTGTTACAGTGAAAACTTCATGTAAAGTATTTTAAAGATTCCGTCATTGAATTGGCCGAGTTATATCAAACTATTAAATATTAAAAGTGTTTTAGTTGAGGTTTTCAAAAACTAAAACGTTTAAGGAAGGTATATTGCCTCAAGACGTTTGGCGTCAACACTGTATTTCGCGAAATCCTCGGGCCTTTAAAACGGTTGAGACCCCGGATGATAAAACAGATACATTTCATGCTTTTTTCATCTTGACCCTTGACTGTAAAATCAATCGGTGCTGTTTGATAATATCGATGCTAAAGAACACCTATCGACGTGGACAACAGGACAAGACATAATAATATGACAATGGAATTAATGCATTAGTGGGAAGATAGTCTGACAACACTAAAACATTCTGAAAGTTTACTTCCGGGTTCCTTCACTTCCCCGTTATATGTACATGATTTATAGACCAGTAGAACTTTATTACGTCCATTAGTTCCTGGTTGTTATCGCATGCAAGCAAGGCGTAGAATCACTCCAAAAGTTCAAATTCACAGTTTTCTTTGTGGTTTTGCTCGATTATGTTCTACGATCGGTTTAGGATCATGGTGCAGTAACATTCGCATTTATCTCTACGATATGTTATTACTAGATCTTAAAAATTGCAGATTATAAAGGACACGTCATGATGTATAAGTTTCATTTTTCTAAAGTCGTTAATAAGCTCGTCTCTTGATCAATGAACTTTCTAGACCGCTAAAGAATGCATTACTATAATTATTAGAAATCGGGCGTCGGAACTAAAAACAAACAGTAGTGGTATAGCTAACCCACATATTTTCTAAAACAACAATGTAAAATAGGAACGGTTTGGTTTATATAATCTGCGAACATATCGCAATACTGACAACTTGACATTGAAGGCTTATGAAATCATGACACGAGTCTAATCATTATTCATTTTATTGCCCCTAAACTTTGGCAATATTTGCACGAGTTGGTGAAAAATGTTGTTATAAAGGACTACCTTGACGAATTCCCGCGTTTTTAACAAGATGTAGGCCTATATTTTTAAATATTACAGACCTATATAGCAATAGTATTTTTCTCATTGCATACTGCCTATATCAAGGGTGTGTGCAGAACAATGAGCAGGGGTTGGTTGGGAGGTCCTTGTTCCGGTGTGACAGATCGTGGAGGATATTCAGAAACAATACAAAACTGCGGAAATGCACTGCTGTTTTTATTAGAGGTAACCAGTGTATGTTAATAACAGGCCAATTGCCTACACATGAACATAAACAGTTCATATTTAATAATGAGTAATTGCTCCATCAATCCTCAGACATTCAGCAATTCGTCGTGGCATGCTCCTAATCAACCGTCCAATCACGATTTTGGAAAATCTGACCCACTCCTCTTGCAGTGCCACGGCCAATTCTTGCAGTGTTGTCGGTTGACGTTAACGTCGACGAACACGTCTCCCGATCAAATTGAACTTAACACACCAAAGCAAAGATACGCTAAACAGTAAATCTTATGCAAGAACCGATAGGAAAGCAAACATTGATAGGATAAACCAGCAAGCGGCAGTTTTCATCAACCCTTCCTTGAAGTGTCAAATTTAACGATGAACCCCTCCCACGTGTATGGCGCTATTGCGTGTCGCATGTGCAGCTCAGTGGTTCTGTTGGGGCGTTAAGTTCTTCATCTGTAAACATACTCTCAAAGCATGTCAAGTGTCTATGACTATTTATCATATGACAACCTGCATAGGTATTTGCATTTCAATATCCCCTACTTTCTTTGAAGAGTATATATGGGGCTTTGCCCCCAGAAAATTTTTAAAGTCTAAAGTCGATTTCTGAAGGAAATTTACTCTTTTAACTTTTAAATGTATAGGCCTATATATTCCCTTCTTTAGCTACGTTATTGGTGCAGAAAAGTAGGACGTTAAACCCATTTAATTTCATCTCCGGTTCTATTTTTGTTCTACAAAATTGAAATGGAATGGGGTTTTATGGCACGTCAGCCCCAACCGCGCTAGGCCTATATTGCGCCAAAAGTTATTCTACACTCAGTTCGCTAATTCAAATTCAAATTTTATTCAAATTTGCCAGCGGCGCGGGGATGAGTGGAAACGGTTACGTTGCAATTGCGCATTCATCTGCAATTAAAATCCGCTGATAGTCGAGCGATAGGATCACCGTAATATCTCAACTCTGTACCAGATTAAAAATGCCTCCGTGAATCGACAAGCTTCACATGATCTTTAAAGTGTGGTTTTCGCTTGTAAGGAGTGATGTGTGTGGAGCGATCGAACGAGCAACGTGCAGAGGAGTCGTTATAGGGTGCTACGAAAAACCCCAAAGTCCAGCCATATTACTGATGGACAAGTAAAACTCTGACGTCGCCTATACGTTGCAGTTAGCTAGGGCACTATACAATTCACCCCTAGCATTGCACACGTGTGACCACGAGGAAACACTATGTTAGTCTCAAAATGCCCAAAGTATTTTGTTGACAAGACGTAAACGTCGATTATGTAGCCTACCTAGGCCTATATTGTATATTAGGATATCTAATGACCATTGGATTGCTTTTTTCGTAACAAATACAAATCTTTTTAATGGATTTTTTTATTTCTATTTGGGCAGTACGTTAGGCCTGTATTAACTATGTTATATATATACATTTGATATAGTCAATAAAGAAAAAAATCTTTTTCTATTACCGCGATGGGGGGGGGGGTGGATGGCCATGGTCTATCATTATGTTTGCTGGCGTGGTTTCGATTCCCCGGCTATAGGCCTACGTGACCAGGAGTAGGGTAAAAATTGCCACTCCAACATCGTGGGTTTTCTCCGGGCCCCCGGTTTCTTCCCACTGCTATAATGACCCTTATGCGCAAGCGAATTATTGAAATAAAATTGAACCATGTGTTAGTCTCCAAATGTCCTAGTTTGTGTCGAGTGGAGGTTAAACCCATCCCTCTCTCTCTCTCGCTCTCTTCTCTCTCTCTCTGCTCACTACCGCGAACAGAATTAACTTTATTATATAAGAGCGATGAACGAGTGAATGAAATATCTTTCAATAGATTATTTAAAACATATATGCCCGGTCAATATATTTTGTTAAATTAGAATATTTTAGCCCAGAAATCTATTTCATGAATCCACCATAGCTGTATAAAATAAAATTCGTTTCACTTTTTTAAATTTTCGGTGCAGAAATTGGATTCGACCATGACAACATCCTGTCACGTGCTGAACAGTAAATGGCGCTAAGAATGAAGTGACAGAAAGGTAATAAAACGCGTTAATAGTTTGATTTTACATTTAAATATTGCTATAAATTGATTCTGTCCCTTTATTGCAAATATTTACTCATGTAATTTTCTTCACTTTTTTTGATACTCTAAATTGGCTGCTGCTATGTCGTGGTTATTTCAAATATTATTTGTGAAGACAGAAGTACGCCCCAGATAGAATTCTCAGCCGTGGCGTAACTAGAAGAGAGAGAGAGAGAGAGAGAAATGGAGTTTAACGTTCACTCGACACAAACTAGGTCATTTTAGAACTAACGTATGGTTCAATTTTTATTTCAACAAATTGCTTGTGCGTAGGGGTCTTTAGCAGTTGTAGGAAATCGGAAGACCCGTAGAAAACCTACACAAACAATTGCTAGAAATGGTTCCACTACACCATATACTGATGCCTTCCGCCTTAATCCAGCCACAGTAGTGGCTCGTCCTACAGAGTTCCTTTGCGCAAGTTTTTTAGTCAAATGACTACAAAAAGGTAACTAGCCTATAGCTCCCTTAATTTACGCATAAACTGACCCAAAACATGTCATGGCGGCTTGCGTAATACGTCATTACAAGAAACATCGCTATGCAAATGTAGAACACATAACAACAAAGAAAAACTGTTCGGTAACTATTTTAGTGGTCCAGTCTTCACTATTTGTCATAGAATTACTTATTCCAATACAAACTGTAATGATACTTGTTGACAATTGTGCGTTTGAACCTATTTGAACTTGCCTAAGGAGTTTTAGACTGTACCAATTGTAACGTTAAACACACAGTTTAACGTTACAAGTGTAGTAACTACACAATTGCAGGAAATCAAAACCATGCCAGTTGACTCAATGGGGATGCTCGATTCACAGTCCGGAATGTCCCGAATTGACAGAATTGCAATCGAGTGACGCGGAATTCAGTCCTGTCAGTCCCGACGACGGAGGTGGTGTGAGTAGAATTGTGACGTAATTAAACACGACGAACAGGTTTCGGCTGCATGGTTGGGTGAGATATTTATATATCCAGTCGGCGCATGCGTTGTAGCCCGAAGTACCCATTTTCACTTGATTGTCACTATTTTTGGGATTGAGAGAATTCAATTTCGGAACATTCAATCGAGTACGCCCATTGACCGACCTTTTATCGACCATCCAACCCCTCTGACATAACTAGAAGAAGACATCAAAGGCTTTTTCGATTTGGAATTTATTTCTGGAGATATAAATTTATTTTTAGATTATAGCCGAACCACAGAAAGACGAGATCAGATGAATGAGGGCGAGTGTCTCGGTATGTGAAAGTTGACAGACTACTCTGATCAAGTAGAGAGTTAAAATGGTAACAGCATTTGTTGAAGGATGGGATTTGGTGCAGACACTGGGTGAAGGAGCTTATGGAGAGTAAGTTTTATCCCAATATATCAGTCTTCAGTTAATAATTTTAACTCCTTAGTTGGGTACGAGACCTAAAATCTGTGACCAATTTTCGGGGAAGTTGTTTTGAAGGTGGTTTCTATATGAAAAAACCTGCTGAAGCGATTAAGCTTGGGTGCCTCTCTCTAAAATGCTAGCGGAATCCGCTAGAGGGCCAAATTCAAAATGGCGGCCAGATTTGATGGAAAAATATAAAATTATTTCATATGGGCTTCTGAGGTGGCTAATCCTATGTTTTAAGGGTCTCTGAATCGAAATATCATAAAAATCCAAGATGGCCGCCATTTTTGGCCTGGAAAATAGTTTTGTTAACCATACCCAAGTTGTATGTTTTCTGGGTCGAAGTATTCCATTTTGATGAATTTGTGTCGAAATACGGCAACTAGCAATATGAATGAAAGAAATGAAGGTAATCACCGATATTTACCACCTGATATATACTCTGTTGTCAATTGATTTTAATTTAATCAACGCTTGATAATGGATCCTTGTAATCACGCACGATAATCGACATCATCAACTTATCCAATTCAAGTGTTACTCATCAGAATCACAGTCACCTGATTCTAAAGATAGATCAAGTTCTGATTCTTCAGATTCAGATTGTTCATCAGAAGTTGAAGTTTCGTCGGAATCTACATCACATGCACTACCACTGCCATGAACAAGTAAGTCACTTAAACGTCCTGGTAAGGCTGGATTCTCATATCTAATTGGTACGCACTGTCCGGATTGGAGTAGTTTCCAGCCATTACCAATGGGAGAATGTGTGATCTTAGACTTTGAGTAATTAAGCATTAAATATGCCTGAAAATTAGCTCTGGTGAGTTTAAGTTTGTAAGATTCCTCATCAGGTAGCAGCCCGCGAAAGTTTTTTCGTTTTATGCTTGACCATTTCTTGGCTCTCGCTTCTGTCAATGATACGCTTTTTTGGTCGTTATAAACACAAGTCAGAGTGTATGTTGTCATTTTCTTGATTAGTGTTTGCGTAACAGGAATCTTACTGCCTAGTTCTTTCAAGTCTGTTAACAAAGGCGATTTCACCGTTGCGTTGAATATGGTTTTCTTCGATCGTCCAAAAAATCCGGTCACCGTGTCTGCTCCAGAATGCACGTGGAACTGAACGATAACCACAACTATTGGCTTAGGAAACAGTTGTTTGCAAGTCTATAACTTGATCCATTCTCTTAATACCTAGATTTCCATCCTCTTTCATGGACACATAAGCCGAAAAGACAAAGACATCTGTATCTTTGGCATCTATCACTACAGTCTGGGACCACTGCAGTTTTCTGATCTGCGCATATATATAAAACATAATAGTGTCGGCTTTGTATTGGTAGCTTTCAAATTCCTGTAACATACCGCGTCACCAGCTGACAGATCATAACACTTTTCTGAAGAGAATAAATGAAATTTATGCTGTTGTGTGTCTTTGCATAATCCCGGAAGCAGTCCTTCAGCAATGCTTGAATACGTATTTTATTGGAATCACTGCAGCCTCAAATTCATTTTTGCTAGGGAAATCTTCTCCCAGACGCACAACTATATTTTTTGAACCAGATAAAAACTTCCCTGAGCGCAGCAGATGCTCGGAATCTTTGATGCAGCACTCTAGATCGTATGGATCGTTGACCAAAATTACTGTGCCTGCACGTGGATGACGAGATATGACAATGTCAATAACCGTCTTGGCATAGTCGTCCCACTTGTATTTTTCACCGTCGGCTTTCTCACGGTCTTCCGTCGTTGGAGCAGCTAGTCTCCATAACATACCCGTATCAATTCAATAATTACAATATACCCCGTCTCAACCTGCAGATGCACAAACTTCATGCATTCCACCAGCTTAGACTTCTGCGTTTTCACAATTGTGCCATTTTGATTAAAAATTGACAGACATTCTTCTGTGACCCGATATTTCATAATTTCCCGTAACTCGACTTTGCGTGATTCTTTTGTCATAAGACTAACAACATTTTCCATTGCCGTTTTCTCCATATGAGCTATTCGCTTCTGCTCTGTGGAGAGGTCTTAATTTGTTTCTACAGGTGGATTCTTAAAACTACATCGCTTGTTCTGGTGGACGGTGGCGTAGAATGAAACTTTATCAGAAAACATGCGATCGCTGAAAAAGTCATCAAGCAGCTTTTGACCATGCTTATGAGCTGTTTTGAAATCTTCCTGCAATGTAGTTGTCGCTAACATGCCAGATTGTAGACTACGAAGGGCCGAATTGGCGCATGCGAATGGATTACACTCAAATTCAGTCATGCAAGCCGAGATATCTTGTACTCCCTGTTCTTCCCTTCTGCGCACAGCTGTGGCATTATCTCTATGTTCATCCGTTCCTCTTCTGAGGTTGAGGGATTTATGTAAAGCAGATCTTGCTCGTACGACATAATTTGTAGTTAATGTATGTATCAGCAACATTTTCTCATTTTTTAGTATCTTGAGCCAACTGGACTTTAGCTTGGACCCCTGATTCATGGTCATTTCGATCCAAAGATCTAACGGAAGTAAAGAATATGGCTTTCCTGTCATAGACTGTGAGAAGATTTCTGGTATGAAGAAAATGACACTGTTAGGTAAAGTTTTCATGCTTAGCCAAAATTCCTGCAGCCATCGACCATACTTACCTTGGTCATATACTTTTAACCACGGCAACATAAGACGAGTGGACTCGAGATACTTATCCCACTTAGCTAGCCGTAATGCGTTCACATTCATATACAAAATTTCTACCATTTCCATGAAGGTCAGCCAGTACTTCGTCATGGCATTCTCAACCGCTGACAAGTCATTGAAAACTGCCTTGGCAAAGGCAGCGAATCCATCGCTCCGTTCAATTTCATTCCACGAGCTAGTGAGGTCTTCAGGGGACTCTTCAGCTTCACGCAAAAGTTCTACTTTTGTTACTAGTTCTGTGGGCACATGCATTCCATTGTGGTAAGCTTTTTTGATTATTGTTCTCATTAGAGTCTCGTACATCTCACTGAAGCAGCGCAATCCCCTTTTATAATGTTTCCCTTTCAGAGCCTTTTCCACAGATTTGTCAGCGATTTCTCCTGCTGATACAAGGATATCTTCCAGGCCTGACCCAGCAAACCGTTTAAGTATACAAGCCATGAAGGAACATTGCGTGTGGAAAGGTCCAAGAAATGGCTGAATTGTATCAATTTTTTCTGTGTTCTCATTTTTTAGCTCTACTATAAGTGCGTAAACTTGTTGATCACCAGTCAACAATACAAATGGCATTCGCTTCTTCTCAGCAACATTTACAACTCGAGTCATCACTTGTGAATAGTGGACTTATTGGGAGATCTTGGTAGAGTGCAGTAGTAATACGGTTTGCTCTTAGTACATATGCTTCGTATTTTAGCCTGATATCCTCTGTATGAGGCGACAGTTTGATCTGAAGCAGACACACACTCTGTACTGCTATCGAGTCGAACTATGGTATGCAACATCATCCGTTTCCTTTGCTGGTTTGTGGTTGGCTCGTCTGTGCTAATCTCTTCTCTAATCAACGAGACCCCGCTTCACAGTTTTGTAAGGCTGAATTTCATTTTGACGGGAGCTGAGCTGTTGTATCTCCTGTGGAGTAACCATCTGCAAAGGCTGTTGCTCTGATGATGGTTGTAAGGGCATTAGATGTAGCTTCTGTACGAACATCAGATTGGTTCTGTGGGATGTACATGCACCGGTAACAGTATCATCATTGAAGTCATCATTAGGCTGACCTTAAAAATATCTTTGTTTCGCCTAACGCGACCGACTAACTAAAACCACCCCCGACTTAAATTATTTTATTGCACTTTTCCGCGATCTTTTTATTTTATTTTGTGTGTCAACCTGAAATATATCACGAGAGTTATTTCCCTTTACTATGGCTATGGTTTGATTCATTATTGAAACTGGTTGATCAAGACGAAAGCGTCATAGGTGTCGCTTATCAACAAAATGGTTGCAGACGAAAGCACGTCCATTCCCACGAAATGATTCTGCCTCTATGTCTGTGGGGCGTCGTTTTAAACATGACGACGATATTTTCAATATCCGTTTTCGAGAAAAATAAAAGCACAACCCGCACGATCGTTAAAAACGTGTTGAGGGAGTTTCAAACGTGAGTTTGTCGCAATAAAAGAAGACGAATGTTTGCACCCGGAAAATTATCAAGCTGTCAAATTAGCTCTTAAAAAAAAGAAATCTGAAAAAAAACCCGACCTACCGACCCTTCACCTCGATTGTGGGTCGGGTTTGGTGAAACAAAGATATTTTTAATGTCAGCCTTATCCATAATCGCGCAACCAGGATAATCCTCTGCAATTTCACTCAAAACCCCATCATTTTCATTACTATGAGCCCATGCGGCATACAATTGCAGGAGATCTTGGTAGCTAATTCCAACCCCACTTTTTTTCAGCACATCCACTACCTCGCGGCTTCTTGTTAAACCATGCATGGTGACTGACATATTTATCTTAGTAGCAGTCTTTGTGAGTAACGTAGGACAACAAGAATGATGATAATGCTGCCACCTCGGAACTTACATCGTCGAATTTATCTCCGAGTTTCGCTGCAGGCGTTCGCAGCCAAAGTAAGAATTTCATTAGCACAGGGCACATCTCTTCTACAACTTCAAGCTCATCAATTCGTGGCGGCCAAGTAATATTCTTATCAAAGTTTGCACACTCAGATGACAGGCGATGGGCGACAACATTTAATAACTGGTCAGTATCTATCCCCCATCCATACAGGGCTGCCTCTATAAATGTTCCACCTTGTGAGGCATCATACACAATGCCGCTCTGATTCTTGTGAACTCGGTTCGTGAAAATACCTATCTTTGCACCAAATTCGGTGTTCAAGAGTTCTTTTATTGTTGAGGATTTCGTTGTTGAGCAATCATATCCAAAATTCTTATGAATCTCGATATAGTCCCCGAGTAGACCTTGTAATGACCTGGGCTCATTATTCTTAAACACTGCTGTATGCATGTGTTTGAAAAACAATTGTCGAACTTCTTGACGACGCATGTCACTCAGGTGTGGTTCATCATCATCCACATATATGGGTCTCATGTACTTTTTCCAACACTTTTCGTGATATCTTATCTCTGTGGCGGAGGGATCTGGAGTTGCTGCGATCAAAGCTACGATTCTGTCGCGCATAACTTGGTCAGTTAAATGTGGAGTGTGTATTTTAAACTTCCGCCAGGCATTATTTTGTTCAATCAGGCGTAGTGGATTTTGTTTTCGGTGTTTCATGTACTTCTCGTGGATATTTCCTAGGCTTGACCTTGAAGATCGTGTTTCTGTCGTATTAGGTTCTTCTACCTCACCGATAGTCGGTAGAGTAATTAAGGATTCACTTCTTCTTGCTCTTGTTTTTCTAGCAATTTGCTCTACTCAATTTATCACTGCTACTGATGGTAAACCGACAGTCTTTATGGAAAAAAAATTCCTACTGGTCCCTCATCCCATTTTACAGACTCAAAAACCGTTCCAAAGGTGTTGAGTCCTTGCCATTTGAGGGCATATTCCTTCAAATGCTGCCAAGAATCTAATGGATAAGCACTCCTATCATCATCACATGGTTTACCACAGAGAATACATGATTCAGGGTTGATAGCAGCAGCAAGTCTTTTTAATCCACGGGATTTTATAAGAGGGGTCGACATCACTATGAGGATTTTATTAGAATCTAAATCACAAACTAAGAAACAATACGCCTTATAGGATCCTGACACAAGAATGAGGTGAATATATCAGGACCCTTCAGTGTGGAGCAACGTCAATGCAATGACGCCAGGGAAATTCCAAGCAAATAGAAACAATATGGAGAAAGTTTTAATCAATCTAAAAATCATCCATGAAACCGCATTCTTTAGCTGTGGGTCATTTGATGGGAACACCCTCACTGTGACTCTCAATGTGTAACTATCACAACGAGAACAAGTCAAAATTAAATACCTCTAAAAAGCAGCTATGAAACCGTATTCTTTAGCTGCGGGTTATTTGATGCGAACACCCTCTAAAGGCTCTCAATGTATAACTATCACAATGACACTATCCCTCGACACTGAAAACATGGGCATACAAAAAAAAATCCGAGCAAGAAATGGCGGCCGTCTTGGATTTTTCGTCCATATTGGCCAACCTAGTGGCCGGGTGAATTTTTGATTATGATATTTCGATTCAGAGACCCTTAAAACATAGGAATAGTCACCTCGGAAGCTTATATTAAATATTTTATATTTTTAGCGCCAAATTTGACCACCATTTTGAATTTGGCCCTCTAGCGGATTCCGCCAGCATTTTAGAGAGAGGCACCCAAGCTTAATCGCTTCAGCAGGTTTTTTTCATATAGAAACCACCTTCAAAACAACTTCCCCGAAAATTGGTCACGGATTTTAGGTCTCGTACCCAACTACCTGGTTGACACTGGGTGAAGGACACTAATGGAGAGTAAGTTTTATCATACTCCTTCAGTTAATAATTTTAACTCCTGGGTCCTGTTTCACGAAATTTTAACTAAAGGTAAAATCAAAATTTTAGTAGATACTTCAATTTTGATTGGCTAAGCACTATAATCAGTCTATTATCCAATCAAATTACTAAAATTAGTTTTAGTTAAAATTCGTGAAACAGGCCCCAGGTTGACACAGGGTGAAGGACACTAATCGAGAGTAAGTTTTATGAATATGGTACTTGTCTAAAAATGTAATGATTTTAACTCCTGATTGACACGGCAGGGTGATGGTGTTTATGGAGATTAAGTTTTATGACGCACTGAATCTGTAATGGACAATTGAAAAAATTTAAACAGTTGCATCCTAATACCCTGTAGATAAATTTCGACCCACCTGCAGATCCGTGGCTACAGAGTTAGAAAATGTCGACATATTACCGTTTAGAATATTATTTTCTGTCCGAGGTGTCATTTTACCCACCAATCCACGAAACCAGTTCCACGGGTAATTCCTTTGGGCTCAGGTGTTGACAATTTGAGATCGTCCCGAAATACTTCTTTGAAAATGTAATAATTTTAATTCCTGGTTGGCCTATACAGGTAGATTAAACCTGCATGCTTCTTGTTTTATTTCAGAGTAAAATTGGCTGTAAACAGAGAAACCCATGAGGCTGTGGCTGTAAAAATTATTAATTTAAATAAATTTCCTAATATAGAAGAAAGTGTTAAAAAAGAGGTAAAAAAATAATTCTTGTCAATCTTCCCGTATTTCAAACGGTCAATATCCTTAATTCTGGAATTTGAAACAAGGGTAGACAGTAGTGCCGCTGTCCAGGCAAAATGTCCTTATAGCTCACTGTATATGGCATATGCCCGTCTTCAATAGCCCAGTAGGAGCAGAACAGTAGGACGTTAAAACCCATTTCATTGGAAGAGGTGTAGGGGTGTGAGCTGTTTCAGCTTCTGTCTTAGGAGGGATCCACCGGCACCACCACAATAGTTCACTTCTGCTATCAATAAAAAGAAACCTCCAAGATTATATGAAAAGAAAATGAAAGTAGAGATATAATGTTGATGTACTATATATCATCTTAAAATATATGAAGAGCCCCATGTAAGAATGATCTAAGTCACTTTTTCAACGAACCCCTGTTAGTGGCACCATCTGGTAGCAAATTGTATAAGCTTTCTGTGGAACAATCAATTTCAGGTAAAAACGATCGGAGTCACATCGAACCAATGGCCTCCCGGAAAAATACTAGTCCATTGTATTTATTTTACCTTAATTTGACTGAAAAGTGGAAATCAGTTGTTGTACTGGTAATTATGATTCGTATAAAACATCATTTTGAAATTGTAATAAAACCCACTCATTGTTCTGTTTGCGTCAAGCATTCTCATCCAAAAGTCTGTTTTACCTTTTATGTGAAAAGACAAAAACGTGACTTGGGTGTTTCTTCACCTGGACTCTTCATATTATAAAACAATTATTTTTTGACTGTCGTACAGATTTGTGTGTTTGTGTATATTTCAGACGTGCGTACATCGTATGTTAAATCATGAAACTATTATTAAATTCTATGGATCTCGACAAGATGAAAACATGCAGTATATATTTCTGGAGTATGCTAGTGGTGGAGAATTATTTGATAGAATAGGTAATCTAACTTTCATGCCTTTTTATAGCTGAGGGGGGGTGGGGGTCAAGTGGTTTCGATTCCCCACATGTATGTGACGAACCGCCTGTCTAACTTCGTGTTTCTTTCTCCAGTTTCCCCGGTTTCCTCACACTGCTAAAGACCCCTACGCCCAAGCGCATAATTGAAATAAAATTAAAAGATATGTTAGTCCTGAAATGACCTAGTTTGTGTCAAGTGGACGTTAAACCCCATTTCTCTCTCTCTCTCTCTCTGTTATTGAATTAAGTGGCGTGGTTTCCATCCCCAGATCGTTGGTTTCCTCTTGCTTTCTCTCACTGCCCCTCACTGCATCTCACTGCTTAAGAAATAAAATTGTACCATGTTAGTCAGTCTTTCTCTCTCTCTGTGGGGGATCACGTGGCTAAGTGGGTAAGGCGCTGGCTCGCTAGCCTGGAGGTCAGGTGTTCGATCCCTGCATTGGCCGAGAAAGTTCATCTCTATTTTCCGGCGTGGTTTCCCCTTGTCAGTGATGCAGAATGGAGGGCCTGACACGGCACAGCTTCCTAGTCGTTCGGATGGGACGAAAAACCGAGGTCCCGTGTACACATTGGCGTGCACGTAAAAGATCCCTTGGCAGTTGGAATTTGATATAAGAGTAGGCCGTAGCGCCGCTGCCCGGGCAAAATTTCCCTCATAGCACACTGTATGGCGTACATGTATGCCCGTCTTCAATTAGCCCAGGTTAGGTGCAGAAGAGTAGGGCGTTAAACTCAATTTCTTTTCATTTCATTTCATTTTCTCTCTGTGTCCTGCATCAGATGTTGTCATGTATAATTGTCTGTAATCTATTTTAGAACCTGATGTTGGGATGTCACAATTAGACGCTAACAGATATTTTAAACAGTTAATCAGTGGTGTGGTAGGTAGTACTGGCAATTGTCATATATTCGGGGGTGAGGGGGGGAATTACATAAAATTATTAAATAAAACTCTATGTATGATTTTAGCACTATAGAATCCCTTGAAAACTACAACATTAAGATGGATGAATCTCTTATAAGGAATGATCTGTCCAATAATGGTTCAAGTCAATTCAGTATTTACAAATTGAAATTACATCAATCGATGCTTCTGTAATATAAGACACTGCCATCTTTATTTGCCTTGAACCAAATTAATGTTTATTTGGCAAATTATGAAAAGTTATTTGAGAATCAAGATAGATTATTTTGAAAATTAGATTGATTATTATTAACTATCGTAATTGGAAGTTCTACAAGAGATATCTTAGTGTTATTAGTTCTGTGATATTATCAAGAATATATTACAGGGTTCCCGTGTTCCTTGAAAATCCTTGAATATCCTTAAATTTAAAATTTCATTTTCAAGGTCTTGAATATTCTTGAATTTCGCGGAAATAGGAAAATATCCTTGAATTTCAGTTGAGATCCTTAATTTTGTTTCAAATGTCTTCAATTCCTTTTAAATATGAGATTATAACGATAGTTGGTAATGTTTTGGTTATTTTTATAAGATGAAAAATTGTAACTTTAGGCTAAAAAATGTCCTTGAAAATCCTTGAATTTGACGTATATTTATCCTTGAATATCCTTGAAAAAATGTTTGACGAAGCCGCGGGAACCCTGTATTATGTGTATTTTGTATTTATATTTTTCTATTGTCATATTTGCTTTTATATCTTTATTGTAAGCGTACTGGAGCCCAGTACTGTGGAAGTGGTACTATATAATTGTATAATAATAATAATATTTATGTTATCAAAACATATTTCAGGAATATTTACATTCTAAAGGTGTAACACATCGTGATTTAAAACCAGAGAATCTTCTCTTAGATGACAATGGTTAGTATAAATAACACCTGGGTTTTCGACACCTGAGAAATATTCTCATTATACTAACCAAAAGGTTCCGGGTTTGATCCTAGTTTAGTCCGAGAAAGTTCCCAAGAATGTTATAGCCTGGTTTCCCCTCATGTGGGTGGCATCTAGCAAAAACAAGCACCTAGTCATTCATACAGAGTGAAGAATCATGGTCCTGTTATATAACATTAATAGTACAAGGTGAAATACCCTGGTCCTGTTCAGGGCTGCCGACAACCAGTATCGCAGCGCAATTTGCGATACATATTTTGTCCGTTGCTAATCAAAAATTAAAATCTAAAGTTTTTGATTCGCAGTAACTGCGAATCATTAATATGCCTGTCATTTTGGATACTGACACAAGGATAATCCACATTTGAAGACTAGAAAGCTTTCTCAACAATTTCAACGAGTATAAAATGTTGAATAAAATTTTATAAACAAAACTGAATTCTCCGTGTGACATTTTCTTCTCGAACTACCCAGACACAATTCATTATACGGTACTATATAATACAGGGACATAACTCTATGAATAGGGACTATTAAACCGGAAACAGGGAATCAAGTAGTACCACTCACGTTGCGAGACATCAAGTAATTATATGATATTTTGAAAGAAATAAATCCAGTGTATCCTCTACGTATTGTAAATAAAATATAAAAAATAAATGTTAACGTATTGTAAAATGATAAATCAAAGTAAAAATTCCCGTAAAATATCACGTGTGTCTAGTCAATCGAGGTGCGCCCGATTGAACAAGAAAGGCAATACACGATAAAAAGCAGACGAAATTGTTTTCTAACGAAGATTTCTAACGTACAAAAAATAACAATTAAAATGATTGGGGCTTCGGAAGTCACTGTTAAGAATTGGCTTCAGACATAAGACCTAACTAAATGTCTACATCACATTCACAAACTGTCACAAGTACTTGTGGCAGTCCTAAAAAAATCTAAGATTAGTAAGAATGGAATCTAATCATATTTGTTATGAACTAAAGTAATATCTTGTTATTTAGGTGTTTTATGTTGAAACTGAAAAACTGCTAATCAATTTTTAAATTTGCTTATCAAATTTGGCAAAATTGGACTTTTTGATTAGCAGTGCTGCTAATCAACCGTGAAAAATTACCGACAGCCCTGGTCCTGTTATATACCATTGATAGTACAAGGTGAAATATCCTGGTCCTATTATATACCATTGATGGGACATTCAAGTTAGAAATTGAAATAACATGCCGTATGTATGTCCGTCATCATTAACCTGGTTGGTCTATGTCTGTCGTCATAATCCTGGTTGGTGATATTAAACACCATTTCATTTTATTTATTTATTTTGACGTACATGGACTCAACTCAGAGATAACTTATTTTTTCTTTCAGATAATCTTAAGATAACGGATTTTGGTTTTTCTACTGTTTTCCGTTTCCAAGGCAAAGAACGTAAAATGGAGAAATGTTGTGGAACTGTTCCGTATGTTGCCCCAGAGGTGTTGAGTAGGAAGCCGTACTACGCGGAACCGTCAGATATCTGGTCGTGTGCCATTATATTAGTTGCTCTGCTGGCAGGGGGTATGATATTTCTCCATTAATAATAATAATTTAATATGAGGTTTGACATCTGGTTTTGAAATGTGAAGGGAGCCAAGGGGACTCAGTGAAATGTGAAGGGAGCCAAGGGGACTCAGTGAGTAAGACCTGGAGGTCTTGTGTTCGATCCTGGCGTTGCCCGAAGAACGTTTGTCAGGGTTTTCTGTTCCGGTTTCCCATGTCAGTGCTGGGTATTGCCACTACAGTCATGATACGTATTGTGATTCAGGTTCAGGTGTTCTAATACGATTCATAACCAGGTCAATATTTACCAAGAAAACAACAGGATAAATGAATAATTGATATTTTTGGTCCTGCTGATGTCATAGAAATAAAACTGTTTTATATCACGATATTGATGTGGATCAAAATAAGGACCGAAACGATTTAAGGGTGTTTGTCTAGCTATAGATAATGTGTGATATGGATAATTAAGAGTGACAGGTTACTTACTGAAGTGACGAAAACACAAAAAAAGAATCGCGATGCATCGATTTAGTGAATCGTGACACATTGATTCAACAAGATATTATGAATTAAGGTTACGGTTACTTACCGAAGAGACAAAAAAAAACATAAAAAAAAGAATCGCGAAATATCAATTCAGTGTCTCACGAGTCAATACACGAATCATCATAAGGTGAATCGTGATACATCAATTCTACGAGATATCATACCAGCATTAATGTCAGTTCTGCTGGGCCTGGTAAGAACAGCATCTAGTCGATCGGATGGGATGAAAAACCGAGATGTGTGTGCTGGCATACATGTCATGGAACACTTGACATGAAGAGTTGAGGGAAAATTCCCCTCAACACACTATATGGCGTGTGCCCCACTTCATAAACTAATTATGATTCATTGACAGGCAAATATGAGGTTGACATGGATAGATGTATTTATAACTTTCACTCTATGATTTTATTCTTCTATATCATGAAAAAAATATCATACTTTTAGTTACAAAATAGTTTTACGGTTCCGCAAGATTAACCTGGAGGCAACACAAAGTTATATTTCTTTCTTTTAAAATTCATCGTTAAAGATATTATGACCAGTGACATGAAAATTAAAATGGTTCAATATGAACCCAGAAGTACTCAATGTTTAACCATAGATGATTTATATATTATATAGAATTACCGTGGGATGAACCAACTTATTCATGTAAAGAATATTGTGATTGGAAAGATTGTAAAATAACTCAATCACCATGGAATAAAATAGATAACCTGGCTCTATGTAAGTAACTGATGTATTCTACTTACTGCACTGAGGGGGGGGGGGGGGAATAAAATAGATAACTTGTCTCTATGTAAGTAACTGATATATTCTACTTACTACACTGAGAGACAGGGAGATAGAGTTAGGAGAGGGGGGAATAAAATAAATAAATTGACTCTATGTAAGTAGGGGAGGATAAAATAGATAACTTAGCTGATCACCTCTACTTGATGTACTGAGAGGGGGAGAGGTGGGAATGAAATAGATAACCGATTTCCTGCCTCCTTATTGGATTTAACGTCCTCTTGACTCAAACCAGACCATTTCGGAACTAACGTATAATTCAATTTTGTTTCTATGATTAGCTTGCGCGTAAGGGTTTTAGCAGTGGATGAAACTAAATGTGACCAATTGAGATATCCCAGCCCAATTTTTATCCGATTTCAACGAAACTTGAAATATAGCTTTATCTCCCTAAGATCTGGGTTCCTTTCGATATTGGCATGTATCGGACCATAACTTCATGGATTATGGCCCCTGATTGTACGAAAAATTGTGATTTTAGCTTGGGGACACTCTAGAGGTCTCAATTTTTCTCCGATTTTGTTGAAACTTGAAATGTAAGTTTATAACCCAAAGAACTCAGTTCCTTTCAATATTCGTGCATATCGGACCGTAAAATCCTTAATTATGGCCCCTGATTGTACGAGAAATCGCGTTTTTAGCTTGTGGACCCTATAGATATCATGATTATTATCCGATTTATAAAAACATTTTAGTAAATCACTGTTATACCTTAAGGACCGCTGCGTTCGAATTTCATGAAAATCGGCCCAAAACTGACAGAAAAATGGCCGCTCCTCGTTTTCAAATAGCGTAAAAATATGGTATATCAAGGTTGTGGACCCTATAGAGGTCACAATTTTTATCCGATTTTGTTGAAACTTGAAATGTAAGTTTATAACCCAAAGATCTCTGTTCCCTTTGATGGTCTCGCATATCGGAACGTAACTTCCTGAATTATGGCCCCTGATTGTATGAAAAATCACCATTACACCCTAAGGATAGTTGAGTTCGAATTTTGTAAATATCGGACCAAAGCTGACAGACAAAATGGCCGCCCCTCGTTCTCAGATAGTGTTAAGATATCGTATATCAATGTTGTGGACCCTCTAGAGGTCACAATTTTCTTTTGATTTTTATGAAACTTGAAATGTAAGTTAATAACCCAAAGGTCTTGGTTCCTTTTGATATTCGGCATATCGGATAGTAACTTCCTAAATTATGGCCTTTGATTGTACGAAAAATCGCGTTTTTAGCTTGTGGTCCTAGTAGAGGTCACAATTTTTATCTGATTTAAAAAAAAATGTCTGAATATATCCCCATTACACAATAAGATCATGGATCCTTTTGATAATCGCAGATACTCGAACTTAACTTCCTGGATTATGGACCCTAATTGTTCGAAGAATGGCATTTTTAGCTTGCGGATTCTCTAGAGATCACAATTTTTTTTCCGATTTTAAATATTTCACCATTCCACCATAATGAAGGTTGAATTCGAATTTCGGGAAAATCGAAATGAAACTGTCCAACAAAATGCCTGCTCTTTGTTCGCAAATTGTGTAAAAGTATGCAATACGAAGGTTGTCAACCCTCTAGGGGTCACAATTTTTGTCCAATTTTGATGAAACTGAAATCATATCTTTATATCCCAAGGATCTCAGTCCCTTTTGATATTTGCGCATTTCAGACCATATCTTTCTGGATTATTGCCCCTGATTGTACAATAAATCCTGTTTGTTTTTAGCTTGTTCTCTATCCATCTCTTGCAAAATGTGGGCGTATCCTGCCTGGCAGCCGCTGGTTCAGTAGTATTACTATAATGTAATGGATTATTCTATTTTTCAGCGTTGTTACGTAAAGTATTATTAGAGAATTATAAAAAACGTTATACGTTAGAACAGATTAAAAAACATCAGTGGTTCAACAAATCTTTCAAAAGTAGAAAAGGTATAAATATTTATATTTTTATTTCACGTTTAATTTTCTTACCTGATGGACAATAGAACAGGAAAACAGAGCAACCAGAGACAAAAACCTAATGAACAATAAGATCACAAATGTCAATAGTGACATATCTATGGTATTGCATGTGGCGTGGGTGCCACTTGGAAGGGTTAGGGGCCACTGAGAGGTACTGGTATTAAGATCATTGCATCAGTGAAAGCAAAATCCCCGGTTGTACGTGACAAGGAGTAGGGTCGCCTGTACAACCTCGTGGGTTTTCTCCGGGTCCTCCGGTTTCCTCCCACTGCTAAAGACCCTTACGCGCAAGCGAATTATTGAAATAAAATTAAACCATGTTAGTCCCGAAATGACCTAGTTTGTGTCGAGTGGGCGTTAAACCCCATTTCTTTCTTTCTCTCTCAGTGAAAGCAAGGAAGGTACAATTGTAATTTGTATCTGACACCATAATTTGTTAGTTAAAAGATTAACGAAATTGACTGTCTGGTTTTCAACGTTTTCTGTATGAGAAAGTAATTAATGAGGGTCATCTGTTAATTTTGGGATTGAAGTTGGGGACATCAGCTTGTATTGAATGAATAATTTGAAAATATTTTGTATTTTATTTGTAGCTGGTCTATCTCTGTATCCATCAGGTTCACCATCTGATTCTCCAAGTGGTACCGGACCGTTTAAACGGCTCTGTTCTCGTATGGAGATGAGTCCACCAAATACAGCTTCTCCCAGGTTTGTAACATCTTGTTTCTTATGTGGGGCGTTGGATGGCCAAATGGTTAGCGCATGCAAGCTGCATCATAAGGTCTGTCATTGAGTTGTATGTGATAAGGAGTAGGATCGCCTGTCCAACTTAGTGATTTTTTCTCCGGGTCCTCCGGTTTTCTCCCACAGCTGTATAGTTTTCGGTATACAGGTTGTACACAAGATCTCTTGTTAATGTTTAGAAGGTGGGGGAGATATCTGAGATCTCTTGTTAATGTTTAGGTGAAGATATCTGAGATCGTTAGTGTTTATAAGGTGGGGGAGATATCTGAGATCGTTAGTGTTTATAAGGTGGGGGAGATATCTGAGATCATTAGTGTTTATAAGGTGGGGGAGATATCTGAGATCGTTAGTGTTTATAAGGTGGGGGAGATATCTGAGATTTCTTGTTAATGTTAATAAGGAGGGGGAGATGTCTGAGATCTCTTGTTAATGTTTATAGCGTGGTGGAGATAGCTGAATAACGGGGTGGAGATAGCTGAGATATCTTGTTAATGTTTAGAACGAGGTGGAGTAAAGATTAAATCTCTGATTATAAACTTGTATTTTATTACAGGGCTAATATCTCGTGTTCTCAACCAGAACTACGACCATGTAATTACCCAGAGTCTCAGCCTGATGCTAGAACAGACAGGAAAGATAACTCTAATTTTATCATGAGTTTCTCTCAACCAGTTCATCTTGATAATATGTTATTATCAAGTCAGATTCAGGGCACCCCAGGCTCATCACAGGTAGACATTATTTCTTATAAAATATCTCGGCCTTTATTGAACTGTGGACTATTCCTATTGACAAACCTAGATATTGAAAGTATTTCTGCATCCCCATAAATTTCGGCCAGATTTTTCAAGGTTCTGACCTTGTTCTGCTTAATCAGTTGATGACAATAGGTCATCAGGCGATGGTTGTCAATCAAATTAAACTGGTTGCCAAGCACAAGCCAGATTGTTAAGCTATACATCCTTATATGTCTGCAGGGGTTGGATGGCCGAATGGTTAGCATGTTATATCATAAAGTTTATCATTAGGTCAACTGGCATGGTTATGATTCCCCAGTTGTACAAGACAAGGAGTAGTGTCGCCTGTCCAACCTTGTGGGTTTTTCTCAAGGTCCTCCCACTGCTAAAGACCCCTACGTGCACGTGAATTATTGAAATAAAAATGAACCATGTGTTAGTCCCAAAATGACCTAGTTCGTGTCAAGTGGGCATTAAACCTCTCTCTCTCTCTCTCTCTCTCTCTCTTATATGCCTGATTGGTAAAGAAAAGTTCAATTTCACAAATCCATGAAAATTGGTTCATAAAATAAACTTAAATTCCATATCTTTTGTGTGTATTTTGAGAGAAGTAGACCTAATTATAGTTGTGAATTTTATTTGAAGAAAATTATAAGTGTATCAATTTTATTTTATTTTTTCAGACACCGATGCAGAAACTTGTTCGTAGGATGACCCGATTCTTCGTTAAGACAGATCAGGAAGAGACGTTACAGGAAATTAATCGTGTATTTGATCATCTGGGTTTTACGTGGAAGAAGAATACGCCATCTTTGTTAACTGTCTCCACCGTGGATAAAAGACGAACTCGTCTTGTATTTAAAACAAGTCTTGTCAACATGGGTGAAAACCTACTGCTGGATTTTAGGCTCTCAAAGGTAAGAGCTTCATATATTTGTTGAAACTTTATGAATATCTATAATAGTTAGAGGGGTTGGATGGTCGGTTGGTTAGCATAAGGTCTGCCATTGAGTCAACTGGCATGGTTTCTATTCCCTGGTTGTACGTGACAAGGAGTAGGGTCGCTTGTCCAACCTCGTGGGTTTACTCCACTGCTAGTGAAAGCCGTCGCCCGGGTGGTTGAGGATCTAGTGGAAGCAGAAGGTCCAGGTGGTTGAGGAGCTAGTGGAAGCAGTAGGTCCGGGTGGTTTGGGGAGCTAGTGGAACCAGTAGTCCAGGTGATTGAGGAGCTAATAGAGTTCAGCATACCAGATATTTTGGTTGATTTAGTAGGACTTCTAAAATACACTAAAGCCCATCACAGATCGGCAAACACTTGTTGGCAGTACAATGTTTTCCATCAAAAGTCAGCTGGTCTGTGTTGGATTTCAACACGAAAATTTGATTTCAAAAACATTGTTCCTGTTTGTCTTGTTTGCGTTGAATTTCAACTTAAGAGTGAAACATTTTATATGGACATCAAATGAGTATTAAAAATATTTCATCAGTCTTGAGTTTACGTGAAGACAGATGAATGTTAAAATTTGTCATTCATTGCCTACAAGTGGCATTTAGAAATGTGAAATAAACGTCAACTAGAAACATAACATTCATCAGAACTATGATAAAATATCAAATTTTTCTGATTAAAATGTTCTTCATTGTTTTTAGGGAGATGATTTAGAATTTAAATGTTTGTTTATTAAAGTGTCTATTGTCTATTTTTAGGGAGATGGTTTAGAATTTAAACGTCTGTTTATAAAAGTAAAGGAAAGAATGAAACCAGTCATCAGTAAAGTTCCACCCATGTGGCCATTGCATCCCATCAGACCTGATTCGCTGACGTAACTATAACCGTCGTCATCACATCCAATCAAACATGTCACTGTAATCATCTAATCATCTAATCATATCATTGCTACATAATGTACCATTAGATATTAAATCAATCCTAGTTACACTTTAGTACTATCAGGTATTAAGTCTGGAAGAAAAACCCTAAAGCAATCATATCATTGTTAGATATGTTACATCACTTCAGTACCATCCATCAGGTATTAAGGTCTGGAAGAAAAACCCTAAACCATATTCTTTGTAGTAATGGTTCCACCACTACAATAAGCGTTTGGACCTGGAAGCTTGTAAGGTTAAGCTTCGTTAGTTTTATAGTAGATCCACTCTAAGATACCATTGTTAGGAATTTTTTCTGATAATGGTTGAACATTTGATGCTCAATTCATTTATTACACATAGTCCTTATTTATATTGTAACTGATATTGTTACTGCTGGCCTGATATTGTATCTGCTGGCCTGGTATTGAAACTGCTGGTAATCAACAATTGTACATGTGTTATGATTTATGTATTTCCTATCAAATCATGTCAAATATTGAAACATAAATAGTTTGTGGTAAATTCCACATTGATATGATAGTTGGTGATACTTTTGTGTATGTGACTTAATTTATATATATATATTGAAAGATGATTATATTTATATAATGGGTTATGTTAACTATTGTGTTGTTATGGTGATTACCATTATGTAATGTGTTGTCATGGTGATTACAATTATGTATTGTGTTGTCATTGTCATTACCATTATGTAATGTGTTATGGTGATTACTATGATGTATTATGTTGTCATGGTAACCATCATTATGTATTGTCTTGTCAAGGTGACTATAATTATATATTGTCTAATGATTATATGTTTTGAAATCTTGGTGTTTGTACATAAGTAGCCTAACCATGGGGGCTTAGTGTAGTGTGTGGCCATTTTGTATAATGTAACCATGGTGACATTTATTATATTACTCAGCAACTATATAATATAAGCATGTTTTGTTGATCCAAAATAATGCACAGTGATTTGATTCTAAATTAACTAATAAACAGTTGTTGGAGAGTATTAGGCTGTAGTTATTACCTAAATACACTATTCAGGTTTTGGACACATATTAACGAAAGATTATTAATCTGGTAGAGGAGTAGTTTAAAAAAAAGCTCAAGCTGCACGTATTTATTAGCGTAAAACTGTTCATTTGGAATACAATCAAAGATTTGTTAGATATCATCGTTTTCAAGCATGTACTATTATTTGTGTGTAAAAACGATAAGAGAATGCATGTTGAAATGTCATGCTGTTTGTAACAATCTATATCATTGGTGGCCAAAATACGGCCTGCAAATCCTGGTCATCTGGCCCACCAAATCCTTACACTATATCTTAAAATTTATGAGTAATTTTATCACTAAATGAAATGAAAAATCAAAATTTCTTATCATTAGGCCCAAACTCTACTAATAGCTTGCAGCGTCACTCAATGGCGTAGATGCCTAATTGACCTCACTTTACTTGGGCCTACTTTCATTTTACGTTATTGTTTGATTTCTTGAAATGCTATGGAGCCGAATAAAAAGCTCAGAAAAAGTGCTTTGTTCCGTATTACTTTATTCAATAAAACGTCATTTCATAATCCTGGTTTGGCCCTCACTTTGTTCCAAAACTTTGTGTTTGGCCTTTCACCTAAAAAGGTTGCCCACCACTGATCTATATAAATGATTGATATTATGTTTTATTGTGTTCACTCAGTAATAGAGTAAAACTTGTAAACCTAGAATCGAGATCATTGGTTCACCAGGAACAAGTTGTTCGTATAATATAATGAACACAGTAGTAGTGAGCAGTAACTGTTAAAGTATAATTAAACATTTCAAGAGCTAAATCTGCCTATTGCAGAACTTTCTTTAGGCCTGAAACGTAATATAAATTATTAATTAGGCATTAATTAACCCATCCAGGCCATAATCAACTCTCGATACCATTGTTAACCTGCGATATTTAGTGGATTGGAATACGTTTTGTGATGGATGAAATAACCTTAAAAAAGATGAATCAAGACTTTATTTAATATCGTAACAACGTTAGTAATGACGATCAGGGCTAACCTTAAATAGTAAAGAAATTTGTCTGAAATTTTCAGCATATTCTGTTTTCATTATCTATCTTTTTAACTATTGTAACGACCTAATGCCCCTTTAATTAAATAATGTGTTTTCAGTATATTTATAGAATATTTATGTAAAATATTAATATAAAGAATTTCATACTATTATTTGACTTCTTTTGTTTATAAGTTATTATGTTCGATGCTCAGATTCCCACAAAGTTTGGGGGGGTTGGATGGCCGAATGGTTAGCATGCACGCGCTGTATCATAAAGTCTGTCATTGAGTCAACTGGCGGGGTTTCGATTCCCCGGGTGGAACGTGACAAGGAGTAAGGTCGTTTGTTCCATCTCTTGGGTTTTCTCCTGGTCCTCCGGTTTCCTCCCACTGCTAAAGAAAGACCCCTAGGTGCTAGCGAATTATTGAAATAAAAAAATTAAACCATACATTAGTTCCGAAATGACCTAGTTTGTGTCCAGTGGACGTTAAACCCCATTTCTCTCTCCCACCAAGTTTCTCATCTTTTGCAATGCTTTAAGAATTCCCTGGTGTCAGTGATGTAGGACAGAGGGCCTGACCAGGACAGCTGTTTAGCCGTTCAGATGGGTTGAAAAAACGAGGTCCCATGTATACATTGCCGTGCACGTAAGATATCCCTTGGCAGTCGGAATGCGATATAAGAGTAGGCCATAGTGCCACTGCCCGGGCAAAATTTCCCTCATAGCACACTGTATGGCATATGCCCCTCTTCATTAGCCCAGTTCGGAGCAGAACAGTAGGACGTTAAACCCCATTTCATTTCATTTCGTATAGATTAGAATTTGCTCTTTGTAAAATAAATTAATTTTAATGTCCAGTTGATCATCCGTCATGCATATTCCGAGGCTAGAAAGATCTCTTCCCAGTGGCACCATTTACCAAAACACGGCATCCATAAGGAGGACGGGGGAGGTGGATGGCCGAATAGTTAGCACGTGCGTGCTGTATTATAAGGCCTGTCATTGAGTCAACTGGCGTGGTTTTGATTCCCCGGTTGTACGTGACAAGGAGTAGGGTCGTCTGTCCTACCGCGTGGGTTTTCTCTGGGTCCATCGGTTTCCTCCCACTGCTAAAGATCCCTACGCGCAAGCGAATTATTGAAATAAAATTAAACCATGTTAGTCCCGAAACGGGCGCCTGAACCCGGGTACCAGAGTATACAAATGGTACCCTGCCTTTTTCTGGGGAATACATGTATACCCATGCCCTAATGATGAAAGTTTTTCAACCTTTTTACCAATCTATTCCTTTTTAAATGATAGATATGTAATTGCTCTCTGGTCGGTTGCGAACCGGCTCTTGCACTCTCATTATCAGCTATCAGTGCATAATTTGACCATATTAATTGCTCACGATACGAAAATTGTGAATAATCAGGCTTTTGTCTCTTTCATTATCATGTATTTTAAAGGGTTTTATGTTGGAATTTGGAATGCTAGAGGCGCTCTAAATCAATATGTATGTATCTCGTTTTGTAGATAGTTGTCATGATAAATATTCTGATTTATTGATCTATTGATGTCAGATTTGTGTTGATTAGACTCGAGTTAGACCTCGGGTTCCAGCAACTTGTTGACTAATTAATGACATCTGACAAAGATGATATCTAACTCCATTGTTGTTTATAAGGAATATCTGATGAAGATGATATCTAATGCCTTTGTTGTTTACATGATGATATCTAACGCCTTTGTTGTTTACATGTATTATAACTCAATGTTAGTGATAATAAACATTTCAGTTCCGCATCGATGCTAACAGCATAATTTTCCTCAGCTATATGTAACACATTAAAACAGACTAACACTTTCAAGACACCAATACTGGAAGGGCTCGGTAATCGTCCGGAAATAACTGTCTTCTTCATCTGTTAGCGTTTAACGTCTGCTTCCACCGCGGGTGATATGCAAACATGTTGTATTATTTTTATTATCTTAGAGCACGCGTATGGGGTCTTTGCTGTGGGAGGAAATCGCAAAACCCAGAGTAAACCCACAAGAGATCGAAACCATGAAACTATTTTTTTATGTATTTTTGAAACAGGTTTCGAAGTGCCTGTTATGCAAGATCTTTTTTCGAAGTTCCAAGTAAACTATTTTTTTATGTATTTTTGAAACAGGTTTCGAAGCGCCTGTTATGCAAGATCTTTTGTCGAAGTTCCAAGTAAATGTACGGTGCTAAGACCACCTAATGATAAATTTTCAAGTTCCTTTTATTAATTAGAACAGGCTTCGCTTTAGTAATTATATTTAACGCTGACATAAATTACTTTAAATCTTTCTAGTGCAAAAAACGAATATTTGACCTTATGACCTCCAGGGTTACAAAGAACAAAAGTGAATTTAGCAAGTTTATATTTTTATTGAAAGAGTGATTACTTACAATATTTCAATAATTCGCTTGTGCATAGGAATCTTTAGCAGTGGGAGAAAATCTATAAGGTTGCATAGACGATTACTCCTAGTTGATAATCAAAACCACGCCACTTGCCTTAAACATACATTATGCAAGAGCTAAATCTGTCTATTGCAGGTCTTTCTTTAGTCCTGAAATGTTATCTAAATTATTAATTAGACATTAATTAACCTATCCAGACCATAATCAACTCTAGATGGCATCGCTAGCCTGCGATCTTAAGTGGGTTGTGATCTGATTTACTGCATAACTTTCCTTCTCGATTAAACGATTAAATGGATAATCGAGACTATGCTATTTAACGTACTGACTTTAGTAATGATGACCGAGGCTAGGCATAAATTTCATTCGCTTAGTTCTCGGTTCATAGTGGATCAATTTGAATGAAATTTTCAGCAAATTGCCTTTACGTTATCTAGTTTTTAATTATTATAGTGAGAACTGCCAACTCTTTATCGAATCTCCCATAATGTCGTTATTGACGACTAATATCCATGAGATATATAATATTATACAAGAAAAACAGCAATTTAAACACTCAAAATCCACTTTATTTCTTGCTTCACTCTGATATTATTACAAGAAAACAACAAGTTTAATATCTGAATAATTATTTACATTATTTGGTGGTAAGAAACAATTATATTTTATTGTGTCGTGAAAAATAAACAAATTGCTATTTTTTTTTATATTTTTGTGGGGTTTTTTTTTCATTAAAATTGACAAAAATGGAAGCCATAGGTGGGATTAGATTATAAATATCGAGAAGAATGCCATACTTATTCTAATCTACGTTAAAATCGTATATATATATTTATAATACAGTATATTATATTTTATACACAGTCTATCTTACATAGTTTTATATATATATATATATATATATATATATATATATAACAATTCTACATTTACCCGATGTAACAAGAATTCAAAATGAAATTCATTGAATAAACATGCGTTCACACATAAAACTAATAAATTCACTCAAACAGCTAAACCTGATACAAAACTATAATCTGACAATTCAGGAGCTTAATTAATGTCAAGAGATGTGGATGATTATAGCGGATGAGATATAGTTTCAAAATGGGTGGATATTCTGAACTTATCCCTTTTATCATTGAGCCAAATGGACAAAGATTAAGAACAAATGAGAGTGTTAAGCTTTTCCCTATCGTTTACCTAGCCGAAAATTTAGCAAAAAACAGTATTTTTGTGGTATCTATACCCCAGATGTCTGGTCGACATTGATTTGAGATATGAGAACATTTAATTCTATATTATAACTAAAAACAATTGATCGCATGTATCATATAGCAACTTCAGTTGTTAAAGCCAATGTTCATGTTTAGATATTGTCTGAAATATACAAGCGATGATCAGCGTCTTTAAGTCATCCATCAAAGGTATTGGTCATTAATTCCCAAAGTGTAGACTACTTGCCTGAATTCTCTTCTCAATCTTTAGAAATGTTTATCCTATGACAAACCAGATATTGTACTATAAATAAATTTCACATTTAAACATAAATTTAACAATCCAATTTAAAGTATGTTAATATTTCCCTGGTAATTTTACACGGTAAATATCACATTATCTTACAGAAATCAGACTAATAGCATGTAACCACATTCATAAAAACAAAAAATTAATTTGTAAACAGGAACGTGCACCATTTTTTCTTTTGAAATCGTAAAAATACATACAACTTTTTCTTTCAAAAACACAGAAAACTTTCTCAATGATAAATACATGTAACTTTTTCATTCATTAACACAAGAAACACACCAAATATTTTCATTCATTCAAACTTGTTCATTTATTCAAAAACAATAAACTATTCCATTCATAAAGACAGAATAAACACACCAAACATTTTCATTCATGCACACACTAAACTTATTATTCTATTCTACATTATAGATATCTAACCAGTATGTATAACATGTTATACAGGGAGATATGATATCTAACCTGTATCTATAACATGTTATATAGGGGGGTATGATATCTAACCAGTATGTATAACATGTTATACAAGGAGGTATGATAACTAACCAGTATTTATATTTTCATGTAATAAATAAACACAACAAAATAAAACAATTGTATTCTATCAGGTTGTTGATAAACTAAAATAATATACTGGACGGAGATAAAAATACACCTGATCTGACCAAACAAAAATATGACTAAAATATTCACAATATGATGACCAGGTTCTTAAAACAAGAACAAACTTATCTACAGTCTGGCGCACACCCACACCAGGGTGATTTCTTACACCATCAGGGTGATTTCTTACACCATCAGGGTGATTCCCTCGCATCCAGGGTGTTTCCCACACGAGGGTAATTCCCACACCCACACCAGGGTATTTCCACACCAGGGTGATTCCCACAAAAGGGTGATTTCCTACACCCCCAGGGTGATTCCCACGCCACCAGGGTTATTCCCACACGCCCATGGTGATTCCCACACCAGGGTGATTTCCTACACCACCAGGGTGATTCCCACACCACCAGGGTTATTTCCACACCAGGGTGATTCGAGTAGACATGTGCTACTCTGTACACAGTTCTTCCAAAATTAAACATTTTTATAAATTATCAATTTGAATACAATGGGGACAAGATATTGAAGTGATTTATAAGATATAGAATATATATTCCAGATTACATATTTGTTAAAAAAAACCTTAAATTAATAAAATTAAAAATCCATAGCCAGCTACATTATTTGATGTAGTGTATTTTACCTGCACAGGTTTATTATAAAGACAGTAAACCCAGTGGCAAGAGGTGGTTGACTATAAATAATAGGAATAATGACTATCATAATTATATCGTTTTAAGATATCAATTGGTTTCTATAACAAGGTATAATAATTGTACATACATTTATTAAAATAATATTTAAATACACACTAGTATAGCTTACAACTGTATATATCAATGTCTAATAGCTAAACTTTGTACTGGTCAATTTTTGAAGTATTTTGTCTTCTTCGGATTGGCAATATATTTTTTTTTTTTTAAGAGTGAAAATTTTTAGCGTTTTAATTTATTTACATTGTTTTAATTGTGCAAGGAAAAATTCTTTAAAATTTAAATTTGATGGCATTGGTATGTTAATTACCTGACAGGTAACATGACGATATATTAATTTTACATCTGAATATACTTCAAATTCTGACTGGATAAATAAAATATATAGAGCATGTCTCTCTCATAATGTAAAATTTTGATTTTTGTGTAAAAAAAATTCCAAATCGATTAAAAGTTAAATTTTGAACTCTAGTAACAACCCTTAAAATAATTAATATACATCAACCTCATACAATATAATAACAAGTTTATATATACATGTCAATAACGGGTAAATGTTATAAAAGCACTCTTCGGGTATGTGCGCTCAGACTTATCACAGTTTATAAAAATAGTTCTCTCAGGTATAAATCAACTACATCTATAATAATAATCTACAATATACGCAACGATCAGAATTTTAACATACAATCACATATAATATCATTTAACATCATCTAACTGTGTGACATCATCTAACTGTGTGACATCATCAAACTGTGTGACATCATCAAACATTGTGACATCATCAAGCACTGTGACATCATCAAACCTTGAATGACATCATCAAACCTTGTGACATCATCAAATCTTCCGACATCATCAAATCTTGTGACATCATCAAACTTTGTGACATCATCAAACCATGTGACATCACTATGTGACATCATAAACTGGTAATATCATTTTATTTGACATAATTTTGTTTAAATAAATAAAGTGTGTAAGATTAATATTAATGGTGAAGTGAATATAAAAATATGTCAGCCTTGATATGGTCATATTGTATTTATAATAAACAGATGTCAGTGCAAGTTTATAATCAGCAAGTTGTATATTTGGTTGTGTGACTTATAGGTTAATAAAATAGTATAGTGATTGTAATAATCTTTGATATTCGTGTAGACTGGCAGTTGATAAAAATACTGCTATTTCTAGTATAATAATTAAAAACAATAGAAAATCTTCACACAAATATAATATACAATATTACTTATAAATATTTATTTACAAAATCACATCACATCATTTAAATTAATTTTCTATATCTTATTATCAATAAATACATTCAACTATTTTTATTCCCTTCATATTGGGTTTTTTTTTTTTATCATTTTAAAATTTAACATTTTTCTTCTTAATATAGATATGTAATGGAGTTTCTTTTCAACATCTAAAATTCTATTTTACTTGAGTTGGTTTGCGATTGATCAAATTTTAAATTTGATTTCATTTCAAAATGTCATATAACAATCTTTATATCTGATGCTGACTTTATTTAAAATTAATTTTTATTTGCCTTGATTTGTCATTGATCAAATTTTAAATTTCATGATGACTTAACATTTAAAATCTTTTATTTGCCTTGGTTTGTCAATTATTAAACGCTGACTTCAACAGGTTTTGTTTTGATTTTTAACTAAAAAGATATAAAACGACGGTAATGCATTATATTAATTATGCTTTTATCCTTTTTATGCTGCATCTATTGGTTAAAAAATATTGCTGTTGTTTTTATCCACACATGTAACATCCAATCAAACATTTTATAACATTTCACTCCATTTTGTAATCTTACACATGATTGGTCTAAATTAGAACCATCCATGTAATGTTTCTTGACACTGTACATAAAACGATTATGCTAAAGTTTGGCGGTTTGGCTGGTGAGTTCGAAAAAGAGAAGATATGCCTCGGATGAAATAGCCTGGTTCGATTTGGCTGGTGAAACTCTGAAATATATAAAATGACATTGTATTATTGAGGAGAGATAGAGGGGTTAAACGTCCAGTCAACACAGATTTGGTATACATTTTATTTCAATAATTTGCCTGCATATCTTTTGAACTGGGAGGAAACCAGAGAACTATGAGAAAACCCATGAGATTAGACAGAAACCCTTATACATGGCACGTACAAGCCTTTACAACTGGGAGGAAACCAAAGGACCATGAGAAAAGCCATCAGGTTAGACAGACAACCCTTCTCCATGGCATGTACTTGCCTTGGATCCTATCTTATGTACAGTGTTTTTGCTTGAAATATATTATAACAAAACTATAAATTGAAAATTTGTCATTTTAAATTGACAGAATTGCAATCGAGTGAGATAGAAATGATTCCTGTCTAAGTTCTTCAGGTACCAGTGTGAGTAGAACTGTGACGTAACTAAAAACAGAGAGGTTTTTGTTTATAGTATCATAAATAATTTGGTGCAAGCCTTATCATCTGTCTTCCGTTTCCTTGACTCAAACGTGTTACAGTATGAGCAATATTTTAATTCTGGAACAATGATGAGTAAAGCCTGTATTGTTACAGACCCAAGGACCTGTACAGGGAAATGGACACGGATAGTCCCCAGATCCTTTTACCTGGTTTGATATTTGATGTTTAATGTCTGTAGTTTTTCTTGTTGGCTGGTTTGTCTTGTCAGTTTTGTTTTGTGAGAGAGAGAGAGAGAGTGGGGGTTTAACGTCCACTCGCCACAAAGTAGTTCATTTCGGAACTAACATATGGTTCAATTTTATTTCAATAATTGGCTTGCGCATAGGGGTCGTTAGGAGGAAACCGGAGGACCCAGAGAAAACCCACAAGGGTCGGACAGGCGACCCTACTTCTTGTCACATACAAGCGAGGAATCAAAACCACACCATTTGACTCATTGACAGATCTTCTGATCCAACATCAACCCCCTCATAAGGTAACAGAGAAAAGAGGAATGGGGTTTAACATCCTTTGAAACAAACTAGGATATTTCGGGGCTCCAAGTAATTTTAAAATGGTTACTTTCACTAATTTATCAATATAAATTCTGCTACGTAGCAAACAATAAATATATCATGTACAATAATATATACGTTACCTGGTATCATTAAATGAATTCCACTCTGAAGAATACGGATGTTTACATATGGCTGTATAATGACCAGAATGGACTCCCCCTGAATGATTACTGACAGCATATAAGTTATATAATACTTTACTACTACCTGTAAATAAACAAAACAAACGATATGGTTTAATGTCCTACTTTCACTGGGCATACGCCATACAGTGTGCTATGAGGGAAATTTTGCCTGGACAGCGGCATTACGATCTACTCTTATATCAAATTCCAACTGTCAAGGGATCTTTTACGTGCACGCCAATGTGTACAAGGGTCCTAGGCTTTTCTTCCCGTAAGAACGAATAGATAGCCGTCCTTGTCAGGGAACCATGCTGGAAAATCTGGATGAACTTTCTGGGCCAATGCAGGGATCGAACTCCAGACTTCCAGCGTCTTACCCACTTAGCCAATGGTGACACAGGACCTCAGGTTTTTGTCCCATTCGATTATAAAGCTAATAAATCCAGATTGTCATTACGGCTTAATTGACACAGGACAAGAAGTCATGTTAGAGACTGGTTACCAGGGAAAACAAGTTACGTAACAGACTGGTTACTAGGGACAACAAAATTTGTAACAGATTGGTTACTAGGGACAATAAGTTGTGTAACAGATTGGTTACTAGGAACAGCAAGGCATGTTACAGATTGGTTTGGTTACTAGGGACAAGTCATGTAACAGACTGGTTACTAGGGACGAGTCTCGTAACAGATTGGTTTCTAGGGACAACAAGACATGTTACATATTGGTTTCTAGGGACAAGACATGTAACAGACTCATAACTAGGTATAACAAGGCATGTTACAGATTGGTTACTAGGGATAACAAGGCATGTAACAGATTATTTACTAGGGACAGCAAGGCATGTAAGAACGGTTACTAGGGACAACAAGACATGTAACATATTGGTTATTTACCTGGTTCTGCCGCGTAAGCTGATAAATCTAATTCTTGAACTGGGAAATCAACGGAAGTGGATAATTTACGTCCATATCGTTCCTGACTAAATCGTTTCAGATCTATTTATAGTATTAAGGTTTCACATTTAATTTTAAATATCAACAAGAGAGAGAGAGAAAAAATAGGGTTTAACGTCCACTCTACCAAAGTAAGTCATTTTGTGACTAACATATGGTTCAATTTTATTTCAATAATTCATTTGCACATAGGGGCTCTGGGAGGAAACCGGACAAAAACACACTAGGTTTGACAGACGATCCGACTCCTTGTCACGTACAAGCGGGGAATTGAGACCATGAAAGCTGACTCAATGACAGACCTCATGATTATAACACACACACGTTAAACCATTCGCCCACCCAACCCCGCCCTCTGATAATGTAACGGATATTAATTTATGGATAATATAATGGATATTGATTTATGGATAATATAACGGATATTGATTCATAAAAAAAATTGTTTTTATAAAAAGGATACGTAAAACAAGTATTTTAGGAAATTTCTGGATAGAAAAACTTTTGGTACATTTCTTTCTTTCTTTACATTTAGAACACGTCTGAAAGAAAACCAAAACACATGATCAATATTCATATTAAAGGAACCAGACATCAAAAATTCTATACTTTGAAAAATCATTTTTTTAGGGGGAGAGAGAGAAATGGGGTTTAACGTCCACTCGACACAAACTAGGTCATATCGGGACTAACACATGGTTCAATTTTATTTCAATAATTCGCTTGCGCGTAGGGGTCTTTAGCAGTGGGAGGAAACCAGAGGACCCAGAGAAAACCCACGGGGTTGGACAGGCGACCCTACCCCTTGTCACGTACAACCTGGAAATCGAAAAATTTTTTTAGGAGTTTGATACGCATTAAAGATGCATGATGTAAGATCTGGTTAAGAGGTTAGCTGTTATTGTTTTGATACCCGTAGTTAAAAACGATTTTTTGAACAATCAGGGGCCATAATCCAGAAATTTATGGTCTGAAATGAGCAAATATCAAAAGGGACTGAGATTTTTGGAATATAAAGATATGTTTTAAGTTTTAGCAAAATCAGATAAAAATTGTGACCTCTACACAATTTGCATACAAAGAATGGCCATTTTGTCGGTCAATTTCATTTCGATTTTCCCAAAATTCCAATTCAACCTTCATTATAGTGGAATGGTGATATATCTAAATGGTTTTTAAAAACAGAAAAAAAATTGTGACCTCAAGAGAATCCACAAGCTAAAAATGTGATTTTTTGACAAATCAGGGACCATAATCCAGGAAGTTACGTTCGGATATGTGTGATTATCAAAAGGAACCAAGATCTTTATGATAAAATATATTTAAAGTTCCATCCAAATCGGATAAAAACTGTGGCCTCTAGAGGGCCCAGAACCTTGATATACCATATTTTTTACACTATTTGCATATAAAAGGTGGCCATAATGTCAGTCAGTTTTTCCTGATTTTCTCAAAATTCAAACTCAACCGTCATTAGTGTATAACTGTGATATATTCACACGTTTTTTTTTGTTTTTAAATCAAATAAAAGTTGGGAGATTAAGTAATATATTAAAACAACAGACACTCGCATATGCTTTGTAATGAAATACGTTACATGGCCACATGGGTCCAAAATTTTAAATAGTACAAATAATGTACGCTTGGCACACTGCCCGTACCATTATTTGAAATAATGATATGCCAACTTCAAAGGATGACGTCACATCTGCATTTTAGATGTACTTACCGGCCGTTCCTCATCTGCTAATTCTTCTTCTTTCATAAATAATCTTAGACAATCACTGACAGAAACTTCTTGAGTATACTTAAAAATATACAAACATACATTACATTGATATAATATACTATATAAGATAAAGAAAATAAAACTTCAGTGAAAAGAAATGAAACAAAATTTAACATACTATTGTTCTGCACCACTATGCTATGTGGGGAATTTGACCCGACCTTCTCTTATATCATGGATTCTTGTATCTGTACATGGTACCTGGGTTTTCGCCCCATCCAAAAGACTATACACAGTCCTTGTCAGGCCTTCCGTGAAAAGACAACATTTTGAGTTTTATAGATGCCATGTTTTATTGCGTGGTCGAGACTATAAATGACAAATTTTGGTTTAATCATGAGCCAATTTGATTAAAATACAGATCTATATTTCGTTTCGTTTTTTTTTATACTTTTAATGGCCTCTACTACATGAAGATTTGACCGGTTGTATTGGGAGGTTGCATCAGGGGTCAAACAAGCGGCTTTTGACACTATGAAGTCAGACATTTGATACCCAGTAGGATACCCACAGTTCCATGCATCGCACAACAGACCGTTTCATTGGCTAATCCCTCAAATCATCCAGAATACAGGTTATATAACAACTCTTCCAGATCCTAGTGTAGTAAAGACGAAATTTCGAATTATAAACAAGAAATACGATCTGTGTTTTAATCAGATTGGTCATGAGCAATAACTTAAGAAGTACTGGACGCAAATTGCTCAAATTGGATAACTTGAATTAATAAATGTTGGGTCACCACTTACCTTTGGTATAGGAAGTGAAAGATCCCAGAATGGATCAAAGGTTACCGAAGAATGACCACACGAGAACTTTAACTCACTCTTTAACTGACCAACAAATATTTCTGTGAAAAAAAATATTATAATTCATAAAGTAAGTTAAAAAAAAACCAAACAAAAAGTATAATTTATAAAATTGGTTAATAAAATATTTCCTTCATATGGTGTGTTATCAAACACTACCAATACAAAGTTCAACAACCAATGTGGAAGAACTACCTCCCAACAAATATTCTCATGTCAACCAACATGGATGTCTTGTCAATCCACATGGATGTCTTGTCAACCAACTTGGAGGTCTTGTCAGCCCACATGGAGGTCTTGTAAACCAACATGTAGGTTCTGTCAACCCACACAGAGGTCTTGTCAACCAACATGACGGCACTGTCAACCAACATGAAAGTAATGCCAATCAACATGGAGGTACTGTCAACCAACATGAAGTTACGGTAAAACAACATGCCAGTCTTGTCAACCAACACGACTACTGTCAACGAACATGAAGGTACAGTCACCCAACATAGAGGCCTTATCAACCTACAAGAAGGGTTGTCAACTAACATGGAGGCCTTATCAACTTACAAGAAGAGTTGTCAACCAACATGGAGGTCTTGTCAACCAACATAAAGGTACGGTCACCCAACATGGAGGCCTTATCAACTGACAAGAAGGGTTGTCAACTAACACATGGAGGTCTTGTCAACCAACATGAAGGTCTTGTCAACCAACATGAAGGTACGGTCACCCAACATGGAGGCCTTATCAACCCACAAGAAGGGTTGTCAACCAACATGGAAGTCTTGTCAACCAACATGAATGTATGGTCACCCAACATGGAGGCCTGATCAACTGACAAGAAGGGTTGTCAACTAACATGGAGGCCTTATCAACCTACAAGAAAGGTTGTCAACCAACATGGAGGTCTTGTCAACCAACATGAAGTTACGGTCAACCAACATGGAGGCCTTATCAACTGACAAGAAGGGTTGTCAACTAACATAGAGGCCTTATCAACCTACAAGAAGGGTTGTCAACCAACATGGAGGCCTTATCAACCCACAAGAAGAGTTGTCAACCAACATGGAGGTCTTGTCAACCAACATGAAGGTACGGTCACCCAACATGGAGGCCTTATCAACTGACAAGGGTTGTCAACTAACATGGAGGTCTTGTCAACCAACATGAAGGTCTTGTCAACCAACATGAAGGTACTGTCACCCAGCATGGAGGCCTTATCAACCCACAAGAAAAGTTGTCAACCAACATGGAGGTCTTGTCAACCAACATGAATGTACTTCACCCAACATGGAGGTCTTATCAACCTACAAGAAAAGCTGTCAACCAACATGGATGTCTTGTCAACCAACATAAAGGTAATGTTAACCATGACAATATATGAATATATTACAAGTTACGTATTAAAAGCAGATTAATACACTTACCAACAATTTTACTATTATCCATATTTAAATAAGCTTTCCAATATTCATGGGCTTTTTCTGCATCACTAAAATAATAGGTATTTATAATTATAGGCTAAACAATGAGTTTTATGTACGATTAAATCATAATTCAAATGATACTTGTTTCAATAAACAGAGTAACCACCAAATACATCATTGAAGCTGATGTCTTCGGTCGGAATCCTAATAATAAAACCCTTAATTAATTAGTTACACATTTATGTTATTATAAAACATTGACCAATCAAATTACTTGTCTACGATATCACCTCAGGTGGAAGTGGACGTAAAACTCTAGGAATGAACGAACGAAATTACTTATCATTCTGTTTATCCTCATTAACAACATGTTCATCCACTTTCTCCCCATTAGAATCAAAGTTATTATTGCTAGGATCCGACTGTCGTACATCGCTTTACGATTGGATTTTCCCTATTGAGTCCAGATGCGTTCCGATACTATCATCAATATGATTGCTACTACTGACCTAAATATATGATAAGATCTGATAGGATCGTCATGATTACTCCACGATAAAAACTACGATTTCAATCGTAGCACAAATACTAGCATTAGCTCCTAAATATCAACCAATTAAATTGCTTAGGTTTGCTTAGCCTGAGCAGAAAAGGCTCCTTGTCAAAATCAGTAAAGATATTCATCTAATGACAATCTACATGTTATTCGTATTCTGTTAATAATTGTCACTTAAACAATTTAAATAATCTACATCAAGTCTGAACATTCTAGCTCAATCAGAAGCAGAGTTATTGTGACAAACAGTGAACTCATTTCAATAGTGCCCTGTGCTTTCTCTACAAGGCTAGGGAACTTATAAACTAGAAATGCCCAACTATAGTTACAGCTTCTATGCAGATATTTTGGAGGTGTAAATTACCTTTTACGTTCTAGTTTATCATCTTGAAGAATAACGGCTTTAGGTTTTTTAGCAACACGATTCACATCTTCATGTAATCCTTCTAATAAATATCGTAAAAACTCCTGACTATCTTGTTGACTGTGAATAATAATAATAATAATAGACAGTTTTATAAAAAAGTAAAATAATTGATCCAAGTCATTTCATTATTACAATCAAATACAAAAAGGAGGGAGGGAGAGAGAGAGAGAGAGAGAGAGAGAGAGAGTGAGTGAGAGAGAGTTTAATGTCCACTGGACACAAACTTGGTCATTTCAGGACTGACATATGGTTCAATCTTATTTCATTAATTCACTTGCGCACAAGGGTCTTTAGCATTGGTAGAAAAACCGAGGACGTGGATAAAACCCACGAGATTGGACAGGCAACCCTTCTCCTTGTCACGTACAAGTGGGGAATCAAAACCATGCAACTTGACTCAATGACAGACCTTCTGATACAACACGCCTGTGTTAACCATTCCGCGATCCAACCCACCCATAAGGTAAATAGAGAGAGAAAAGAGGAAAGGGGTTTAACACCCGCTTGACACAAACTAGGTTATTTCGGGGCTCCGAATAATTTTAAAATGGTAACTTTCACTAATTTACCAATTTAAATTCTGCTACGTAGTCTTGTTTGGATAAAAGATCATACATTATGACTTCCAAATATTTAATCTTGATAAAACCTTTACTCTGATATCATACACAATGAGTCGACCAGCATAAAGGTGATCAAAATGTCTGACAAAGGAGATACCACAAATTGTTTTCAGGATTAAGATATACAGGAAATCATGTTAAGAAAATCAATCAAGGCTGATTAAGACAAAACAATCAAGGTAGATTAAGTAATTAATCAATTAAGGTAGTGTTTAGCACCATAAATGGGTTTCTCACATAATTACCTAATCAATTGTGCTTATTATCAACAATAATTGAGATGAGTAATAGTTATACACTCAGTACAGTCAATATATTTTAGAATTTTGAATATTATTCAATATAATCTTGATGTCTGATTGGACATATTCCTGGTCAGATGTTCGTAAAATCATATAAGAAATGTCAGGAATATACACTATACGGGGGAAGTAATATCTATGTTTAAAACTAAACATTAAATATAGAAACTCTCACTAAAACAGCACAACTACACAATACCCAAGTTCTAGTGGTCATAAGCTTTTCTTACACGAATTGCAGACTTTAACCTCCATCCTCATTCTCCAAACTCAATTGTGTTTAAAATACGCTTTCATCCCCCTCTAGTAGTGAAAGTGGGGGATTGGAAACTGAAATGAGGTTTAACGTGCAACTATTCTGCACTGTGCACCGAGATGGACATACCACATACAGTGCATTATAGGAGGAATTTTTCCCAGACACTGTGCTTTACTCTTTTACATGTTTTATTGAGCACTTGAAAAAATTGGATGTTAATGATCAAAACTAGATTTAAATACTTACGAATAACCCATAAAACGTGGAGCAAATTTCTGTACTTGGGTTTTAAAACTATTCGGTGAGACAAACGTATCAGAATTCTTCCACATAGAATTCATTAAATTTACATAGGCTGGAAATCAAAAACATTTATTACTTTAGACAAAAAAAAAAATAATGAACATAAATAAAACATTAAAATCTCAATAATCTAATCCATTAACCATAATGTGAGCGCTAGCCGTTAGGTTTTAGTAGGCCTATGGATAGAATAAAATAGAAATGAAATGGGAGTTTAACATCCTACCCTTCTGCTTCTGCTGGGCTAATGAGGAAAATTTTGCCCAAACAGCGGTTTACTCTCATTTCGAATGCAACTGTGAAAGGTTTGTTTACATGTACACCCATGTATACACAGGACCTTGATTTTTGTCCTCTCCGAACAACTATACATTATCTCTTGCTAGGCATCGTACTGCACAACTGACATGGCTTAACCATGCCAGATTATCATGTTGAAAACCATCAATATATTTTAAAATAAATGGGATGAAAAACTGAGGACCCGTGTATACCTTGAAGTGCACATAAAAGAACCCTTGCCAGTTGGAATTCAGTGTAAGAGTAGGCGATAGTGCCGCTGTATGGGCAAAATTTCCCTCATAGCACACTGTATGGCGCATGCCCATCTTCATTTTCCCAGTCAGAGCAGAACAGTAGGACGTCAAACCCAATTTCATTTCATTTAAAATAAATGGACATACCTTTCATCAATGCCCCTTTCATACTGCTAGTAGTGGTATTTATATCCAAATGATAATTATCATTAACACAGTATTCTAATAACGGCTTCGTATTACTTAAACATTGTAGAACACAACTCATAAAACACTGAAAAATGCAAATATATTCATATAGTTATTGACTGACATGTATAGTAACTGAGCGGCCTCGTATTGGATCTATAACTATAACATCCTTGGTCAGTATTTCATTATAATCATACATGGAATTTGATTATAATAATCATACAGTATTTCATTATAATCAACAGCATTTTATTATATTAATTATACGGTATTTCATTATAATCATACAGTATTTTATTATAATCATACAGTATTTTATTATAATCATACAGTATTTTATAATAATCATACAGTATTTTATTATAATCATACAGTATTTTATTATAATCATACAGTATTTCATTATAATCATACAGTATTTTATTATAATCATACAGTATTTTATTATAATCATACGTTAAATAATCTATTATTTAGACAATTATTAACATGACAAGCCTATAATCAACTTGCTAGTTCATCGGTCTCACGCTATAATAGTTACAAAATAGATAACGATAAATGAAAATATTGAAAATGTCATTCAAATTACTTTATTCTGAGTGACCTTATCACTGCTTTAATATTGTTTATTATCGTAGCAATGTTACTTCTTGAACGAGACTTAGTCTTGCTTCCCCATTTTCAAATTAATTAATTAAATGTTGATTGTATTTTAATCTGTTTGCATCTGCGCCATCCACTATCCGATTGTCTAGAGAGTTGATTATACATGTTATGTGAACAAACGTCAAAATAATTTATATAACATTTGAAGTCAAAATAAAAACCTTTAATAAGCAGATTTACCTCTTGCATAATGCATGTTTAAAGAAATTTACAGGACCTTTAGTTGCTTTGTATAAATGATTAAATATAGCTCTGTCACTCTTAACTTCTTAGAGAATAAAAAGTTAATTTAGCTCCAAGAGAAATAAAGATTTTATTACTTTTTCTTTTTTAAAAACATGTAAAATTTGGTCTATAAATCAAAATAAAAGGTAAAATTGTCAGATCCACAGAAACACCACCTGGTTAAAATTATGGAACAGAATAACAGACAAGAAAGAGGTTGAAACAAGTGCCCATCATAGACCCATACATACATGTATATATAATCATACCAGCCTTAATCTGAAACTTACCGTATTCCCTAAGTTTTTTAATCCAACCTTTCCACAGGAACTCTTCGAACCCTGTTCAAATATAAAAATCACATTAATACATACCAGGAACATACAAGTACATATAGGAATATTTCAGATTCAAATAACAACAATTGGTCATGGACATTTTCTGTCTTACAGTACACAAGTAACTATTTTTATAATAAATAGGACTGTCACAACTACTAGGGACCATTACAGCTGATTATCTCTCCAAGGAACATCAAACTGACACTATAAAAAGAGAGATAGGAGAAATATAGTTTAACGTCCACTTGACACAACTAACAACTGGTTCAATTTTATTGTAAGAAAATTGCTTACGTGTAGGGATCCATTGAGGATGGACAGGTGACCATACTTCTGGTCACGTAGCAGCGGGGAATCGAAACCAAGCCACTTATCTCAATGACAGACAGACTTCATGATCTAACGTGCATGCGTTAAACATATCGGCCCCCCAACCCCCTTACAGTTACATGTATATAAAGATACTCACACTAGAAGATATACTGCTATTACTGGTACTCTGTCGAGATATAGATTTAGCGGGCGAATCTGATCGGAGTTCACGACTTAATGGTGTATAACTACTTCTCTCTCGAGATGGACTGTTATCACGCGATGTACTTCGTCCAGCCTTCGTATAACTTGAAGAATGATTCATATCCAATATATTATCATTGTCTTTTAACGATTGTCTTCGCGAAACAGAACTACTTCTTCCTGTGGTACCATACAATCCTCCGTTATTATAATCTGAATCGTAATTATATCCATTACGTGATTCGGATATTTCTACTCGAGATCGGATCCTAGGTGAATCATTATCATATAACGACAAGTGACCTGTGATGTCAGCTAAACTTGCAGATCGTCGGCCAGATAATCGACTGGAAGGGCGTTCAATATCTTTTGTCGGCGTGATACTTGGTCGACGTGATGACGACGACAATGGGGTACCTGTATAACTACTACTGTACAGATTTCCTGTCGTATGATCTCCGCGCAACGGCCCATTCTTAATGCCCACACCAATAGAACTGCTGGAATTAGTAGGTTGTGAGTTTTTATAGTAATTGGATATCGAATATTTGCTCAATTTCCTTCCCTCATAATCCAAGGGTCCAGGTCCTGATGGTAGAGGTCGAGTTCTACTTGCTGACCTCGGCAACGACGAATAAGATGACGATTCATAATTAGACGATCCAGTTCCATAATTAGACGATCCAGTTCCATAATTTGATCCAGTGCCGCCGTATTTTCGTGAAGTTCCAACATGGGTGCGGCCGAATGAACTACTACTTGGGCTACTTCCGTAGGAATTACCATAGGTAGTACCATATCTAGAATAACCTGAGGTAGTTACGCCAACCGGCATTTTGATTTTTTGCTGATAACTTGTTCGATTGATTGTCTGATAAAATATATCAGAAATAAATTTCTGTAAACATTTATAAACTGTATTTTTAGGATTCAGCTTTTAATCTTGGCCATTATGATGGAATGCAGTAACTGAAAATAAAATATATTTCATGATCATGTGATGGGAAATGAAATGTTTGAAAGGATCTACAATTATAAGAACAATTTGACAAGAGTGGAATTAAAATTTTACTGTATAAAATCAGCACAGACAATCTGCCTTGTTATTTGTGTTAGCCTGAATTCTAAGTTACATACAATATAAATATAGCATTTTAGCCCACAGCAAAACGAATACTGTAAGATCAAGCTAAAGTGTGCATTAAATAATGAACCTCAATAAATATTAGAGTTCAGTGAACCTGTCAGTGACATAAGCATACGAGTATTATTATAGCATAAATTCGGGTTGGGCTGCTGTTAAATGACTCTGAGCTTTACCGACAAATCTAGGTCAGCATTTTTGACAGTTCATCATGTTCTGTCAAAACAATCTTCTCGAAATTCGACTCAATCACAACGATATCTTTCGTTGAAATCTGATTATATACTTATATAATATATAACATATTATTTAGAAGGACAATTGGTGTTGATAAGTTGCCAAACTATGACTAAAATAGGTAAACCGTGCAGACGAATTCCACTACCTTCCCAATCGGTAACAAGTTATGACGGATAACATCAACAATTTTGACATTTCGGATTACAATAAATAGGCCATTAAGCATAACGCACGAATTCAAACAAAAATTTAGCAATTATAGAACACAGACTGATATAAATGTGAAAAAGTCAAGACATACAAACCGGCGGTCGAAAGTTAAAGGACATTGAAGACGAGCACAACTCGGTAATTCTACACTTCCGACGCCATTTTCGACGGGGTCAACTGCGGCTTATTTTTCTTGTCGTCATAGTAACTAATAATCTTACAAAACGACTATTCGTACATATTACTGGTTAAATTGAAAATGAAATAAATTTATCATCGTAAGAAAAGTTATTTCCTGATCAAAATATGATTCCAATTCGTTTTCTAAACGTTAACCAATTTTAGCCAATCAAAACCTCCATTGCTATTCATCTCACCAAATCAATAATCATCCCCAATGACGTCATTGATCATACCTTTTCTGAAAGGTGAGCACAGTCGCCATCTATGATCTAGTAGACGATGGTTGCGAACAGAACATTTAAAAACGCAACCCTGCGCTTGGGCAGAATTGTTGGCGACCCAGGCTTATTAAAACGCTTTAGAATTCGACTACCCATGATAAATAATAAAATAAAACAAAAGTAACTTTATCCAAAATAATAAAACAATATAGTCCCAATTAAAAAACAAAATTTATCCTTTCCCGGACTTCAATTGAAGGGTGGCGAGGAAGTGCCTCCGATTAGAATTTTAAGACCGTTTCATCTTATTTTTGGATCTCGGAATGGTATACAAGACCGATTAGAGAAAAAAATTTTATCAATATGAAACGACAGATAAATTATTATGGGCATCAATATGAGTTTTCAAAATACTTTACATGAAAGGTGAAATTGATATATACAGTGATATCTTTAAACGAAAATTGATGAATTTAAACCAAAATATAACAAAACCCACGTCCTTACCCACTTTTATTACGGTAATATATTTTTTTCAAATCTTTTTGTTTGTTTGGGTTTTTTTTTAACTATCGGCTTAAACTATAAATCTAGTTAAAGCTATAAAAAGACTAAATTCACTTATTACGGTAAAATCTTTTTTTCTTTTTTTTTTTTTACTATCGGCCTAAACCATAAATTTAGCTAAAACTAAAAACTAAATTCACTTCATCTACTATCGGGCGCATAAAGATTACACTAAACTTAAAATTTATAATAAATGTTTGTACTACAATGGTAGGTGGGGGTCGGGTGTTACTGTTCACCGCCGACCACCGCCGACCAGTACTTTTACCGCCGACCGTCGTGAAATTACCGCCGACCAAATACTTTTTACCGCCGACCGCATTGTAATGACTTTGGATCGTAATATAATTACCGCCGACCAAATACTTGTTACCGCCGACCAAATGCTTAATGATTCCTTGTTACCGCCGACTATATAAAATTAATTAAATTATTAGTGACAAATAAATAGATTTGGTCAAATACACAGAGTTTGATAAAAAAAATATAGATTTTATTATATATAAATATGGTCGACAACCCTAACTCTAACACTAATAAAAGATAGGCCTAAAATGTTATTTATTTATAACCAGTAGCTGAAACAATCTTGATATATTTGCCCTTCAATATCTAAATTGTAGTTTTGTCCTTCCATATTCTTTAAAATATATATGAATGTTTTTCGACAGTTGTACGTGATTACACCTCAAATAAAAAATAACATTCTTGTTGTATTCTTTTTTATAAAAAAAAACAACCGTAAAATAGTCGGCGGTAACAAGGAATCGTTAAGCATCGGTAACAAGTATTTGGTCGGCGGTAATTATATTACGGTCGAAAGTCATTACAATGCGGTCGGCGGTAAAAAGTATTTGGTCGGCGGTAATTACACGACGGTCGGCGGTAAAAAGCATTTGGTCGGCGGTAGTCGGCGGTGGTCGGCGGTAAAAAGTACAACCGGGTGGGGGTCTACGAACAATATAAAAATATTTTCTGTGTTTTACAATGGTTTAGATGGTAGAGTACGGTCTACGAAAGATATAAATATAAACACGGATGTAGTTTTTGTGGTTTATGCCATTTTGTAATCAAATAGGCTTACAATCATTCATTGGAAAATGTTTATTTACGAAATAGAAATAAAACCTGTTCTACCCCGACTGGGATAATGAAGACGGGCATACGCCATACAATGTGCAACGAGGTTTTTTTTTCCCCGGGCAGTGGCACTACGACTTACTCTTATATGGAATTCCAACTGAAAGGGTACTTTTACGTGTCCGCTATTGTGTACACGGGACCTCGAGTTTCATCCCATCCCAACGAATATACGTTGTCCCCTAGTCCTGCACCACTGTCAAGAGGAAACCTGTTTGGGGGACATATTATTATGATAAATCATAAAGACGCTGAATAAGGTGAAGCAGCTTATAAATACAGATGTTTTATCTTGATAAATAGAAATGATAACTTTTATTGAAAAGGAGTATAACACAGATTGTCATTTTCAAAAGACGCTCGTTATTTTATTTCAACTTAGTAATCTTATTAAGGTGGGTGTGTGTGTGTGTGGGGGGTGTATTTGAAGATTTTATTTTAAAGATACAAAATAATTTACAACCGAGACAAATTCAGAAAACGATTAAATTTATCCATCATAGTTTAATTCTGGAGGCAGGCTGTGACCGTTCTTCTCTTTTAGAATTATATCGGAGGAATAGGAAGCCAATCTCAGATTGGGGCGGGGGTGGGGTGTGTGTGTGCTGAGTCTATTTGACTGAAAATTTTCTTCATTACCCGAATTTTCAGAATGAATCAATGATTAACTGTAAAACAAATTTTCCTCAAAGCTGTGATGGTTGTTTATTTTTAATTAATTATATACTTATACAACAATATAAATTTACAATATGTTAAGCAAAGAACAACTTAATGTTCCCCATTCTCTGATGTTTGTGCCCCAAAAACGGAAATACATTGCCCGAAAAATGGACGGTTCGAGGAATCAGTCTACAAAATGATAATTCTCTAATACATAGTAAATTTGAGTAAATAGTTACCGGCGGTGTAAACCAGTATCTAAAATATCACTCAAATAATTTTGTTAAAACAATCCATAATAGTCTGTTGTTTATGTGTTCAGTGGAGGTTTGGCTTGAAGGCATTTTGTTTTTGTAATTTGATTATTATCTCAAAGTTTGCTAAATTTTATTAATTCATAAGCTGGAGCTATACTCTCTTTTAACGTTTGCAGTCAAAGAGAGGTAACTCCCGTTAAAGAGTTAAATTGCAGTTGTTTCCCCTGGACAAAAAGTAAAGATAGCCGTACTTCCGCTTGATCCCCATAGCAACGTTGTAAATTTGGCCATCTTTGTTTTATCTTCGTTCTTGAGTCTAAGAAGTCTCTTTTCATGAGGTTTTCATGGAATTATTTTTACCGTTAAGTGCTAAGTTGTTGTAAAATAAACATGGCTTCACGCACGCAAACACAGACGCTGCGTAGACAGCCAGTGGATCCGTCACGAACTTATGATTATTTATACGGTGAGTTTTGACGAGTGAAAAAAAAACAAACCCCAAAATTGGCAAATTATCCAAACTCAGATTGAGTCAGAAACTGAGTTACGTTTTTCACATTTTTATGAAAATAATTCACTTACTTCAAAATTCAAGTGATTTTAAGTAAAAGTGGTCATATTGTATGCTTATTTTACTATTCACATAATCTTATTCATTTGACATTTGTCATTTGTAAATGTAATCGAATGGTATTTCATTTGACTATTTTAATTTAGTTCATTTGAGTATTTGATTTAAAGTAGCTAAGTCCGTAATCCAATATCATTAAAAATCTTCGACATTGAAAACACGATTTTTTTGCAATTTAAATCAGCATTGGTTTTGTGATCTTACCTGGAAAAGATGGGCTTCTGATATCCAATATTTAAGACAAAATAAACATTTTACCATTGGTACACGAATCGTGTACCATAATGCGTTTCAGCGCCATTTGTAACAAGGTGCTCAAAGAATGAAGCTAGACATATTCCACAAGTCATGTCAAAGCGGTGATATCATGTTCTTATTTGGAGAGCATGCGCAATAGATAATATCGGTGTTGACTGGAATAACCAGACGCTAGAAACTGACTTGCGGTTGAAACTTCTGGCGTATTTCGCCGAACATAACTGATGACAATTCACAGTAAAACGGACACGATTGAATGTAAAACAGTTTGTATGAATTCATATTACATTATTATATATGTGTTGCGACCCATTTGTGCCAATTTCTAGGTTCAAAATATTAGCGATTTAGCTCCTTTATAAAGGGTCTGTCCCGATTTAAACAGAGTCTCAGAAATAAAAGTCTGCGTATGTATGAAATTTAAGCACCAAAATATAGAGGAATGGTGTATTTACCTTGTCTGAATATTTCAGCTCAAAATATTGAGGTCAATACCGCATATCCGGACAAGTAATCCTTTAAGCTTTAAGATTTTGGTTCAAATTTTTTTGTCGGATGACCTATTTATATATACCGTTCCTTTAGAGATCAAAACAGTGTGTAATGCATGTTCTGTACTCGATAACGATCGTTAAATGTCACCTACATGTTATTTTTCTAAAGTAAAAGTCTGGTTGTATCCAGACACCGTGTAGGCTAATAGCCTACAACTTGGCCACTGGTCTCCATTAAGTTGTCAGAAAACGTATCACGTATGTTGAGTTAGTTGCTCGGCCCTAATGCAGAGGTTTTTAAGAAATTTTCACACAAAATTAAGCAGTTTTATTTATCAAAATATAATCTAGATTGGCTCTAGTTTCTATGTCGATTTTCGATCTTGGTTCATTTTCGCTCAGAAGATAATAATTATGATTTATGAAATGAATCTTTCAATTCCAGTCAGTGTATTTACCCTCAACTGTTTTTTTTTGAGTCTTAGTCGATTTCTACGAATTAATATTATTGAATAGCCGGAACTGTGAATATGACTACTTATAAGCCTTACTTAGTAATAATTTCTGATGGTTGTGTTTACTGAGTAGTTATCTTTTGTTTATACTTTTTATAGAGTCTTTCAAATTGGCTGCTTCCATGTTAGTGGGGAGTCGATGCTAAATTTTCAACATAAGAATCTTCAGGGTCAGGAATTCATCTGTTTTGTTTTACCTAATATTAATAACAACTGGTTGCTGGTTTCCTAGATTTCTGTCATTGGAGTGTGGACCCCTAAATCACAGGATAAGATCAACCAAAATTTTATGAATTGGGTCCGGTTCTTTAGTTGCACCCAGATTCATACATCCACTGCCTATTTATTAAACTGTTAGAATACGCTTGGCCACTCGCCAAAACGAAATTGATTTTAACAATTAATAGGGTTTTGCAATGCAAAACAGAATTTGAATTCTTGTTGACATATTAAAATGTAATGGGGTAACCCAATAAATAGAGAGAGAGAGATGGGGTTTAACGTCCACTCGACACAAACTAGGTCATTTCGGGACTAACATTTCAATAATTCGCTTGTGCGTAGGGGTCTTTAGCAGTGGGAGGAAACCGGATGACCCGGAGAAAACCCAAGAGGTTGGAAACTCGTTAGATACAACACCATGGCAAGTTTATAGTTTAGACACATCCAGACACGATAATCATCTGTCACTAGTTGGAAACTTTTTTTCCTTAATTTTTACAGCTTTATTTCCCAGCAAAAAAAAACAAGCAACATTTAATTTTTTTGGGAGAGAATGCTGAGGTTGGGGCCTAGGATTCACTCTTGTTACAAGGTATGGACATAAATGGTATTGATTGAAACGTGACAATTACAGTGATTGTGTCAGTGTAAATGGCCTTTCACCCAGAATTAACCAGTTTTAATCCCTAAAATTAAAATATATCTGGGAATACTATTTTAAGACTTGGAATAGGTAATTATTTTACATATTGTGTGATTTTAGATCCAGTTCATCATGTTGCCAGTGAAAGAGATCATGCCAGGGCTACATTTAAAGCTCATACCAGCTCGGATAGAGTTGTAAGTAGTTGCAATATTTTTACTATTATTATTATTATTACTCATATCTACCACTTAAATATGCTCATGTGCGCTTTACAAGTCTGTGTCACCACAGACTTGGGACTGTACAGCACAGTGGATGCCTACAGCTAGCCCCCGGATCCATTCACTAAATCTGAAATGTGCGTTTCTTTGTGATTTATGCGCATTGTGTCTTGTCCGTAAATTTGTCTTGTGTGTGGTGCAGTCCCCCTGCACTTACTATTAGAGCAAGACAATATTACATTTCCATAATATAACGAACTAATAAAGAACATACTTGATGTAAAATATATAAATAACAATTATTACATGTAATTAGATATTAAAATAGTTTTTGATAATCTACAATATAAAAGAATCACTGGATAAAAACCTTTTAAAATCAACATATCTATAAATTGTTTAAGTGGCATTTAGTAACTGGATGAGAATAACACATACACAATCATACGGAATACAAGTTACTTAAAGAGTTTATTACAGCGACGTTTCGACGAGGGTTCTCCCGTCTTTGCTTGACAAAGACGGGAGAACCCTCGTCGAAACGTCGCTGTAATAAACTCCTTAAGTAACTTGTATTCCATATAATTGTGTCATGTGTTATCAACATATCTATAGTTTTAAAAGTAGCATAAATAAATAAAAATAACTAATAACTCAATCTGGTTAAAACACAGATCCTATTTCGTTTCGTTTTTATAGTTCAAAATTTCGTTTTACTTGTCTTTATTACACTTGGATCTGGAAGAGTTGTTATTTAACTCGTGTTCTGAATGGTGTCAGGGATTAGCCAATGAAACGGTCTGTTACGACGAGCTTTAGACATGTTTTGCATGGAACTGATAGTAATCCACTAGTAACATCAATGCTGATTGGTTAATCAAATGTCTGACATCATAGGGTCATAAGTCGGTCTTTTGACCCCTGACGTGACCTATCGCTATAAGTTGTCAGTTCTTCATGTAGTGTTGGTCATCGAAAGTATATAAAAACGAAACGAAATATAGATCTGTATGTTAATCAGATTGCTAATAACTGTATGTAATAAGAATTACTTAGTTTTTATTATAGCAACATTTTATCTAGGCTTCTCTTGAATTCATCAGGCAATGACACAGTATTTATTTATAATAACCGTAAAACTATTTATAAGCTTAAATAAAACATACATAATGCAAGAGCTAAATTTGCCTATTGCTGGTCTTTATTTAGGCCTGAAATATTATATAAACTATTAATTAGACATTTATTAAATAAAAAAATGGATAATCAAGGCTATGTTTTTTTATCGTACCGACTTTAGTAATAATGATCGAGGTTAGACCTCAAATTCTATCGCTAAATTCTCAGTTTAAAGTGGATCAATTTGACTGAAATTTTCAGCATATTCTATTAACGTTATCTAGTTTTTAACTATTATAGCGAGAACTGTCAGCTCTTTATCTAATCTCCTATAATGTATCTTTAAAAGATCTTTAATCAGATTTTGTATTTATTATTTTCCCTTCTAAAAATACTCAGATTTCATCCAAATATTAACTCTAAATAAAAGTACCTGATGTACTGACATCATATCCCATCAGTTTAACCAAATATTATCTTTATTTACAGAAACGAGTCCCAAACTATAAGACTATGTTCAGTGAACTGCGTCATCACCCCAGATTTCAGATGCGACTGGAGGTCACAGATCCAGTACCTAAATTTATCTCTAGACATTGGAGAGGTTACGCTGATCAACAACGTGAATCTATGTTACGCTATAAAACGTAAGATTATCAAGTATATAATTATAAGAGGGGTTGGATGGCCGAATGGTTAGCACGTACACATTGTATCATAAGGTCTGTCATTGAGTCAACTGGCAGGGTTTCGATTCCCTGGTTCACAAGGAGTAGGGTCGCCTGTCTAGCCTCATGGGTTTTCTCCGGGTCCTCCGATTTCCCATCACTACTAAAAATACCTACGCGCAAGGGAATTATTGAAATAAAATTGAACCATATGTTAGCCCTGAAATGACCCAGTGGACGTTAAACTCCATCTCTCTATCACATTCTCTCTTTGTTTTTCATCCCATCCAAATGACTAGACACTATTCCTCGTAAGGCCCTCTTGTCCTGCAAGGGGAAACCACGCCAGAAATCAAGAAGAAAATCTCAGCCAATTCTGGGTTTAAACCCAAGACCTGATCATGGAGCCAGCATTGACTACTTAATGTGCCAAGACTAAAAAGAATTCATACATGTGAGGTTGTGCCATATTCACTATATACCATGAGTAACAAAGAATTCATCTATTTTGTGTATAAGTTCACCATAATAACCCGTTTTATAAATAGTAAAATATAATTCACAGGTTTAATTATGATCCTGCCGTCGTTATACCAGATAAAACGTTTGGGAATGCTGAAGTGACGGGTAGAAATCGATATAAATATGCTAAAAGACCCATGATACCATTCCTGCAACAAGTTCCACCGGAAGTTTTATTGGCTACGGCAAGACAGGATCCACTCTCAACACAAGAACAACCCCATGTCGAACGACCTCCAACCCCACCAACTAAAACCATTGAAACTCAAACAGATTATCGTGATTCGGAGGCTCAGACTGATCCGTATACACCAGAATATGTCGTACAACCTGGCACAGCACCAGAACTCTTAACATTAGCTACATTATCATATGGTGAGTTATCATTGTCTAGTAAAAAGAAACCTACATGTTTAAAAGTTTAGATGATTCAGTATATTTTTATGTGCCCATATTTTCATGTGGACGTATATTGTCGACGTCCGTCCGTTCGTCCACAATTGTTTGTGAACAGTCTACAGGTCACAATTTTTATCCGATTTCAATGAAACTTGAAATATAGGTTTATCACCCTAAGATCTCGGTTCCTTTCGATATTGGCATGTATCGGACCGTAACGTCATGGATTATGGCCCCTGATTGTACAAAAAATCACGTTTTTAGCTTTTGAACACTGTAGAGGTCACAATTTTTTATCCGATTTGGTTTAAACTTGAAATGTAAGTTTATAACCCAAAGATCCCAGTCCCTTTCAATATTCGCGCATATCGGACCATAACTTCCTGAATTATGGCCCCTGATTGTACGAAAAATCATGTTTTTAGCTTGTGGACCCTATAGAGGTCATAATTTTTATCCGATTTAAAAAATCATATTATTATATCACCGTTACACCCTAAGGACACACGACTGAGTTCGAATTTTGTGAAATCGGCCCAAAACTGACAGATAAAATGGCCGCCCTTCGTTCTCAAATAGCGTAAAAATATGGTATATCAAGGTTGTGGACCCTATAGAGGTCACAATTTTTATCTGATTTTGTTGAAACTTGAAATGTAAGTTTATAACCCAAAGATCTTGGTTCCTTTCGATATTTGTGCATATCAAATTGTAATTTCCCGAATTTTCGCCCTTGATTGTAGGAAAAATCACTTTCATTTTAGCTTGTTTTCTATTTGTTAATATGACCTATCTGTTTATAAAGTTAGATCATTGTCTAAACTTTATTAATGACAGGCCTACATGGTCAATAACTATAGTTATAATAGGCTTACCTGTGTTCGAAATTTAAGATCATACACTAAATTTTGTTAATGACAGACTTAGAATTTATTGGTAAATTCTAGTTTTGTTTTAAATTATTAATAGGTCGAGGGTTACCAGCTGGTCTGGCCGAGGTAGAGATGATCGAGAGAGCGCGAGCTAAAAGAGCATGGGAGGCGACTCTACCACCATTGAATGACATGTCGCAACTGGATAAAAGACGTAAAATGATGGATGAAATGGAACGTAAAGAATGGGCACTACGGGAACAGGAAATAGAAAAGTAAGGAATAAAGATTCATAGTTATATTTTATAATACTAGAAACTTGATATGTTTACAGTCACTTGGTGTATTATACTGCAATGATTCACCCATGACAGCCATGATATGTCTCATTTGTACATTAGGTATTTGCTTGAAAACGACTTGTGAAATCTTGTTGAAATGTTGCAGTGTAATAAACCAAGTGATTGTATCCATAATCATTTTTTGGGGGAGATGTCAATTTTTTTTTTTACCTTCATCCGTACATAAGTTGAAGCGGAGTATAAGACGAAGGTCGAACTTCGGCGGAAAAAAGTATCGACTTATACCCTGAAAAATACGGTAATAAGTCACAATAAGTGCTTATAATTTTAAAGGAGCTCAAGCTCTAACTCAATATTATCCATAATATTCAAAATTAAAAACACGATATTGGTCCATTAATAATCAATATTGATGTTAACTTACCGTTAAAATATGGGACCCTAATATCCAATATAAGACAAACTGAATATTTTAAAATCACTACACGACAAAAAGGAAAACATATCCCAGAAGACAATGCAAGAGTAACTTAAACTGGCTAATTCACAAATGACTAGATAATAATAATAATAATAATAAAACATGTAGAATGGACTGAGCAGGCACGAATGATTGACTTTAATCTTATTTTTCTGAGCATAATTGATTCAAAATTACTATTAACTGTAGTAATTGTATTGGTTGCTTTTTGTATATTTTGAGGTTCCAAAGCATCTGAAGGTTTGTCAACACTTGAGCAAATAGTGTGAAATCTAAATCTTTAAATCTGTCTAAAAATGGTTCTATTCCCTTCAATATTTACTTATATTTACCATGGAATAACACATAGAAATTTGTTTTTTCACGAAAATAGAAATGACGCAGAAAGACTTCAAAGCTTCATGGTGGGGTTGAATAGCCGAATAGTTGACGTGTGCATGTTGGATCAGAAGGTCTGTCATTGAGTCAAGTGAGGTGGTTTTGATTCCTCACGTGTACATGACGAGGAGTAGGGTCGACTGTCCAACATCGTTGGTTTTCTCCAGGTCCTCCTGTTACCGCACACTGCGAAAGACCCCTCCTGAAATGACCTAGTTTGTGTACTTAAGCTCTCTCTCTCTCTCCAAGAAACCAGATTGTGTATATTTTATGTTAATTTTATGTATATGTAGGTTACAAGAAGCTAGATTAGAAGTTTTAAAGAATTTATTAAAACAACGAGAGGAGAATCATCAGGATTTAAATGTAAAGAGATTAGATAAATTATGGTCCAAAAAACAAAAAGTTAAAGAATCAAGAATAAGAAAAATTCGAAATGAACATATCAAAAGTAAGTTGATATATTTACATTTTTTTATGGGGGATTGGATGACCGAATGGTTAACATGTGCGCGCTGTATCATAAGGTGTGGCGTGGTTTCGATTCCCTGGTTGTATGTGACAAGGAGTAGGGACTCCTGTCCAACCTCGTGGGTTTTCTCCGGGTCCTCCGGTTTCTTCCCGTTGCTAAAGATCCCTACACGCAAGCAATTTATTGAAATAAAATTGAACCATGTGTTAGTCCCGAAATGACCTGGTTTGTGTCAAGTGGACGTTAAACCCCATTTCTCTCTCTCTCTCTCTCTCTCTCTCTCTCTCTCTCTCTCTCACATTTCTTTATATACATTATCAAGTTCATTACAGAGAGACGGTCTTCATTAGCCCAGTTGGTGTAGGACGTTAAACCCCATTTTATTTCACCATTACAGAGCAACTGGCTTTATGATTCCATCTGAACCCAGATTCCTTGTCAGCCTCGAAACTTTTTCTCCTAAAAATTTAGACTTTGTTTCAGAAATCCTACTGGTTTGTTTCAGCTTCCTCCTCTCTTCGAAGTTTCACATTCATTTACGTTTCCATTTAGATTCTTTTTTGTAGAACTGCAAGCTCTTTATTTCATAGCAACAAGAAACTGGTTTATTTTGTCCTAAAATTTCATTGTTAAAGATACATTATGGGAGATTAGATAAAGAGCTGACAGTTCTTACTAGAATAGTTAAAAACTAGATGATGTAAACAGAATTTGCTGATAATTTCAGTCAAATTGATCTACCCAGAACCGAGAATTTAGCGATTGAATTTTGGGCCTAGCCTCGATCATCATTACTGAAGTCGGTACGATAAAAAAAACATAGTCTCGAATATCCATTTTTTTATTTAATCATGAATGAGCGTTGAGCAGCAGATCGGATTCTAATCCAGTAAATTTTGCAGGCTAGCGTTGACATCGAGAGTTGATTATTGTCTGGATAAGTTAATTAATGTCTAATTAATAATTTAGATAACATTTCAGGCCTAAAGAAAGACCTGCAATAGACAGATTTAGCTCTTGCATAATGTATGTTTAATTTCTTGGTCATATAAAAGGAAGAGCTGATACTGAGAGGAAGCTTGGTTGAATCCCAGATTTTAGAGAGTATTTGATTGAACCAGAATTTATATATTTTATTGACACAACATGTAAATATTTTAAAATATTTCAGCAATTAGAAAATTAACACAGAAAAGAAGAAATGTGGAGGGCAAGTTGGAGAGACGTAAGATAATTAATGATTTCACGGAGCCTGGCAGTCAGACGTACGCCCCTCTCACAAGAATTGGTGTATTTTTAGATCGAGGTTCAGAACAATATGTAGTTAAATCTCGCCATTTAGCCACTTATCAAGGTAAAATATCTTTAATTTTTTTAAATTGAGCTGTAATAGTTGAAAGATTTGCTCAACAGAAAGGTTGTCCTAAACTTTGTAGAGCCTAAGATACAAGCCTGGCAATAAGGTACCTGTCGTAGACATTGTCAGATACAGTTCTTCTAGTTCCTGCCATATTTTGTCACAGAATTGTTGGGGGGGGGGGGGTGTTGTGAAGTTTTTGAATACATGTCCAACACCAGTTCATTTATAGTGTCTGACATATTGTCAGTATTTCAAGGTCTGAAATGTATGTAGTCTTCACCTTCTATGAGAGAATGAAATGGCGTTTAAAGTCCTATTGTTCTGTGCCGACTGGTTAATGAAGACAGGCTTACAGTGTTCTATGAGGGACATTTTACTCAGACCGGTGTGCTATGGTCTACCCTTACTTTGTATTCTGTCAAGGGATCTTTCATGTGCATGCCAATGTGTAAACAGGGTAATGTTTTTTGTGCCATCCGAACGACTAGACACTGTCCTTGTCAGGTCCTGCACCACTGACAAGGGGAAATTGTGCTGTTTCTATACGAAGAATTATTAATTTCATGGCACTATTAATAATTATATACAAACAGTAAAAGATGTTATTTTTATTTTTTGTAAGCGGGGGTTGGATGGCCAAATGGTTAGCATGTGCAAGCTGTATCATAAGGTCTGTCATTGAGTCAACTGGCATGGTTTCGATTTCCCAGTTGTACGTGACAAGGTGTAGGGTCGTCTGTCCAACCTCGTGTGTTTTCTCTGGGTCGTCCGGTTTCCCTTCCACTGCTAAGGAACCCGACGCGCAAGCAAATTATTGAAATAAAATTAAACCATGTTAGTCCCGAAATGACCTAGTTTGTGTTGAGTGGAAGTTAAACCCCATTTCTCTGTCTCTGGTAACCTAAAATTTAAATATTTATCATTTGAATATTTTGATAGGTTTGTTGGAACTGGAAGCCTCATTACCAGATTTTGTGACAGCACCAAGAATTAAAGCACCGAAACCGAAAACGGTAACAAAAGCTGGATTCATAAAACGTAAATATCGTCAGGAGAGAGAACTAATAGAGCTGCACGAGGTAATTAAAGCTATTTTATATACAAACAAGTTCTCTGGAAATTCATTAATTTTTAGAAATTTATAAAAAATCAAATAATATTGATTTTAATATACTCAGAAATGTGTAAATAGAAATATTCTATCTATCTATATGGGTCGTCATTTTGTTAGTGGAGGTTGTAAAATTATATTTGCATTAATATTTAAACACAGCCATCTGTTCATTATATTAAAGATACATTATGGGAGATTAGATAAAGAGCTGGTAGTTCTCACTATAATAGTTAAAAACTACATAATGTAAAGGCAATTTGCTGAAGATTTCATTCAAATTGATCCACTATCAAACGAGATTTTAGCGATTGAAATTTCGGCCTAGCCTCGATCATCATTACTAAAGTCTGTACGATAAAAAAAAAACAAAGTCTTGATCATTCATTTCTTGATTAAATTATGAATGGAAGTCGAGCAGCAAATAGGATCATAGTCCAGTAAATATCGCAGGCTAGAAATGCCATCGAGAGTTGATTATGGTCTGGATAAGTTAATATAATGTCTAATTAATAATTTAGATAACATTTCAGACCTAAAGAAAGACCTGAAATAGACAGATTTAGCTGTTGTATAATGTTTGTTTAATTAGTTTCCATTCAGTAGTTTAAATTAGTTGACCATGAATGACATTCTATAAATTTGGGATTATAATATATAATGAATTATTAAATTTGTTAGATATTTTAAATCAGCAGGCCCTATTCTGTATCCATATTGAGAATGATTGTTTAAAACTTTCAGGCGTTAAAAGAAGCTAAGAATAAAGGTGTTGAAGAACAGAAACCGTTACGATTCTTACAGAAGATTGAAAAACCTGTTCCACGTCCTCCAACTCCATCTGTAGACATTCCATCAGAGGTATCATATCATTTATATAATAATCTTTTATTATGCAACTGGCGTGGTTTCGATTCCCTGGTCGTCTGACCAACCTTGTGGGATTTTCCCGGGTCCTCCAGTTTTCTCCCACTGCTAAAGACCCTTATATGCAAGTGAATTATAAAATTAAACCATGTGGGCGTTAAACCCCAACTCTCTCTCTCTCTCTCTTTTGTAATGTTGCCCAATGCCCAATATTGTTTTAGGCCTTCCCAGTAGATGGTGCAACCTTTCTGTAAACACAGAATGTTAATCAGCACAATTGTCTTTTAAATTAAACCTAAGAGTTGTATAGTAAACAATTATTGTGATAAAACTTGATATATATGTCTGTGTTTATAGGCTGAAGAAGAAAGAGAATTAGCTACCATATTCTTACAGCAGGTGATCAGAGGTCGAGCTATACAAAATATGGTGAGTAGATGACCTATTTACTCTTTTCTATAAAACTAATTGTTGGTTTAAATAGTTAACATAATTAATTCATACATCATGATTAGTTCATTTTATTAGTGAAAAGGTTCATACATCATGATTAGTTCATTCTATTAGTGAAAAGGTTCATACATCATGATTAGTTCATTCTACTGGTGAAAAGATTCATACATCATGATTAGTTCATTCTATTAGTGAAAAGGTTCATACATCATGATTAGTTCATTCTATTAGTGAAAAGGTTCATACATCATGATTAGTTCATTCTACTGGTGAAAAGATTCATACATCATGATTAGTTCATTCTATTAGTGAAAAGGGATGGAAAGGGGTTGTGATATAGGTTTTTTGTCCCCACCTGTCATTGTTGTTTTCTGTAGTTTATTTTTTTGTTATATTAAACTTTTGATTGTAATTTAGTACGCTGCTGTATATAGCAGATTGACAGATTGTTAGCGTTTTGTGGGATTCCATGAATTATTTATTTGAATTTGATTAAAACATGAAAAATTTATTTTAGATCCAAGAGTTAAGTTAATTGGATAACGGAGTTATGATCTTTGTGCTAAACCTTCTCTATATATTTATGTGAACAGTAATTCCATACTATTTTATGCAACAGGCACAGTTCTGAACCCACGGGCACAGTGTTTCATTTTATCCTTCTTGGGAGCTACGATGATTATAGCTTGGCTAAGTATGATATGTTTTCCCTGTGTCAGTGGTGCAGGATGAGAAATGACTAGTTCTTCAGATGGGACATAAAACTGGGGCCTTCTTGAACTTGTTGGTTGTGTGCACGTAAAAGAAACCTTGACATTTGGAATTCAATGAAGAGACTAGGTTTAAATGCCACTGTCCAGGCAAAATTCCTCACATAGCAAACTGCATGACGTACACCAACCTTGATAGATATACAGGATGTTAACGCTATTTGATTTAAATAGGTGACATGAGTTATGTTATAATATTTGATTGTTTTTATCAGATGTTTGAAGGTTAAGATTTTGTACACGGTGAACAGTCCATTTGCTGATTACACCATTTTCCTTTTCCGTTTTTTTAGGACTTCAAGTTTTGTCTAATGGTTTGAATTGTTCGTACTTTATTTTATTTTATATGTAATAATATTTGATTGTTTTATCAGATGTTTGAAGGTAAAGAGAAGAGAATCGAGTTAATTAATGAATTAAGAAGTACCCACGCTCTACAAGAGGCTGAACAGATCGAGAAGAAACAAGAAATGACCACAACCCTGGCTCTACAACGACAGAGGAGATTACATGAACATAAGGTATTGTCTCATTTTAAAATTATTGTTTCTTGAGATAATGAAATAGCCTCCCGAATATTGACAATCACCCATGCAATATCTACAATAATCCATGCAATATCTACAATTCCCTCTGGAATATCTACAATAAACCATGAAATATCTACAATAACCCATGACATATCTACAATAATCCATGCAATATCTACAATAAACCATGATATATTGACAATAAACCATGACATATCTACAATAATCTTTATATAGTTATCTATGTGGGTTTGTTTTATCAGGAATCTCTGGTTGATGAGAGTCTAGCCAATGTTGAAGGATCCAGTGTCGGTCATATGTTAGATTTCCTCAGTAAGGAGTTGGTCCGTCTACAGGAGGAGAGACGAATCCATGCGTTCTCCATGTTAGCGGAACGAGAGAGGAGAATACGAGAAGCGGAGGAAAGTGGAAGAAGACAAGTTGAAGAAAGACGTAGGAGAGAACAGGATGAAATATTTAAACAGGTTTGTGAGTTATTAAGGTTCAATCATTTAATCATTTGGATGAGACAAAAAAACGAGGTCCTGTGCACACATTGGCGTGCATGTTAAAGATTCCTTGACAGTTGGAATTTGATATAAGAGTTGGCTGTAGTGCCACTGCCTGGGCAAAATTTCTCTCATAGCACACTGTATGGCGTATGCCCATCTTCATTAGTCCAGTTTGGAGCAGAATAGCAGGACGTTAAACCCCATTTCATTTAATTTATTTTGTGGGTTAAAGTTATTATAAGTGATATATTTAAACAAGTTTGTGAGTCATTAAGGTTAATATAGATAAATAATCAATGACAGACTCAGGACTTGGTTTTTTTTTGAGGTTGCATTTAAAACAAGATAGCTTTTCTGCAGTTTAGAACAAGGGCCCACATTTTCAACATGAAAATTAAAATTTTATGAAACAAATCTACTATTTTACGAGGCCTGTTTGATAAAACTTAATATAGCCTGGGATATCCTAGTATGTACGGATCTAAAATTCAGTTGTTCCATGTAGTTATCTATCTCATTTGATGCCATCAACAGTTATTTTCTTTCGGTGGGGGTTGGATGGCCGAATGATTAGCACGTGCGTGCTGTATCATAAGGCCTGTCATTGAGTCAACTGGCGTGGTTTCGAATCCCCGGTTGTACGTGACAAGGAGTAGGGTCGCCTGTCCAGCCTTGTGGGTTTTCTCTGGGTCCTCCGGTTAGTCCCCAAATGACCTAGTTTGTGTCGAGTAGACGTTAAACCCCATTTCTCTCTCTCGCTCTCTCTTTTCTTTCAGCCTGCTCATTTTTATTTTTAAAAACTGTATTTGTTAGTCCTGAAACTTGCTTTAAATTATGTATTTTGTGTAAATTATGTGTGGTGCAGTCCCCCTACTATTAAAGCATGTATTTTGAATGTGTATTATTTTGGCAGGTTATTAAAGTACACCAGAATTCTGTGGATACGTATCTAGAGAATATAATCATGGGCTCGATAGATTCTACAGCCGATATTCAAGCACGTCGTGAAGTACAGGAACTAGCAGTCAAGATCAACGATGTCGCTTACGAAGTTGAAGACAAGTAAGTTTGTTGTTTAATTATTTATTTCTCATATCAGCTACATGTGAAGAGATCATTTGCAAAAAAATATAGCACCATGGTGACTCCGGGTTACTGACCAAGATGTCTCCGGTTTAATCCCGGTGTTCTTCAGAATTTTCTAATGAGGCTTCCCCTTGTCAGTGGTGCAGGACGGTCGGATGGGATGAAAAACTAAGGTCCAACCTTGTAATAATACCCATGTCGGTTGTAATTTGATGAAGAGTAGGCAGTAGCACAGTGCATGGTGTAGGAGGTTAAACCCTTGTTTTATTACAGGTTCAAGTAGGTGTGGCTTTGAAAATTTCATCAAACAAGAATGGTGGTGGGGAGAGATATCTCTTCCATTAAATCATCTTTTTACAAGTTTTAAATGTGATAATAAAATATTGTTGTATATTATTGTAGACGTACTCAGTTAGAATCACAAGAGATTGTAGCAGATTTGGTTCATTGTTTCCTTCTACCTGAAGTACAGAAAAACACCATGAGAGAAAAAGGTAAAAACATCATCTTACCAGGGCTGTAATTTAACACAGTGCAAAGACAGGCCTCTCCCCCTTCAAGAAATTTTAAAATTTAAAGTCAATAAGAGACAGATTATTGATCCATGAAGACCTCCACGTTAAGTTAGACATGATAATTTATGAATATATCATGTTTTTATACCTGAAAACAACAAGAATGTCGTTGTTTAAACATAATCCGATTAAAAGACTGTAAATGTTTTCCATAGAATTGTTTATATTATTGAAGATAATAGCTAGCGGTAAATAACAAAAAATAGTGTGCTTTTTGGTGGAATTATGACTATGGGATGCTTTCTACATGCCCACATTTTCATTTGGACGTATATAGTCGTCGCCCATATCCGTCCGGACGTCGGAACATCCGTCCACAGTTTCTTTGTGGACACTATATATGCCACAATTTTTATCCAATTTTGACGAAACTTGAACTACTTCATGGATTATGGCCCCTGATTGTACGAAAAATCATTCTTTTAGCTTTTGGACACTCTGAAGGTCTATTTTTATCTGATTTTTATGAAAATTGAAATGCATGTTTATAACCCAAAGATCTTGGTTCCTTTCAATATTCATGCATATCAGATCATAACTTCCATGATTATGGTCTCTGATTGTACGTTTTTAGCTTGTGGTCCCTCTAGAGGTCAGAATTTTTATCCAATTTAAAAAACGTTTGAATATATCAACGTTACAACCTAATGATGGTTGAGTTTGAATTTCGTAAAAATTGGACCATAATGGTTGTACCTTGTACCCAAATAGTGTAAAAGTATGTAATACCAAAGTTGTCACAATTTTGATCCGATTCTGATGAAACTCCAAATGTATGTTCACATCCAAAAGATCTCGGTTCCTTTCTATATTTTTGCATATCAAACTTTAACTGCTTGGATTATGGCCCCTGATTGTACAAAAAAATCACATTCCTTTTTAGCTCGTTCTCTGTCCATCTCTTGGTACATTTGTGCGTATCTTGCATGGCAGCCGCTTGTTAAATAAAAACATTAGGTGGTTTTATTACCTGATATTATGAAGATACTGGTGTTTTTATTCCTATCTTTTAAACTTATCGATTTTTGTTACAGTTAAAAATGGTCAAAGAAAATATTTACTGGCTGCTCATAAAGAAATCCACAAAACGGGTGAAGGACTGATTGATATGAATGCTCGTACTGACGTTAATGCTACCACAGATAGTAAAGATACATCCGGATCATCCAGTACAACAGATAAACCCAGCACATCATAGACTTGTTCATCATGTAACAATTAATAAATATACATCAAATCTCTGAAGTGAAGTGTGTCGTCAAAAAACTTACGAAAGAAATTGTGATACATCAAGAAAAACACAGTAAAATCTGTTTTCTCTGTTATTCTCTAGACAGGGGTTAATCAGCTAGACAGGGGTTAAATTTGAAACCTTTCTAGTATTATTAACCTTGTTATTATGGTCATTTAAAGTCTCTGTATCGAGACGTTGCACATTATTAAGTCTACTTTAATATCAGTTTAAGAAACCATGTTATAATTTATTATTGTGCAACGTCATTGTATTGTAGATTTTCATTGGCTAGCACACATCCATGGCATCCAATCAGCTGTTAAAACAAAAATAAAAGGGATCAGTTATGGGAATTCAATTTGCCCCTGTATATGGAAGAAGTTCAAACTAAATCTTGTAATAATATTATTGTGAACATCATTATTATAAAATTACAGTGTTTGTGTAAGATTATAAAGAATGTACTGAATTGTATATAGAATATGTAAATCTTGGTTATATATATATATATATATATATAGATCTGTATTAATATAATATTGGAGAATTTCTTCGCTCGTAATTTAATCAATAAGAACATTTACATGTAGTTTTAATTTTTTTAACAGCCCAATTTGTTGTTAGTTTCAAACTAAAACATTTGTTTTAAAAATAAGCCAGCCCAATTTTTATGTATTATAATATGAAAACTGTAATTTCGTGGTGTATTTTATTGGTTCAAACACAGCCAAATTAAAACATGCTGAGGGCTACCGGTATTGCTATGGGGGGCTGTTACTATGGGGATATTCATCAACTTTTATTAGAGAATAAGGCTATTGTTTAGATTAAGTATAGTACTTAAGAAAAAAAAAGTAGCCATTATAGGAGATCAATTCAATAGGGTTTCCCCAGTAGCCCTTTCAGACAGTAAATCCTAAAGTTTGGCCTCTGTTTTTCTACATTTGTAAATTTGTTTTTATTTTATATAATATTTATATTTGTTTTTGTATAATGATAATTTATTGGAAATGTAAAATCAAACTGTGATAATTTATTTTAAAAGCCGTCCTAGCATTAAATAATTAGTAGATGAACCTGTAAACAATTGTGTTGAGATTTTCTTACTACCAGAATCAGCATAGCAAAGAGAGAGAGGTGGACGGAGAGAGTCTTTAACCTCCACTCGACACAAACTAGGTCGTTTTGGGACTAACATGGTTCAATTTTTTATCAATAGGGGTCTTTAGCAGTAGGAAGAAACCGTAGGACCCAGAGAAAACCCACAAGGTTGGACAGGCGACCCTCCTCCCTGTCACGTACGGAATCGAAACCATGCCAGTTGACTCAATTACAGACCTTATAATACAACGCGCACGCGCAAACCATTTGGCCATTTCCCCCCCCCCCCCAGCATGGCGCAGACTTCTCAGTAGAGGGTAGGTTGGTAGATTTTCTGTAGCATCCATGGAATATTTACCAGGTGCCAGTCAGGATATGTAACTCTACCTGTAAGGACTGAAAGTAGATGGGGCTGCATTTAAAATGTATAAATAGGGAATTCAAATAAAACAAGGGAATACACCGACATTTATTTTTCTGGTGATCTCTTATATAGTGACTTCTTTTGCATTTCAAACAGATAACAACTTTTCAGTGTTTAACCAGATCTATCACCCATTGGCTAACACTAACATTGTCCTTTAAAAGATTCATTAGTTCTGATCAGTTATTAGGGAAAAGATTCAATAGTTCAGATCAGTTATTAGTGCATTACAGCACCATAGTAAGCCTCGCCACAGACGCCTCAACTGATGGCGTGGCTGCAGCAATTTTAATTCAATCATTTGAGTACCAGGACTTATTGCTTACGCATCAAGAACATTGCATAAACGTTGGCGTAATTATTCACAGCTTGATAAAAAAAAAAGCTTTTCAATTGTGTTAGTGGCGACATTTTGTGATTCTAAATGATCATAAACCACTGGAACGACTTTTAGGCCCTAAAACGGCAGCACTAGCAGCGCAACGGCTTCAGGGACGGGCGAGAGAAGCATTGAAGTACATATGTTCAAAAGAGAACCTTTCGCTGATGCTTTATCACGTTTACCCTTCCCGTGTAAGGATATGATGAACTTTATAATATCCAAGACAAAATATTGGACAGTTTTCCTATTATGAGTAAACGGATGGAAAGAGCCACACGAGTAGATCCAGTTCTATCACGGGTAGTTCAGTTTACGAAAACTGGATGGCCAGACAAAGTAGACGAACATGTTTCCAAGGTAGATTCGACATAACAGTGTTATTCTGTGGTTGATGTGTGGTATTATTAGTCAATTCAAGTCCCTGGTTACACTTGTGTTGCTGTCGCGTATAACTGCTGTTCTTTTTAGTGCCTTAACCTGAGCCCCTCGATTTAGCACCAGTGTCTAAACAAGTTTAATACCAGTGTTAACACTGGTGGAAAGAAAACAACACCTATAAAACTAGTGTTATTTTTAAATGTTGCACTGTGATTTTGCCTTCTGGTATTTGCATGAGCTGGCCAACCAAAAAAAACAAAAATACAGCGGTTGCTAGGCAAGATACGCCCGCCCACCTTTTGCACGAGATGGATGAGAACAAGCTAAAAACAAAAATCACATTTCGTTCAGTCATGGGTCATAATCCAGACAGTTATGGTCTGAAATGCGCAAATATCGACAGGGACTTAGAACAAACATATTTGTTAAGTTTCATCAAAATCGGATAAAAATTGTGACCTCTAGAGTGTCCACAACCTTCGTATTACATACTTTTACACAATTAGCATATAAAGAGCGGCCATTTTGTCAGGCAGTTTTGATCCGATTTTCACGAAATTGGAACTCAACAGTCATAGGGGTGTAACGGTGATCAAGGTATACGTTTTTTTTTTTTAAAAATTGGATAAAAATTGTGACCTCTAGAGAGTCCACAAGCTAAAAACGTGATTTTGCGTACAATCAGGAGCCATAATCCGGGAAGTTATGGTCCGATATATGCCAATATCGAAAGGAACCGAGACCTTGGGGAGATATACCTATATCCCAAGTTTCGTCAAAATCGGATAAAAATTGTGTCCTGTTGAGTTTCCACAAACAAATTGTGGACGGACGGACGTCCAGGGGCGATGGCATAATACATCCACATGAAAATGTGTGATTATAAAAAAACAGCAAAAGAAAGGCAATTGAGGAAAGCTAACCGCTTCTACGAAATTAATGGGACGAAAAACCGAGGTCCCGTGTACACATTGGCGTGCACGTAAAAGATCCCTTGGCAGTTGGAATTCGATATAAGAGTAGGCCGTAGTGTCGCTGCCCGGGCAAAATTTCCCTCATAGCACACTGTATGGCGTATGCCCGTCTTCATTAGCCCAGGTTAGGAGCAGAACAGTAGGACGTTAAACCCCATTTCATTTCATTTCATTTCATTTCTACGAAGTCAAGTAACCAGGATCTATGTTGAATTTTTGTAGTCTCATTTGATCATTATTCAGTCGAAATTTCCTATCTGAAATTTCTCGTAAATCAGCAGGCTTGCGATCAACATTTCTTTGACTTACGTTTTGGCTATATATGGGTAAAAAAATCATTTTAAACCTTAAAACTAAATCTAAAAGTCTTAAAAGAAATTCCCTTCTTGCAGTCTGTTGAATCACACCAGTGTTGTAATAACCCCGAGGGGTTAGTGTTAGAGTTATTTTTAACAAGATAGTAACTTTTATCAAGTTATTCTTATTTAACATTTTTTTTTATGTAATTGGAAATAATATTGCACAAAGCTCCTTGTCTTTATATTTTTTTTCATGTAAATTTGTTTCTTAAATCGGGAAACTGATATTGAAAATATAAACAAACTGAGGGGCTCAGGTATAAGTTAGTGTTTGGGTAACACAGATACGACACTGGTGTTCATGTTGTGTAAATATATCCATGTTTAACACAACACTTACACCACAGACCTCAACTCGGATTGATTTCAAATATTTCCAGCGAGCTCTTGCCTGCGATGCACGTAACAGTGGGCATTCCACTAGAAACATCAACGTCAACGCTAATTGGTTAATCAAATGATTATGCTGAAAAAGAAATGAAATGAAATGGGTTTTAACGTCCTACTGTTCCGCTCCTATACTGGGCTAATGAAGACGGGCATACGCCATACAGTGTGCTATGAGGGAAATTTTACCCGGACAGCGGCATTACGGCCTACTCTTATATTGAATTCCAACTGTCAAGGGACCTTTTACGTGCACGCCAATGTGTACACGGTGCCTCAGTTTTTCGTCCCATCCGAACGACTAGACAACTGTCCTTGTCGGGCCCTCCGTCCTGCATCACTGACCAGGGGAACCACGCCGGATTATCTGGATGAACTTTCTCGGCCAATGCAAGGATCGAACACCCGACCTCCAGGCTAGCGAGCCAGCGTCTTATACCCTCGTCAGACCGGGGTGGTGTCCTTACTGCTACGCTACGGCGACGGAAAATGGTCGCAGAACCCGTCAAGATTGCCATAACCATGGTCGCCAATGATCGCCGAGTCACGGCGTTTGTTTTGAGCATGTTCAAAACAAACGCCAAGGTTCTTCGATCTGACCTGGAAAGCTGTAAGAACGCGACTTTTTTCAAGTTTGTAATTTTTTGGGACATTTGTGTTCACGTTTGTCGACGACCGTGTGTATTTTCTGGTCGCTGTAGGCCTACGGTCGCAGCAGCGCAGTAAGGACGCCAGCCCGGTCTGACGGGGGCATTACCCACTTAGCCACTGTGATCCCCATGCTGAAAAACAGGGTAAAATCTATTTGATCATTGTGATTAGTTACTCGAAATGACCGGAACGCAGTTGATGAGAAGTACATCTCAAGCAACAATCACTATGTTGGGAGACATGTTTAGTAAATACGGTATTCCTAGTCATTTAAGGGGACATTAAAGATACATTATGGGAGATTTTTATAAGGAGTTAGCCATTATTGCTATAACAGTTCAAAAATAGATGATGAAAGACGAATATATTGAAAATTTCAGTCAAATTACTTTATTCTGAACATAGTTATCACCAGTGTAATTTTTGACTAGAAATGGGATTGAATTCCATCTTCACCGATTCTTAGTATGGCCGATCGTTTGATTGACAGGCGTTAACTCCACCTACATAATAATCTCTGCTGTCATCATATCCGAATTTGTGTTTTACCTTTTTGGATTTTTATAACAATTGGACAAAATGAGTGAGAGGGTAAATTTTCATTCTTACTTGTATTTTGGACATGCATTAAATCAATTGAATATAGGACATAATAGTATAATACAATTATGAGAGAGAGAGAGAGAGAGAAATGGGGTTTAACGTCCACTCGACACAAACTAGGTCATTTCGGGACTAACATATGGTTTAACTTTATTTCAACTATTCGCTTGCGCGTAGGGGTCTTTAGCAGTGGGAGGAAACCGGAGGACCCGGAGAAAACCCACGAGGTTGGACAGGCGACCCTACTCCTTGTCACGTACAACCGGGGATTCGAAACCACGCCAGTCGACTCAATGACAGACTTTATGATACAGCGCGCGCACGCTAACCATTCAGCCATCCAACCCCCCATTAATACAATTATGATAAATCTATAGGTATACACCAGTGGCGTCGTGCCTATTGGGGAAATAAAAATATTTTTATTGATATTATTAAAACAGAAGACCTGTCCGTCTGTATTAGTCATCACACGGTCTCCAGGAATTGTATAATTTGTCATTATCTGTGTTTAGTTTATTGCACTTTAAATAGTTTAGATGCCATTTGTTAAGGCATCGCTCAACAGCGGCCTCGCTTCGTACACTCTATCATTTAGCCTCGACCCGGGTGTATGACGTCAACGTAACGGTTAATCTCCGCTCACGACGCCATTTAAAATTAAATCAGTCAACGAAATCCCGTTTAAATCCAAGCTGAATCCAAACCATCCGTAGGTCTACAGAGTTGATTTTGGTCTTGTTGTTTAAATAAAGATCTAATTTATAATTTCTATGACATCTGAATCCTAAATAAAGACTTGCAATAATCAGATTTAGCTCTTGCATAATGTATGTTTAAGTTATATTTATAACCTGCTCAACGTGCTCGTTGCTATTGCACAGAAAACATACCCATTTCTCTATATGATTTCTACTAAAACTAGTGTAAACCAGCAAAAGTGTGTAATAACATTGAACATGTCTAGTTATTGCACGGTTAAGCTCCACCCAGTCTACCAGAGGGAAAACAATCTGCTACAAAAGAAGATTTCCCATCCATGTTACAAATATTAGTTGTAATCTGGACTTATATTTACAACAACGTATGGACTCTTTTCTCCTACTTACCTACTGGAGGTCGCGTGTACGATTCCTGCATTGGCCTAGAAAGTTCATCGGGATTTTCCAACAGGGTTTCCCCTTATCAGTGGTTAAGGGGGGGGGGGGCGGCTAACAAGGACAGCTGCCTAGTCTTTCGGATGAAACAAAAAACTGAAGTCCCGTTTATACATTGGTGTGCACGTAAAAGATCCCTTGACAGTTGGAATTCGATATAAGAGTAGGCCATAGTGCCACTACCCGCGCGGAATTTCCCTCATAGCACACTGTATGGCGTATGCCCGTCTTCATTAGCCCCGTCGGAGCAGAACAGTAGGACGTTAAACCCCATTTCATTTTCTTGCTTATAGATCTACGAAACATCTAACAACCGGATGTACTCCGGCTAAATTATTTCTTGGACGAGAGGTCAGAATCCGACTGACTCACTCTCTCTGAACCAGGAGGTCAGAACCCGATTGACCCCCTCTTACACCAGGAGGTCAAAACCCGATTGACCCCCTCTCTTATACCCGGATGTCAGAACTCGATTGACTCTCTCTCTCGCTTACACCCGGAGGTCAGAACCCGATTGACCCTCTCGCTTACACCCGGGGGTCAGAACCCGATTGACCCTCTCGCTTACACCCGGGGGTCAGAACCCGATTGACCCTCTCGCTTACACCCGGAGGTCAATAATCAAAGTTGTCAAAAGACTAATCATAAAAATCTAAAGTGCCCTAAGTGAAATTTTTCCGAGGTGACTCAGTTTAGATCATAGACTTCAGACATAAAGGTACCCTGTGGCCTGGAACAATAGCTGAACGAACTGCTTCAAAATCATATCTATTAATTTCACGTGATGGGCGTGCCTGGAAAAGACACGTTGATCAAATCTGGAAAGGTGATAATAGTCTTCAGGACAATGTTATTGTTGAAAATAATGAGGAAGGGGATAATAATTCTATACCAGCTCAACCTAGTGGCAATATTCAACAGCAGTTAGACGAAGAGATCACATTATTTCATCTCTCTCTCTCTCTCCCCCTCTTTGATACCTCAAGTACAACAGATTTAAACATAAGCGACCGTCTAAGAACATCTAAACCCAAATCTAAAGAACCAGATAAACGAGAATTCTAAGACGAATAGCAGTTCTGTAGAGTCGAATATCAGACGTTCTTCAAGAATCACGAATAAAACTCAGACTGATTGAAAAGTGTTAATTTTATTTGTTAGTAATGTTTTCTTGAACATTTGCTGTTGGTTTCCTTCCAGAACGCAGGTCATCGTCAAGGCTCTCTGCCCACTTCTTTACCGAGGTGTTGGGATGGCCTAGAGTGTCGCGCTTAGACCTCTAGCTGGCCGGTCACCTCTGGCTTGCGGCTGTGGTTTCGATCCCTGGTGTGAGCGTATGTGGCTTGGAGATAGGGGCGCCTTCTCAACCTGGTGGGTTTACTCCCACAAGAAAAACCCCTGCACGTGCGCTAAGATAATAGAAAAAAAAAGACATGTCTGCGATATCACCTTCGGTGAAGCGGACGTTAAACACTAAGAATAACATCTTTACCGGGCAGGGGCATCATCCCCTAAAGTGAAGATCATATCAGCACATATAGTTTCAGTTGCCCTATTATATAGCCAGTTTTATTCGTCTCTGGTGATTTCATTAATATTTTGGTACGAAGACAATATTAACTCAACAGTAAGCAGTTCTTATGGCTATGGATCATTCAGTAATTGTACTTGTTGGTGGCAAAGGTTGACAACCTTTCAGCCAGCCCTTGTGTGGTGGAATAAAGGAGTTTTCTATAGTTTAGGAACTGGGTCCCTATACCCTGTTGATACACCAGTTTGAACCAGTTGTTATATAACAGGCGTTCTAGTTGATGTGCGGAATTAGCCAATGAAACGGTCTGTTATAACGGTGAATTCTTGGCGTGCTCTGCACGGAACTGTGGGTAAACCCCTAGAAACCGTCAACGCTGATTGATTAATCAATGTCTGACGTTATAGGCTCAAAAGCCGCTCGTATGACCCCTGACGCGACTTCCCAGTACAACTGGTCAGATCATCATGTAGAGTAGGCCATCGAAAATATAAAAAAACGAAACGAAATATAGATCTGTATTTTAATCAGACTGGGTCGAACTGGCCATGTTGTTAGATGAAATTTAAAAATCTAATTCACCAAATCGATGCAAAATTGTTCAAAGAAGAATCATGTCAATTTTCATGTCGATCGGACTTGAATTCAGGGATATTTTGGCTTTTTTCGAAGAGCGTCACTCCGAGAAGTTGCAACAACAGGTTGAGGTTAGCGCATCAGTTCCTGGACAAAAAATGCCCGGTTGTGTAAAACTGTCTTCGTCATACATGTACATTGAATTTTAATATTTAAAGATACATTATGTAAGATTTAGATAAAGAGCTAGCCATTCTTGCTATAATAGTTCGAAAATAGATAATGTAAAATGGATAAGTTAATTAATGTCTAATTAATAATTAAGATAACACTTCAATCTTAAAGAAAGACCTGCAATAGGCAGATTTTGCTCTTGCATAATGTATGTTGAATTCTTTGAAGCCGACCAAAATCAACTTCTGTCGTCATATGAATATCTTAATGACAGTATTGAAGCAGGCTTGTTTTAAGCGGTGTTTCTGTGGGGGGGGGGGGGGCTTGGAATTTTTGCAGGAGGGGGTTTGCCAGGTTCCTGTTAAGGAAATTTATTTAACTGCAGTTGACAATGTATGATGCCATCATCGTCTCCAAATTACGTAGGCATACATACACACTGAGCTATTTAAAGGGAGAAATCCAACACCCCCCGTTTGACGTCAGTTTTTATAATGAATTAATAGGATTACAATGTGATACAGTTTCATTAATGCAAAGCGCATTATATCGCGCTTTGAATGCCCATCCTATCGCAGCATATAATGATAAAGAATAAACCTCGCAACCGTTATACTTTTTTCATAGAAAGTGTTGTTTTACAAAAAAAAACCACCAACATTTGAGTAGCTATAAAGCAGTGTGTGTTGCACCCCCTGCACCTCCCGCCCCCCCCCCCCCCCCCTGTTGTGGTGGTAATGATAATATTATACTTTCTATCAGTAATAAATGAATGAAGAATATAAAGTTTAACGTCCTACTTTTGTTCGTTCGTTGTTAGGGCTGAGAAATTTTCCAGGGGAGTCAAATAATAGGCTCTATAGCCTAGTTTTGCATAGGTAGGGGACGCGAGATCGATTAGTAGTTCTATTCGATTCTATTTCATTTGGTAAAAGATGCAATGTCTTTTGCAGGGTATCTTCCTCGTAATATAGTTTTAATCAGTCTCACGCGGGGGGGGGGGGGGGGAAGAAGATGGCCCGCCACCTCTTCTCAAGACAACGATTTTAAAACTGTGTTTTATAGTGACTTTTAGATATACAAGAACTTTTTATTTTTTGGGTGTTTTTACCTATCTTCTATATACTACTCATTCATATGTAAATAACTGAATTAAATCAACCCGTCCATAATATCATGCCTTATGTATTGGGCGTTAAATTTATAACAAACAACAACGACGGCATGCATGGTTGGGTTATAATAATCGTTGAAGTCAGCCACCCGAATACGGGATTGCCCAATGCGCAGTGATCAGTTTTATTAATTTTATTCCCGGCATCTGCGAGAAATATTGTTATTCGTGAAAAATAATTATTAAATTTTTTTCTAAATCTTCTTTAAATCTAGAGAATGAAGGGAGATAAATAGGTTTTTATTCGCGCTGTTCAGGTGTTTCTTAGTTTTGTTGTTAGTGGGGCTTCCCCAGGGAAATCCTCGCCTCGAAATGGCTATAATGACCACGCCCCTCAATAAAGACGTCATTATATGTGAGGGAATCTCTATCTTGAAGCTAAGTTTACATTCCACGCGAGTTGATGGTGCCGATTCTAATGGCTGCTATGGACCAAAATAGCAGTATCAGTTTATGGCAGTGAGCACCATATGTGAACGTATCGGGTTTCGAACAGAGGGTCCCGATTGGCTAAATTATGGCAGATATAACCCTCAAACTGATGTGGTACAAGTTAGGTGAGAGCGGAGGCAAAATGGCGGATTGGTACGATAACTTGAATTGGGAGGACCACGTTTTGGATATTTTACTCTTCGGATGGATTGCTTGGTCCGTTTTTCTTGTGATCATCGCAAATGGCTTGTCTAAAATTATCGGACCCCTTAGATTGCGGGTCTCTCAGCAGAAGAGGGAGACTTTAGGGGGCAGTAATGCTCGAGTTATTAGTAATACGGAGAGTTGTCAGTGGCTAAACCACGGAATCAGTTGGTTTTTTCTCAACTATTATAGACAAGCCGAGTTTATCGATGCATGGATCAAAACACTCAACGTAGAGGTAAAGAAATTAGGGGTAAGTTTTAATTTATTTAGTGTTAAAAGTCCCCATTCGTTTACTAACCCCTATCGTGTCTCTCTGACCTCTGACATGCAAGTGCTGTCAAAAGTCTAGCAGACGATATTCTCTCCTCGCGCTTACCACGTGCATAATGGATAAAGTGACGTTTAGCTGGCTGCCAACCGGTCGGTGTGTAGTAGATGTACAGATCAAACATTTCGACGGAGTATTTTATGTTTTCACGCGTGCTTAAAATAGATTCCTCGGTTTTGTTACAATAGTTTAGCCGGGTTTTAGTTGGCCCAATATGGAATTGTTTCTGTTGGGAGTCAGTGTAAATCGAACTGTGGTTAATCTTGTTAATTCCCCGACTTTTGTTTATCTACAACCATTTTGCTCTCGACTTATTCACCGTTAATCTCAATGGAGGATAAGTAGATTAAAACTAACAGAATTCAAAGAATTAAATGATTTAGGATTTAAAGATTATACTGATTATAGCTGCTAAAGCCGTTTAATTTAGACCCAGTAATATTAATACATGGGCAATAAGTGAAAAGAGATAATCCTGGCATATTAATATGGACACACATAGACATATACCATTAACACTTTATAATTGTTAATATACATGTATACCATCGTAAATATGTAATACCTGTTAATAATAGTTGATATACCATGGTGAATATGGAATACCAGTTAATAATAGTTAATATACCATAGTAAATATGTAATAGCAGTTAATATACCATAGTAAATATGTAATACCAGTTAATATACCATAGTAAATATGGAATACCAGTTAATAATAGTTAATATACCATAGTAAATATGTAATAGCAGTTAATATACCATAGTAAATATGAAATACCAGTTAATAATAGTTAATATACCATAGTAAATATGTAATACCAGTTAATATACCATAGTAAATATGTAATACCAGTCAATAATAGTTAATATACCATAGTAAATATGTAATACCAGTTAATATACCATAGTAAATATGGAATAGTTAATATACCATAGTGAATATGTAATACCAGTTAATATACCATAGTAAATATGGAATACCAGTTAATAATAGTTAATATACCATAGTAAATATGGAATACCAGTTAATAATAATAGTTAATATACCATAGTAAATATGGAATACCAGTTAATAATAGTTAATATACCATAGTAAATATGTAATACCAGTTAATAATAGTTGATATACCATGGTGAATATGTAATGCCGTGGGAGATATGTAATATTTACAGGAGGAAATAACTGCTTGCTATTGTGTGTAATTCACATTTTAATAACCACCAGATAATATATCACGCTTATGTCTAATATACACCAGTTCTATTATGCATATGGGATATATTATAGTATACACCAGGTCTAGTATTATAGTATAACCTAGTCTAATATACACCAGTATGAGTATAACCTATATCTAATATACACCAGTAAATAAATGTAGTAGGGTGGGATATACATACATCATCCTAAAGGAAGATCTCTGATCAGACAATGTCTGCTGACCATTCCTATCCATCCCTACATGTATATAGCTGTAAAATAAAAATACTGCTCTTCCCAAAATGACTAAAATTTATAATAATTCAACACTATTGTAATATGGGACTTTTTGTGATCATACAAATTCTATTATAATTCATTCCAAATATACACCAGTAAATTAATATAATTGGTATATCATGGCTTGATATACACTAGTTAGAGTGCTTCTCACATCTAATATAAACAAGTAAATTAATTTATTATTGATATACGTGGTTTGATATACACCAGTTTGGGGATATCTCACATCAAATATACACCAGTAAATGAATATAATTGATATATCATGGTTTAATATACACTAGTTATAATGTTTTTCACATCTAATATACACAAATAAATTGATTTATAATTGATATACATGGTTTGATATATAGAGAATCTCCTACCAGTCTTTTTTGATATCAAAAAATATCAACAAAATATCACCCAATCCCTTCTTACATGCACAAATAGATAATATAATTCTTTGCTGTAGATTTCACTTTTACTGAACAATACGGTGTAGTGGTACATCATTTTTTGACAGCAATTCAATCATTGCAAAGTCCTTTATATTGACCCAGTGTTTCCATCAAGGTCAATTGAATAACAATAGTTCATTTTTAATAAAAGAAAAAGTTATTTTTAATAAGAAATGAAGTGTTCTTTGAAATTAAAAAAAAGTAGTTCCTTTTCAACTGACCAATCAAATTCATGTAAAGCGATATCTCCTTAGAAGATATTGCAGGAGATTATGAAATATATCACACAAGCGATATCTACTGTAGAATGTATTATTGGGTGATAAACACCAGTTAGGGGATATCTCACATCAAATATACACCAGTAAATTAATGTATATCTGATATATCATGGTTTGATATACACCAGTTATAGAGTCATGTGGCAAAATTCATATAAATAGATAATAATTGTTTTTGAAGGGTGGGGGTTGGAATGGCCTAGGGGTTCTAGAGTGCCGCGCTTTGACCTTTAGCTGCCCGGTCACCTCTGGCTCGCGGCTGTGGTTACGATTCCTGGTGTGAGTGTATGTGGCTCTTTTATTTGGGTTGGGTTTTATTTGATATTTTTTCTTTTAGTCAAAGTCAACGAAAAACAATTTAAAATTAGAAAACATGAAAATGGAATTAAAATTTGGATTTTTCTACAAAAAATTTCAGTTGAAAGAAATCTATAAAATAGACAAAATATATCCATCTTGGTGTCCTCTTAGAGGGAGCGAGAGAAATGGGTTTTAACATCTACTCGACACAAACTAGGTCATTTCTTGACTAACACATGGTTCAATTTTATTTCAACAATTTGTCGCGTGTAGGGGTGTTTAGCAGTGGGAGGAAATCAGAGGACCCACAGAAAACCACGAGGTTGGACAGGCGACCCTACTCCTTGTCATGTACAACCGGGGAATCGAAACCACGCCAGCTGACTCAATGACAGTCAGACCTTATGATACACCGCGTACATGCTAACCATTCGTCCATCCAACCCCCCTGTGGCCTCTTAGCAGTGGGTGCAGGTCAGATGGGCAGCCAAGGGTAGTGTCTGGTCATTTAAATAGGACGAAAAACTGAGGTCCTGTGTACACTGTATGGAGTATGCCCGTCCTCATTAAACATACATTATACAAGAGCTAAATCTGTCTATTGCAGGTCTTTCTTTAGGTCTGAAATGTTATCCAAATTATTAATTAGACATTAGTTAACTTATCCAGACCATAATCATCTCTCGATGTCATTGCTAGCCTGCAATGTTTTATTGGATTAGGTTCCGATTTCCTGTTCGACTTCCATTCATAATGTAATCATGAAATGGATAATTGAGACTATGTTTTTTTATCGTACTGACATTAGTAATGATGAGAGAGGGTAGGCCGAAAATTCAATCGCTAAAATCTCAGTTCAGAGTGGATCAATTTGATTGAAATTTTCTGCAAATTCCCTTTACATCATCTAGCTTTTAACTATTCTAGTGAGAACTGCCAGTTCCTTATCTAATCTCCCTATCTTTAAACCAGTTGGTGTAGAAAAGTTGTACCATAGCTGAAGGCAGTAGTGTTAATTTGTTGATACTTTCTCTCTCATGCTATCATTTTCAATGAGTTTATTTTTTAAATCAACAACATTTATATGATAATAATGTGTAATTGGTAATTAACAGTATAAATGATGTGGTATATGTGATAAACTATATAGCCTATATATATAAATATATATATATCCAGAAATATTAGCATAACCGTAAAGCTGCACTACTTTGTTTCACTACTTTGTTTCACGATAAACGATGAAAAGATAAAAGGTATGTCGACAAAAACTGATTTCAACACTGGTTTAATAACATTTTAAAATTTTAAAGTACTTTTCTTCCTACTTGGGACTATTCATAAATAATGTCATTGTATAAATATATATATATGTAGGTAGTAGGTTTTATATAATTTCTAAAGATATAATATTGATTGTAAATCAACCCAAACAACAGTCACAGACAGCTGGTGGTAGATTTGATTTATGGAAATCTACCCTTTCAATTCATTAATAATATACAGTAGCAGGGCCGGATCCTGAGGCGGGGTTTGGGGGGTCGAAAACCCCCTGCTCAGCTACATAAAAAATTTTTGTAAATCAAAACTTTTTATGAGAAATGTTTCTCTACCGTGTGATTTATCCTTTATCGTCAGATGTGGGACAGGATGGGCACTCAAAGCGCGAGATAATGATATAGACATTATGTGATATCACAATTGATGCTTTGCATCCATGAAATTGAATCACAATGTCATTGTATTAATTCATAATAAAAATTGACGTCAAACGAGATGTTGAATTTCTCTGTTTAAAAAGCTCAATGTGTGTGTATATACGCCATAATGACGATAGAGGCAATGCGTGTGTGTGGGGGGGGGGGGATACATTGTCTCAGGAACCTGGCAAACCCCCTCCTGCAAAAATTCCTGGATCCGCCCCTGAGTAGTATTTAGTGGTGTTTAGACCACAGATTGATTAATACCGATGGAAGTTAATCTAATATCACAGATTCTGTCATAATATTCATTGTGTAGGTTAGTGTTGTTATCAAATGGCCACAGTGGCATTAGGGAAGGGTAACAGAAGTGACATCTTCTTCTGCTGCTGCCTGGGCTAAATCTCTCCTGTCTGGCATTGCTCAGTGTTAGACTAGGCTTTATCAAGCAGTTACATTTAGTTATTGATATTATCAGTTTAATTATGTTATAACTATATTACCCAGTGTCAATTAATATACATGAAAGAAATGAAATGGGGTTTAACGTCCTACTGTTCTGCTCAAACTGGGCTAATGAAGACACAAGCATATGCCATACAGTGTGCTATGAGTGCAGTTTTTCTCAGACAGCAGCACTGTGGCCTACTCTTATATCAAATTCCAACTGCCAAGGGATCTGTTATGTGCA